TATACAGATCATCAGAGATAGTTGTACAGGAAGGGCGTCATCACAGGATGTCATCAGATGATGAATTAAGCTTTACATTAAATGCTTAGTTTTATCCTGATTCATTCTTAGAGAAGCAACTTGGGTCTTGTACACACAGAATCCTGTATACAGATCATCAGAGATAGTTGTACACAGAGTATACAGATCATCAGAGATAGTTGTACACAGAGTATACAGATCATCAGAGATAGTTGTACACAGAGTATACAGATCATCAGAGATAGTTGTACACAGAGTATACAGATCATCAGAGATAGTTGTACACACAGTATACAGATCATCAGAGATATCATCAGAGAGATAGTTGTACACAGAGTATACAGATCATCAGAGATAGTTGTACACAGAGTATACAGATCATCAGAGATAGTTGTACATCACAGTATACAGATCATCAGAGATAGTTGTGCACAGAGTATACTGATCATCAGAGATAGTTGTACACAGAGTATACAGATCATCAGAGATAGTTGTGCACAGAGTATACAGATTGTCAGAGATAGTTGTACACAGAGTATACAGATCATCAGAGATAGTTGTACACAGTATATACAGATCATCAGAGATAGTTGTACACAGAGTATACAGATCATCAGAGATAGTTGTACACACAGTATACAGATCATCAGAGATAGTTGTACACAGAGTATACAGATCATCAGAGATAGTTGTACACTGACCATCCAGATCATCAGAGATAGTTGTACACAGAGTATACTGATCATCAGAGATAGTTGTACACAGAGTATACAGATCATCAGAGATAGTTGTACACAGAGTATACAGATCATCAGAGATAGTTGTACACACAGTATACACATTATCGCTAATAGCTAATTATAGATTGTGCATATTGTCACTAAAAGCTAATTATAGATTGTGCATATTGTCACTTATAGCTAATTATAGATTGTGCATATTGTCACTGATAGCTAATTATAGATTGTGCATATTGTCACTGATAGCTGCATGAAGATTACGAAAATTCTCCCTGATGGCTGGATTCAGATTATATAGATTATCACTGATGCTACCATGACAAGTTGGGGTGGTAGGGTAGCCCAGTGGTAACAGCATTTCCTCATCACTCACTGTTTGATTCCCCACAAAGGTACAATGTGTGAAGCCCATTTCTGGTGTCCCCAACCATGAATATTGCTATTTAAATAGCAATGTAAAAACCAAATCACTCACTCACTCACCATGACGTGTTAATGCCAGCCATACAGTATGGATTCCAAGTGTCAAATCTATTGGAAGTGCTAATAAAATCTCAGCTTCAATTACGTATGAACAGATTAAAGTCAAATGAGGTATGTATGTGCTTGTGTACAATCAGGCTGGTCGTCTGACAAGGCTTCAATTTGAAGTTTTTCAAAGACAATGGTCACCCTCATTACCGTTCTTTAGCATATGGAAAAGGAACTCGGATAGACAGGACTTGTAATACTAGTAAATGAATTTACCATTATAAAATAGATGTGAAATATGGTTGACAAGAATCATTTCACTTCCCCATGGTTGATATGAATATTACAAAATGGTTGATAAAAGCCATATCACCTCTATAACAGATAACAATATGATATAATAATAAAAAAAATAATAATAATGGTCACAATGAGGTCACATTAATTTCAATGTGTTTTATGAGAGTCATAGAAAACAAATGATGTTGATTAAAAATCATTTAACATGAAAGAGGGCTATGACTGTCACATCACTAGAATGAGATTATCAGTAGTTATGTCATGAGAATTTAGTTGATAAGAAACATAGCAATAAGATGAGGATCCTTTGTCTGGAAAGGGGTTGTCAATAATCATATAACTGCAGTGAGGTTGATTAGGGTTACTTCCCAAGAAAGGGGTTGTCAATAATAATATCACTGCAATGAGGTTGATTAGAGTTACTTCCCAAGAAAGGGGTTGTCAATAATCATATAACTGCAATGAGGTTGATTAGGGTTACTTCCCAAGAAAGGGGTTGTCAATAATCATATAACTTCAATTAGGTTGATTATGGTTACTTCCCAAGAAAGGGGTTGTCAATAATCATATAACTGCAATGAGGTTGATTAGAGTTACTTCCCAAGAAAGGGGTTGTCAATAATAATATCACTGCAGTGCGGTTGATTAGAGTTACTTCCCAAGAAAGGGGTTGTCAATAATCATATAACTGCAATGAGGTTGATTAGGGTTACTTCCCAAGAAAGGGGTTGTCAATAATCATATAACTTCAATTAGGTTGATTATGGTTACTTCCCAAGAAAGGGGTTGTCAATAATCATATAACTGCAATGAGGTTGATTAGAGTTACTTCCCAAGAAAGGGGTTGTCAATAATAATATCACTGCAGTGCGGTTGATTAGAGTTACTTCCCAAGAAAGGGGTTGTCAATACTCATGTAACTTCAATGAGGTTGATTAGAGTTACTTCCCAAGAAAGGGGTTGTCAATACTCATGTAACTTCAATGAGGTTGATTAGGGTTACTTCCCAAGAAAGGGGCTGTCAATAATCATATCACCAGAATGATGTTGATAAAGTTATAACACTTGATGGCTGGTTGAGAGTCACCTCTATAAAAGGAATGGGATTGATAAGCATATTAAAGTACTAGAAAGGGGTTATCACTTAGTAAGAATGTGTTGAGGTGTATAAGCCATACTACTGTGTACTTTAGGGATTGACACAAACCTTAACCCAATTATCACAGCTGTGACTCATGTGTGGTGTATGTGTGAATGGAGAGTGTGAATGCAGTGTGGCACTGTGTGCTGGAGTTGTGCCTGTTATATACCAGGATATAAATAGGAATAACTGTTGTTATTCATAACCTCGTATCATCTGGGGCTGCTGAGTTTTAAATAAAGTCCTCGTTGCATTCAGTGAATCAGTATTCAAAATACCATCAAAATGTCTTTGCTTGATGACTAAATTTGAATGATACACCAAAACATGCAGCATGACAGAAATATAAAACAATTTATTCAATGTAGACAAAGTTTATGCATAACAACTTCTTTATTTCATGAGTATGACATTTCGATTCAGATTCTTGTACCCTGCTTGACAAAGGTACAAGAATCTGTATCTAAACGTCACAAAATAAAGAAGTTATCCATAAAGTGTGTCTATATTGCACTTCCCAATTTCTATAAAGCCACTCATAGAAGTTACATATATATTGACAGAAATATATTCTTTCCATGCAAAAACAATTGACGTGCCATTATTAATAGATATTTTGATCCACAATTTAAGAAACACAGGATTATGTTTTATCGAATAATTAAGACAAAGACAATTACCTGGATTATTCTTTATGATGAAGGAGAGTATATAATGCTCCCGCACTGTTCCCATGGCAACAAGATCACTTTCAAAAGCACCACAATAATCCTTTGCCTCGTACCACGATGTGTTGAAGTGTGAAAGGAGGTAGCAGGATGGCCAGTTTTCAATTCCAGTAAACCCATCTGGACATCGGTTACTCAGGTGTACGGACTGGGACCTCATCCTGCCATTATTACCTTTAGCTGAAAGTTCATCAACTTTCTGGTCCAGTTTTCGCCACCATCGGAGGACACGTGTAGATAACTTGTCTAACATGCGTGTGACTTTCTTGGACAGTTGTTTGAGATCTTCTCTGGTGATGGGAGTCACCTGTTGATCGGTTTCAGCCGTTTCTGAGACAGATCGTTTCTGTCGGTAATATGAGACAAAAGGGTTTGTCTGAGCACATGTTTTGCTTTTAGCAGAAATCTTTAGTTCATATTCACATCCACCAATACTGACATCACAAGAATTTCCTTCAACACTCTGAAGCAACCCCACAACCACTATCAGTACTAAAGGAATGTACAGTGTTTCTACACATCTGTGAAGCATCATTTTTAGATGTTATTGAAAACGATTAAAATAACCTTTTTGAATTCCTGTTTGATGTTGTCTGAACAGAACCGATGTTTCTAAATCCCTGCAATTTGTAATGTCCATCATATGCAAGAAATGGAAGCACTGTGAAGTATCCTGAAAATAATTCCTTGTCTTGCCTGTGCGGTATGTTGAGTGACAGGAATGCGCTGCCTCTAAGTTAACTTGTGGAATGGACACAAAATCTCCATACAATACTGCTCAAGACATTATATAAACATGATCCAATGCTGAGATTAATACAAAATGGAGTCACCTGTCGACAGCAGTACTTGTATCTGGTGTAACGTCAATGAACGGTATGTTTGAGTATGGGACATATCACGTCTTTTGTCCGACGACTGACTCTCTGCAATTGATACTCCTAGTCTGGTAGATCATTCTATTGAACACATTTCCTATGAGATGAAAAGAGAAGTGTTGCAATTTATACCACTCCTGTGTTGAGATATAATCCAAATGGGGTTATTGCCGGCACAAGCCGGGATATATTGAGGTGTTTGTGTCCTGGGAAGGCCTTTCATAGCAAATGCATCAAGTCTTGTTGTTGCATACACGTACGAGACTGGAAAAGGAATTACGCATATCTTATGAGGATAAGGCATTTAAAATGTTCTGAATCCTTTCGAACTTTGATTTCCTGATCCTATGCGGATCCATGTGCTCTGTATTGAAAAAGCATTGATCCAGATTTACAAGAAAACTCCTTTCATATTGTAGCTCAGTGCTCTCGATGAATTAGATTTATAAGTTCACAGGACTCAATTTTGAGTTTTTGCCAATAAATGAATGTATGAAAATTAAAATATTCATTAATAAAGCAACAATAAAGCTTTTATTTGCCCTTTCTCCATTCAAAGAGGACAATATTGACTGAATTTTAACCCAGTCAGTTTGATGAGATTTTGGTACCCTTATCATGTGAAAGCTGTCAAATACAAGATCGATTTATATTTTGATTTTGACCATTCATCATTGTTCGGTTGAGATTAAATAATGTATTCTGCATTTGTTTGAACCAGGGTTCTTTGGTAAGTGACTTTCAAATTTAAGAATTTGCTTCTTATCATACTGTATTCAACCTATTAAACACATCCAGCCACACACACACACACACACACATACACATGCACACATACACGACACAAAACACAAAGGGTACCTTTGTAAGTAAACTCAAGAGTTGTTTCATATCTGATTGTGTTTAACCTACATTCATGCATACACACCCACACCCAACACACACAAAAAACCAAAAGAAACCAAAACTCTCTCCCCTTAATATGTTGAATACAGTATCTATGGTAATGGAAAACCAGGGTTTCAATTTCATATCAAATAACTTTCATCATATTTCTTTATGCTGGTGAAGGAATGTATGGCTTAACCAGGTGTAAACTTTTTGGATTGGACATATTGTTTATTCACAATTCTTGGTGAAGGTAAAATTTCTGATTGAAACAATGAAACAACACTGTGGAATATTGACAAATGATATCTACTTCTACTTTTTTACATTTTGCTCACTGTGATTTTAAAAAATGTTTGAAACTATGTGTTGTATTTATCAGACTTCATTACCTGTAAATTGATATTGTATGATGAAACATTTTACAAACAGCATCCTAGAAAATGGATAAGGTGGCCAAGCTGTGTAATATATAAATGTCTTGGGTGTGAGGATCAGCTGGTTATGGGTTTGAATCCCAGCTTTACCCTCATTATGTTCCTTGATCTGTCTGGCGATGGGTAGCCTAGTGGTTAAAGTGTTCATCTGTCACGCCGCAGAGATCCAGGTTTGATTCCCCACGTGGGTACAATGTGTGAAGGCCATTTCTGGTGTCCCCTGCGATTATATAGCGAGAATATTGCTAAAAGCAGTGTAAAACTAAACTCACACTCTCACTCCTAGATCTGTGGAACACCTCTGTGGTGTAGTGGTTAGAGCATCCGTCCGGAGAGCAGAAGGTCACAGGTTCAATCCCCGACCGCGTCAAACCAAAAGACGTTAAAATATGGTACTTGTTGGTCCCTGCCTGGCACTCAGCAATAATGGGTACAACAAGGACTGGTCGGCTCGGAGTCAGTATAATGTGTCTGAGTGGGGTATTCATGCTTCACTGCGGCATGGTATCTCAGTGGGCTAGCACTATAAAACCAGCTTCAGTCTGGGCTAGTACAAGCAGCAGCACATACATACACACACATGCATGTCGTCATATGAGCGAAATATTCTCAAGTACGACGTTAAACCCAATTTCACCTCACCTCACCTAGATCTGTGAGCACCATACCCCTGATGGATTTCAGTAAAATGGTAAACATCAGGGACCGCTTGCACAAGGCATCCTTAATGGCACAACTATCATAAGTCCATGTTAAGGTGTGCAAGTTATGATTGTCATAGCACTACAATCACTATGTGCAAGTGGGCCCAGATTTGTTTAGTTGATATCTTATTTTTGAGACATCATCACGTTACAGAAAAGCAGAATTAAGTTCAAATTTTATGTTTGTCCATTTTTGGAGTATTGTAATATTCTGTTCAGTGTTTAATATTCCAGATGTATAGACTAGCATCTTTCTACCTCATTATTTACATACCTTTCAATAGAAACAGAATTTGTAAATACATCCGCTAACCAGCAATGCTTACTGTGGTTCTAAATGTTGTTCCAGGGTGCAGCCTCTCAGTTTATCCTGGGGGATCAAGAGAGATATGGATTTCTGAACATCACCCTCCTGGACAACACGATTCCAGAGCCATCCAAATCATTCACTGTGGAGCTGGTGAACCCAGGGGGTGGCGCCAGCGTGGGTCCGGGGTCAACGGTTACCGTCGTTATAGGGGCATCTGATGGCGCATTTGGCATCTACCAGTTTGCCAATGATTCTCTTGCTGTGCAGGCCCAAGAAACGGGGGATATTGGTTTCAACAGCATCAGTCTTAATGTGAGTTTGTCTTGTGCGTGGACAGTTCTGTGTGCAGGGACTGGTGAGAGGAGTAGAGACATGTTTGTAGAGAGACAAAGGGAAACAAGAGGTCAAGGGATGTGGCTAGGTGGGCTGGGGTGGTGCTGGGATAGGGTAAGGTGGGCTGGGGTGGTGCTGGGATAGGGTAAGGTGAGTTGGGGTGATGCTGGGATATGGCTAGGTGGGTTGGGGTGATGATGAGATGGGGTTAAGTGGGTTGGGGTGATGGTAAGGTGGGTTGAGGTGATGAAGGGATGGGATAAGGTAGGTTTGGGTGATGATGAGATGGGGTTAGGTGGGTTTGGGTGATGATGAGATGGGGTTAAGTGGGTTGGGGTGATGGTAAGGTGGGTTGAGGTGATGAAGGGATGGGATAAGGTAGGTTTGGGTGATGATGAGATGGGGTTAGGTGGGTTTGGGTGATGAAGGGATAGGGTTAAGTGGGTTTGGGTGATGAAAGGATAGGGTTAGGTGGGTTGGGGGTGATGAAGAGATGGGGTTAGGTGGGTTGAGGTGATGAAGGGATGGGATACGGTAGGTTTGGGTGATGATGAGATGGGCTTAGGTGAGTTTGGGTGATGAAGGGATAGGGTAAGGTGGGTTGGGGTGATGAAGGCATGGGGCTAGGATGGGTTTGGGTGATGAAGGGATGGGATAAGGTAGGTTTGGGTGATGATGAGATGGGGTTAGGTGGGTTTGGGTGATGAAGGGATAGGGTTAGGTGGGTTGGGGTGATGAAGGCATGGGGCTAGGATGGGTTAGGGTGGGGGTGACATAAGGTTAGGCGGGTTTGGGTGATGATTGGATGGGAATTGTATTGGGTTATTGAGGTGATGGGATCGCAGGACATTACTAACAGTAAACCCCACTCAGTATCTTGCAGATTAATTGCTTTTTAACATCATCCATAATGAACATGTATAGCTCTCATCAGAATGCCTGCATTTTGTTGATACCTTTGTAAATATTTAGAAGTTGATAAAAGTGATGAAATATAAAGCAAGAAGGGCATCACTAGGATATGTTTAAAAAATCAATTTAGTTCCGTCAGAACTATGTGTGACATCTCATTAAGCACATTTGTAAATTTGATTACTACTTTATAAACATTGAACAAATACATTTTAGAAACATTTGTTTATTACATAGATGCATTGAAATGTCTCTTATCTACATATTGGCAAGCAGAAATACTGCAGCTGAAAAGTGAAAACAATTTGGTTTAATGACAATTGAAAGTGTCAGAAAAAGGTTGAATTTATATGAGATGAGGAGGAGGAGGGAGTGATGATATCAGGTATAAAATGATTATTGTCATTGTGCCTAATTTTCTGCTCTTCCCCAAACAGATTGTTCGTCTGGGAGGAACCTATGGCACAGCTCAGGTCAGATGGCAGGCAATAAATGACAATCAAAATGACCTTATGTTAAATAATGGAGTGGTCAACTTTGCACAAGGTCAGACATCTGCTGCAGCAGAGATACAGATCCGAGGTGACTTGGTTCCAGAACTGGATGAGAACATTAATATAGTTCTCACTGCAACAACTGAGGTAAAATTAACATGCATCTAAACAAATATAATTTAGTAATTTTTAGGATTTTTTCCCTGTGAAATATGTTTATTTTAACAAAATAAAATGAAATATAACTTCCTCAGCTTTGAAATAAATGATTGTTCTTCACTCAGAAAAAAAATGCAGCTCAAGATTATGTGCAATCCATAACTAAGGAATTTACTGCCGTCCAGAAGGACATGATGAATTCCTATACACCATACTGTTGATGCCTTATTCCCATGTAACTACATGCTTTACTTGTTGATAAGAATTTGGTCCATTAAACTGACTCTGTGTGTTGGATGATGTGTATAAACGTGTGGTTAATCCACCAAACATATGCCCACTTGTGTTATAGAAGGCTTAATATTCAGGTCTGTACATGTATCATGCTGACAATTTCAGAGCATTTCTGTTTTCTTTCAGTAAGTTATTTTCAAGGTATTGATTTACTCTTTATAAGTATGAAAAATATAGCAGACTTTTGATAAGAACATTGTAAATATGTTAATATTAGATTTTGTTGTACAGGTTTTTGATACACATCTGATGAAAGTTATTTATTGTCTTAATTCTTGAATCAAATATATTTTAAGATCATGCAATGTATTGTATATTTTGCAGAACATACCTTCATTTTGTCTATGATTATGATCAAAAGCTAGACAACTTGAGTAAACTGTTTAAAAGTACACTCTCAGTCAAAGAAATGTAACCATGTGCATTTTTCTGTAATTAAAAATTTGATGAAAGAAATGAAACAAATTAAGTGAAATGAAGAGTGGTCAGACTAGGTATACAATATATTCAAAGCAGAAAAAAATTGCACTTGCAATTTGATAAAAAGAAAATAATGTGAAAACACACATCATAGTAGGATAGTGATAAAAAGGTAGAATTGAGATGTTGCATCACTCACTTATGACAATCAGTACATGTTTATTGTACACGACAGGGTGACCTTGGGGACGCTTCCCGGAGGACGGCGGTTGTGACGATCCTGGCTAATGATGGACCTTATGGAGTGTTCACCATCACAGACACGCAGAGACCCACCATTGTGCAGGAGGCAAACACAGGTAGTGTTTGTTTGTTTGTTTGTTTGTTGTGTAATACCACACTCAGCAATATTCCAACTGTATGGTGGCAGTGTGAATATTACTCATATTTAACTCATAATCAGTGATTTTGGTTCAGTACTGTTGTCAAAGTTTTTCAGTAACATCACAGCATTTGAGCTTAATGTGGAAGAAAAGTTGGAAATGAAGACATTTGATGAAACTGAGTTTGTAAATGATATGGTGCTCTTAGATATAGAACATGAATATGGTCTCAAAATACACAATCAATGATGTAGTGCTCTTAAACATAGAACATGAATCTGAAAATGCACGATAACAGAGTTCTGGCGTAACTCGGGGATATTATCATATTTCTTATGTATATTGTGAAGCCCATTTCTGGTGTCCCCCGCCGTGATGTTGCTGGAATATTGCTAAAAGTGGTGTAAAACCAAACTCAGTCAGTCAGTCAGTCTTATGTATATTATCTATACAGACTATTTTATCAAGAACTTTTCCTTTCAGATGTCTCTGTTACAATTCGAAGACAAAATGGGCTATTTGGGACTGTAGATGTGAGTTACGCATCGCTGCTTCCCAACGAGAGCTATAACTACCTACCAGGTCAGGTAAACAGAGCAGGAAGTACTGACTTCATATCTGCGTCTGGGACAGTGAGGTTCCTGCCCAATCAGGAGTATGCCACTTTCAGTGTGACCATCCTGGATGATGACATCCCAGAGCTGGATGAGAGCATCTTTGTGGAGCTGAAACAGGCCGTTCTTATACAAGGAGCACAGCAAAGACCAGGTATGGAGTGAGTGAGAGGGTTGGTTCCAAGTGTCACATCCATGAGTGAGTTAGGATGGGTGTGGATGGGGGATGAATGAGTTCATGACCTCCCAGAGCATCTTTGTGGAGCTGAAACAGGCCATTCTTATACAAGGAGCACAGCAAAGACCAGGTATGGAGTGAGTGAGAGGGTTGGTTCCAAGTGTCACATCCATGAGTGAGTTAGGATGGGTGTGGATGGGGGATGAATGAGTTCATGACCTCCCAGAGCATCTTTGTGGAGCTGAAACAGGCCGTTCTTATACAAGGAGCACAGCAAAGACCAGGTATGGAGTGAGTGAGAGGGTTGGTTCCAAGTGTCACATCCATGAGTGAGTTAGGATGGGTGTGGATGGGGATGAATGAGTTCATGACCTCCCAGAGCATCTTTGTGGAGCTGAAACAGGCCGTTCTTATACAAGGAGCACAGCAAAGACCAGGTATGGAGTGAGTGAGAGGGTTGGTTCCAAGTGTCACATCCATGAGTGAGTTAGGATGGGTGTGGATGGGGGATGAATGAGTGCATGACCTCCCAGAGCATCTTTGTGGAGCTGAAACAGGCCGTTCTTATACAAGGAGCACAGCAAAGACCAGGTATGGAGTGAGTGAGAGGGTTGGTTCCAAGTGTCACATCCATGAGTGAGTTAGGATGGGTGTGGATGGGGGATGAATGAGTTCATGACCTCCCAGAGCATCTTTGTGGAGCTGAAACAGGCCGTTCTTATACAAGGAGCACAGCAAAGACCAGGTATGGAGTGAGTGAGAGGGTTGGTTCCAAGTGTCACATCCATGAGTGAGTTAGGATGGGTGTGGATGGGGATGAATGAGTTCATGACCTCCCAGAGCATCTTTGTGGAGCTGAAACAGGCCGTTCTTATACAAGGAGCACAGCAAAGACCAGGTATGGAGTGAGTGAGAGGGTTGGTTCCAAGTGTCACATCCATGAGTGAGTTAGGATGGGTGTGGATGGGGGATGAATGAGTTCATGACCTCCCAGAGCATCTTTGTGGAGCTGAAACAGGCCGTTCTTATACAAGGAGCACAGCAAAGACCAGGTATGGAGTGAGTGAGAGGGTTGGTTCCAAGTGTCACATCCATGAGTGAGTTAGGATGGGTGTGGATGGGGGATGAATGAGTTCATGACCTCCCAGAGCATCTTTGTGGAGCTGAAACAGGCTGTTCTTTCACAAAGAGCTCAGAAAAACACAAGGTATGGAGTGAGTGGGTTAGTGAGGGAGGGATGAGGGAGGAATTAGTGCATGTATGACATGAGTGAGATTGGTGTGCTGAGTGAGTGTGAGTGTGTCAGCATGAAGAAGGTGAGTTGGTGATGGATGAGTGCTGGAGTTGAGTAGGGGCAGAAGAAATGTCTAACACAGTGAGGTTGAAAGAGTGGGTAAGGGGGTGAGCTGATTGGTGAGAGACGGGACAGAGGGAGGGAACCTGTGAATATAGCAATGCATGAGGATGAATGGGAGAGCTGGAAAGAGTGAAGTTAAGAATGAATGAGAGAGGGAGGGACAAATACACTGTGAGTGAGAAGAAATACATAGGGTGGAGACATAGTAAGGAAGAACCAATGAATGTGTGAATGATGAACAAATTGTGCAACACTGGGCTGTAACAAGACTGTTTCCAGCATGCAACATAGAAAATGGTCCATTTCACCTGTGAAGAGTATATGTAATTATGTAATATTGATGAGTACACTTCTGAACATTTTCACTACTGCCTCTGCATGTTTTCACTGCTGGTGTGTTCCTATATGACTCTTGTGCTTTCATAACTTAACATTGCCACTGTAACCTGTCATGGTAGGAATGTTTCAGTGGCAGATAGGGTCAGTGATAGTTATCATAAAAAACCAGCAGCATCATTCAACATCAATAGCAAACACTGCATATTTGTCTGAGTTACCATCATGGAATTCCCATGACCATCAAAGCCTTGCAGGCAACAGTCGTTATCGCCTTCAGTCACAGTGCCAGATGCTGTTTCAGTGCCAGAGTCTCCACGTCTTGGGCAGAGCTCCCAGAGCTACGCTCAGATCATCATCAGCAGGAACGATGATGCGAGTGGGAGGGTGGAGCTGTCAGCGTCATCGCTGGAGGTCACTGAGGAGTCCGGTCCACTGGAGCTGTATGTCAACAGGGTTGGTGGATCATTTGGGGAGGTGAGTACACAACAATTCCCTGGAGCCCTGCTTATCACCTTCTTGGGATTATGACTACGAACCCAATACCCAGTGTCATTCCCTTTTGATTTCCTGGCCAACTAGCTTCATGCTTGTCTTCTGGGATTAATATGGCAGAAGAGGTCCACTGAGCAATTTACTTGTCTCCCTTTGGAGATTAAGGCAGACCAGTATCCCCAGAAATATGTTGCTGTTTTCTAATGTAGAATCTAGGTCAGAATGGGTTTCCTGAACACCATGCTTGTTAAAGTATAGGGTGTTACATTCACTCACGGTGCTTTTATTTGTGTATTATATGTGAGCTCCTTTTGTGATGGTGCCATACTGGATACCACATATTGAATACCTAATGCAATGTCTCTTTTACTTTGTCTGTATGATTGAACATCTCATTATATCATACAAGTAAAGTCCTAGAATATAGTGTTGACTTCTTTTCCCAGATCACTGTAAGGTTCCGCACAGTCGACCTGGAAGCTGCCAACCTCCAGGATTACATCATCACTGGTGCAGGGCAGGTCATACTCAGTGATGGAGAAGCACAGAAGAGACTCCCTATCCGTATAGAGAATGATTTCATACCAGAGACACGCGAGAGGTTCAGGATTGAGCTACTGGATTCAATCACTGGGGGTGCCTCTCTTGGTTCAGCCCGCCAAGCCATTGTCACAATATTGCCTTCTGATGATCCAAATGGAGCTTTTGGTATGATTCCCATATCAGAAAAGTTGATCAATTTCTAACTGAATTAACTGTATGTAATTTTGGACAGTTAGATACAGGTGGTTTATGTTTAACATAATGGTTAGATATAGTTAAAGTATTGATTGTATTAAGAGAGGTGCCCTTCTCCAAAGCTAATCTAGAGGTCTAGAGGTCTGTTTCAGTTACCATAAGGTGTTCCTTCTGGTCTGTTTTATTATTTGAATGACATTCTTGAATAAGTGAACAGAATGTGTTTCAGGATTTCCATAGTTTAAAGGTGTTCCTGCCTCAATAGCCCGTTTTGATATTTGAATGACATTCTGGAAATAAGAAACTGAATTAATCTGTTTCAGGGTTTGCAACTACGGGGCAGGAGACGCAGGAGCTAGCCAATAACCAGAATCCTGTGAGCATCACAGTCTCAAGGACTGGGGGAGTACAGGGTGTCATCACCGTCAACTGGGAAGCCAGACTTAATGGTAACTGTAATTTGAATGATGTGTAATGTCCCCAATGCTTGATGCTTTAGAGTTCTAATGCATCATTGTTTTGATCTGCCTTTCAAGACTTTCATGCATGTGGAGTAAAAAAACATTTCTTTCCCAAATGCATATTTAGGCCAATTTTAGTAACTATAAAAGCAAAATTTAATTAGGCAGTAAACCTTTCACATTTAATAAAAAAACGGTTTAATTTCTATTCAACTTCACTGGGGGGTTTACCATCAATGCTACAGTTTTCATAAAGACAAATTTATTTCTGAAGAGAAATATTGATAAGAGAAGCCTAGAGGGTGTAAATGTTCTTGTGCTGTTTGAGGCAGAATATAATGACAATTTCCTGTATTAGAATTCAAGGCCCTCGTCCACAGGTATCAAATGGCCAGCTTCTTAGTTTTAGCAGTAAATGTTGTGGAATCGTGCCCACATCAGTTCTAAGTTCAACTTCTTCACTCAATGTGTTTCCCAGGGCAACTGGCCACTGCTGACATAACACCTTCATCAGGGCAGTTGTACTTTGTGTCCAATGAAGGCAGCAAGCAGATCAACATCTTCATCTTACCTGATGATATTCCAGAAGGAGAGGAGGTGAGGAAGGAGTGTTGCTGCAGGTTGGATCATATTACCATGATGCAACAGTTTGGATCATATTGCCATGATGCAATAGGTTGGATCATATTATCGTGATGCAGCAGGTTGGATAATATTGCCATGATGCAGCAGGTTGGATCATATTGCCATGATGCAGCAGGTTGGATCATATTCTCATGATGCAGCAGGTTGGATCATATAATCATGATTTAGGATGCAGCAGGTTGGATCATATAATCGTGATGTATGATGCAGCAGGTTGGATCATATAATCATGATGTATGGTGCAGCAGGTTGGATCATATGGCCATGATGTATGGTGTATCAGGTTGGATCATATAGTCATGTATGATGCAGCAGGTTGGATCATATGGTCATAATGTATGATGCAGCAGGTTGTATCTTATGGTCATGATGTATAATGCTGCAAGTTGGATCATATAACCATGATGTATGATGCAGCAGGTTGTATCATATGGTCATGATGTATAATGCTGCAGGTTTGATCATATAATCATGATGCAGCAGGTTTGATCATATGGTCATGATGTATGATGCAGCTGGTTTGATCATATGGTCATGATATATGATGCAGCTGGTTGGATCATATGGTCGTGATGTATGATGCAGCTGGTTGGATCATATGGTCATGATGTATGATGCAGCTGGTTTGATCATATGGTCATGATGTATGATGCAGCTGGTTGGATCATATGGTCATGATGTATGATGCAGCTGGTTTGATCATATGGTCATGATGTATGATGCAGCTGGTTGGATCATATGGTCATGATATATGATGCAGCGGGATGGATCATATAGTCATGATGCAGCAGGATCGATCACATAGTCATGACGCAGCAGGATGGATCATATAGTCATGATGCAGCAGGCTGGATCATATAGTCATGATGCAGCAGGCTGGATCATATAGTCATGGTGCAGCAGGCTGGATCACAGTCACGATGCAGCAGGATGGATCATATAGTAATGATGCAGCACACTGGATTATATAGTCATGGTGCAGCAGGCTGGATCATATAGTATTGATGCAACGGGATGGATCACATAGTCATGATGCAGCAGGATGGATCATATAGTCATGATGCAGCAGGATGGATCATATAGTATTGATGCAGCGAGCTGGATCATATAGTCATGGTGCAGCAGGATGGATCATATAGTATTGATGCAACAGGATGGATCACATAGTCATGATGCAGCAGGATGGATCATATAGTATTGATGCAACAGGATGGATCGCATAGTCATGATGCAGCAGGCCGGATCATATAGTATTGATGCAGCAGGCTGGATCACATAGTCATGATGCAGCAGGCTGGATCATATAGTCATGGTGCAGCATGATGGATCACATAGTCATGGTGCAGCAGGATGGATCATATAGTCATGATGCAGCAGGATGGATCATATAGTATTGATGCAGCAGGCTGGATCACATAGTCACGATGCAGCAGGATGGATCATATAGTCATGATGCAGCAGGATGGATCACTTAGTCATGATGCAGCAGGCTGGATCATATAGCCATGATGCAGCAGGTTGGATCATATACTCACTGACTCATGACTGTTCCAACTGAAATACTGAATCCATTCTGTCAGAGATATGGTATTAGTAGTTGTTGGATTTGAAGCTTAACTGGGTCATGATTAGGGCTTGTGTCAGCAGAGATGTGTTTGGATGAGTGTGGGGGGGTGTACAATAGTTATCTCCCTTTTTCATATATCTTAAGTTTTGAACAATTACTCATAAATTTGTGGCATTACTTTCTCCTACAATGAAGATTATCTAATCTCCATACATACATTTATAGACAGTACTTAATGTCCGTGTACACCTATAAGCAATACCTTATGAAATGTATCAACTGGTTATGATAAACTGTTCATGTTTCACAGTTGAAACTTATACCTCATGGTTCTTTTGATTGTTTCTGAAGAAATATCATGTTTGTGATATCTGCATTTATATTTAAATGCAAATCAGTTATATATTCTACTTTTTTCCAGAAAATCAACATAACCTTGACCTCTGCTAACAATGGTGGACGGATTACGGACCAGAACTCATTTATTCTGACCATTGCTCCAAATGACAACCCTCACGGTGTTGTCCAGTTTTTACGACAAACTTACGAACTCAATGAAATAATAGGGAGCCAACCCCAGTTTCTAGCTCTTGAGAGATAGTAAGTTGAAAGAATCAGATGATTGAATAGATCTATATTTCTTAAGGCCAGACCAATTTTATTTCTGGATCCGCAGGTCATATTTGTTCAAGAATAAGAAAAAAATTAAAATTAGTTTTCCCCGCTCATAAATTAAAGTCCTTTGTTTTATTAGCCAAAAATGTAAACTTACAAGAAATTTGTTTTGATTGATTTTTGCTCCTTATATACTTCATAAATTGCCAGAAGTTAAATAATTTTAATATTTAGAAGAAATATTACTTTGACTGGGGATTTTTTTTAATTGTTTTTTTTTTCACTCCTGCCTTTAGGTTTTCTGAGGACAAAAATCCGTAAAACAAGAAATAAAATTGGTCTGGCCTAATCTTATATTCCTATTTTGTATTATCAGGGAAGACTACCTGTGCTATATCTGTATATTTGGACCAAAGAGACCAGTAGTTGTTCTGTATTGGTATTACATCATAAAACATGTAGAAGCTTTTGAAAGATTCAGTGCAGCCTTTTACACAAAAACATCTCATGCTGAGTGCACTGTCTTCTTTACGAGACAGTTATCATTGTTTGCTTAACAACAGAAAAATATATCCTCCTCATGCTTTAACTATAATAGTTCAGGCCGAAAGTGTGCTTTATTACACTATACATGGGGGTAGAGCAAACTGTATTTTTCAATTAAAATATATTTTTAATACTGACATTCATAGAAGCTTGTTACCTAAATGTCCTTATGGCAGTCTGAAATATATCTGTTAGTACTCTGAAATAATAATTGTCATGTGTTAATATGAAAACATACTGTTAGTTTCTGTGAGAACTAGAAACATTTGCTTCAAGATGATTTCCTCAACATAACGTAAAACACGAAGTTAACTCCGAACTACACATGTTGAATATGCAGTAAATGATCACACAAGATCAGTATGAATATAGTTCAATCTTGAAGCACATTCTGAGATTTACAATCACAGAAAAAGACAATTGGTCAAACAACCTGTCAAGTGATAAGTAACATATGTCCTAATATATATCAGAGCAGAGGCAAATGTAGGGAACATGTCCTTGCTGATTGTGAATCTGCAAGCATGGACACAGTTGGACCTCTGTCATATTACCGAAAGCAGATATAAATGTTATCAATAGATATTCAATACATTTTTATGTCTATATGTTGTAATACATTGGCACATACTTCTGATATTTTTAAAAGCTCATGAAGTCATGTAATTGTATTTTCTGTTGTAGTGGTGGCACATATGGCCGTCTCCGAGTGTACTACACAGTATCGCAGACCAGATTGTCAGATCTGGCGCTCGATCTTACAAAGCCATTTGTTACTTACTTTTACGAACCCCAATCTGGACAAAGATTTGATCGGATACCCGTTGATGTCTCACAAGAATCAAACCCCTTCATGGTGAGACTAAAATGTTTCAGAATTTATTGTGGTATTTGTAATTCAGTCATGAGAATCATTAGCTTTCTATTGAATCTGTTTCCTTTGTTTCCTAGTCTGTACTCAACTTAGAACACTGACAGAACATTACTGTTTGAGAAAAGAATGGTAACAAAGCCACTGAATCACACCACACTGTCCTTTCACAAATTGGGATCTTAGTACTTTTACCATCACGTTAGCATTACGACCATTAATGATAAGCTATAGGAGTTACTTATTTATATGGGGATTTTCTCAGTAAACTATGTACCCTAATATGCTTTTAAATGGAATCTGGAGTTTCAGCATCCATAGACATGATTCTGCCTGGGTTTTGAACAAAGAGGCTGAACACTGTACTATGATAGGTTGACATGTTATCTTAAAATATGACTGACTGACTGACTGAGTTTAGTTTTACGCCGCTTTTAGCTATATTCCAGCAATATCACGGCGGGGGACACCAGAAATGGGCTTAACACATTGTGCCCATGTGGGGAATCGAACCCCGGGTCTTCGGCGTGACGAGCCAACACTTTAACCACTAGGCTACCCCACCGCCCCCCTTAAAATATGAAGAATAGGTTCGCATAGAGCCAAGGGGGGCTTTATGAAATAGAAGTTATGATCATTATATTTGAGCTTTGAGAGTATGCTATGCAGAATTTCTGCAGTGGAAATATCCATTTTGAGGCATTTCCTGGAGGACCTTAAAATTTATATGAATTTTCTTATCAGTATATCAACTCTCTTTTAAATAATAGTTCAAGTGAGTATTAATAAATAAACTGTCTGTTCATGAAATGGTAGTCTTTACATCAACTGTCTATTGTCTGTTGGTAGTTCCAATCAGTATATTAACAGTCTGTTGTTTATGACCAGCTGGTCTGTATTTCAACTGTCTGTTGTTTATTAATAGTTCAGTAAGAATATCAATTGTCTATTGTTTATGACCAGTTGGGCAGTATATCAACTGTCTGTTGTTTATGAACAGTTTGTCAGTATATCAGCTATCTGTTTATTTGTAACCTAGGCATGTAGTGCCTTTTGTCTCAACCGTGAAGACTGCAGAGCGTACACATATCGCCGTGACAACGAATCCACAGAGTGTTTCTGGCACAATACAGACTTCTCCGGGAACCCTGACACCTGATGTCAATGCTCAGTATTACGTGAAGAATGCCACAATGGTCAGTATATATAATCACAAGTCAGTCAGAGTGTGAATGAGAAATCTGAAAAATGTTCAGGTTACCAAACTTCATGTACAGAAAAGACCTTCAGCTTCACAAGGCAATGATGAATTTGATGTTCAGGCATTCATCCATCATCCCATGTAGTGAGGACCACTTTTGTTTCTTGTTTTATATATGTAATTGAAATAGAATAACAATACATTTTATAAATTTACCTTGAGAACATTTGTATCTGTTTTCCATGCCTGCTGTGTAAACTTGACAAATAATGTCAGTAAAATCAAATGAAAGTAGAAATGTAGGTTTACAAGGCACCTGTTGGGGATCTAGATAACAATAGACGTCTTCAGCCACCTATGCTTATTTAACCATGTTTAACACTGCATGCAGCAATATTTTAGCTTCTTTGAGAGGCAATTTAGAAGTTGTATAGATGAAGGAAAACCAAATTTGATGGATAGTCAACTTCTTTATTGCAATGAATATGACGTTTTGGTGTAGGTACTAACACCATTATCATGCAAGTACACCGAAACGTCCTACTCATTGCAATAAAGAAGTTCACTATCCATCAAAATAAATAAGTCTGGACCACACAATCTTGTGATTGACATCATTAGCATCTTGACCCAATTCAGATACAAAGGCATGTCAATGAAGTCAGCAAGCCTGTCCACCAAATCCTGTTGATCACCTCTTATGACAAGCATGGGTAGCCAAATTCTAACCTGCATAACCATGTTGAATACATTCACGGGTTATGTACATAAAAATGTGTTGCAGGTGGCTATGTTGGAGGGGTCCCAAGCCCGGCCATCGGCAGATTATGTGCCTATCACTGAGGCCTCCGTCATCGTGGATGACCAGGCTTCGTCAGCTCAGCTTCCAGTCACAATCATCGATGACAACCTGCCAGAACTTGCAGAGAAGTTCCAGGTGACGCTGTTGCGAGTCATTGTAGATGACCCTGCAGCCAGGACTTCACAAGCCCCGACTCTTGGGACCGTGAAAACAACGACTGTAATCATCCCTCCCAATGATGAGGCCAACGGTTTGTTCAGCATCTACAGCACTCAGTCTGTCACACAGAGTGAGGTGTTCGTGCAGGAGAGAGACAGGCAGGCAGTCAACCTCATTGTGGAGAGAACAGGTCAGTCACAGTCCAGTGTCAATGATAAATCTGAAAAATGTTCCGTTTACCAAAATTCATGTACTAAAATACCTGAAATAAATTCCTTACTTTGCAAGAATAGAATAATGATTTTGCAAATTATAATTTTATCTAGGGTATACAATGTTGTACAAGTTCCACTTTTATAAATCGTTAATGTGTAGAAAAGTTTCTGTGTATCAGAAAAATTCTGATTCTGTAACTAGTAAAATCTGATGTCCTTTTTTAGAGTATGGTGAAAAAATAATGTCATTTACTCTTCCAATAACACACATTTAAGAAACTGAGTGATTACTCAAAGCAGACTTGAAACAGATGATTTGCATTCGTACGCAGCCCTTGTGTATGGCTCATGAATAGTTTGTGTCTTGTTTGCTTTCAAGGTAACCTTGGTTATCTGGTCAGTATAGTCCAGATTGAACATGGTTCAGATTAAAAAATCACAGGGCAGGGCGTGTGAAGATGTGGAGGGTGGTGGTGGAGGGGGGTTTGGCGGAGGTGTGGGTGTGGGTGTAAAGGGGATCAAAATGTTTGTCTCTGCCAAACTAGTTCATGCACACTGGGGTCTAGATTTTCGAAGCTCTCTTAGCGGTAAGATAGTCGTAAGTGCCATACATTAACATTAACTTACGACTGTCTTAGCGCTAAGAGAGCTTCGAAAATCTAGGCCCAAATCTTTCACTGCTCATTTGCATGATATTTCCACAATATTGTCAGTTTCTCTTATGTCATAGCCATTGGGATGACCCAAAACTGCTGTTACTTGATTACTTGTCACAATTAAACTTTCCATATCACTTGAAGAAGGCTTCTTGAGGGAGGTAACAGCATGATTAATCATATTTGTCTGATTACAGGAGGGACTATTGGTGAGGTGTCTGTAGACTGGTCAGTGGCACCAGGTCCTTCTGCTACGTACCAGATAGACTTCATAGCAGACGGTGCCACCCTTGTGTTTCCAGAGGGACAATCACGTTCCGGTAAGCTGCTGAACATCAGCATTTGACAAACTCTACTATCTTAAACAAGGCCTATTTACTTCATTAGTTTCCAGACTTTCCAAGTCAAAAGGGGCAGATTGAAGGTTAAAAGTAGTAACTTTGACCATTTATTCTGAAAAGAATTACTTTAAAAAAAATCTTGAAAAATCAGCTGAACTCTAACAGACAAAAATTTGTTTGACAACATATTATTTCAACACACATGGATAAAACTGTCTTTCTTAACTTCCTATGTTCCGAGATTTCCCATTATTAGTTAAAATGTCTCCAAAGCAGAGTTAATTAGTTGTACCAGATTTTTGTTAGAATATAGAAAAAGTTGTTTACATATGGCCTCTAAAATTTAAAAACCTGTAGATAATACTGTTGATTATCCTCTGGTTGATGTTTTTAAACTCTTATGTAGAGTTATATTTCATAAATGTGAATCATTTCAGTTGTGACTGTGACGATCTTGGATGACCGGGACCCCGAGGACAAGGAGAACTTCACTATACAGCTAAGTAACCCACGCGGAGGTGCTCAGGTCGGTCCCAGGTCGAATATAACCATCGTCATCCTAGAGAACGACAATGTAGCAGGTGTGGTCAGTCTGGACGACACGGCCAAAATAGCCTCCGAAGGTAAGCAGCAAGTGGGAGTCAACTAACTGTCAAACTATACCTTACTAAGTCATAGCTTTGTATAGGTCAATATAAAGAGTTACATCCCTTGTATATACCAGAAACTAACGTTTTAGCATGAAATCACATTTCACCTTTAAGTATGTGTAGGTTTGCTTGTGGATTTTACCAAAGTGGAAATATATAAGATCTGGTTCACTTCCAACTTTACTCCTACATCAGGCTGACATGTCATGATACTGTGATACTGAGGCTTCAGACCCATCTCTCTCACTGTCTACATCAGGCTGACATGTCATGATACTGTGATACTGTGGCTTCAGACCCATCTGTCTCACTGTCTACATCAGTATCACTTGTAACATCTTGGCATACCAGTGGTTGATAGCTTGAGTGACATCATCATGGTGCCACTTCACAACCACTCAATCCAGATGTTTTAACACAACTCAGGTATTGGGTCCTATTCATTCACCAAATACACACAACAGAGTTAGTGAGAATTACTTTGTGGAGCTTTAAGCAATATTCCAGCAATATCATGGTAGCTAGGAGCCACCAGGAATGGACTTCACATCTTTTACCTTGGTCTTTGGTATGACAAATGAACACTTAAACAATAGACTACCCCTCCACCCCTACTGACCCCAGAAAACAAACTAGTGTAGGTAGGAAACCTGGAACTGAATATGTAAGTATCATTATTTTATCATCATATCAGTCTTTTGGCGTCAGGACAGTGGGGTAGCCTATTTGTTACAGCGTTGCTCATCACGCCGAAGACAAGAGTTCGATTCCCCACATGGGTACAATGTGTGAAGCCCATTTCTGGTGTTCCCTCTGTGATATTGCTAGAATATTACTAAAAGCAATGTAAAACTAAACTTACTCACTCTTTAGGAATCATATCATTATTTGGCCTTGTCAATCATCAGGTGAAAGTTTCACATGTCGGGTATCAAGGACCTCGCCAGCGTATGGCACAGTAGTGGTCAGCTGGACAGTAGATGGCATGAACGGCCTGCTGCCACAGAATGGCTTCCGGCAGTACAGTGGAATACTGACATTTGCCCCTGTGAGTATATCTTCATGCTGGGTGTGTCATTCAGAAAACAGTACCTCACATAAGTGGATATTGATATATCGACACATGATAACAGTTGAAATATTTTTGTTTTGCTGAGGAAATTTTTATCAGTAAGTCTCGATATATTTGACATCAAGAGATCTAAGGGTAAGATTCTATTTGTCATCAAAATCATTTTTATAAATTGTTTAGTTTGTAATCAGTGCTAAGGAGTGTCTTGTGTCTGAAAAGTACATCTATTCAGCTTTGTGGCTGAAAGTCTATTGATGTCATTGTATTTTATTGTATCACAATGATCTGCAGAACAATCTCATTACAACGTTTTCTCCAGTAGAATTCAGGTTTGGATGATAAACAGAATGTTGCAATTTACACATGGGGGGGTGTCACTTAGAATATATCAAATTTGGCAATATGGACATGGGTGGAGGAAGAAAATTCAGCAGAATTTAACATATAGAGCTAACAAATGAACATACCAATGACATATCATAATGATATATACATGTATGTGTAGTTAAAGGTATAATAGTTAGTTTGTGTTTTCGATATGGACACAAACAGCCTTGTCCTGTCAGAAAGTGTTTGTTAATAAAGAGATTGATATTGACACAAGAAAGGTATGGATACATATTAATAACTAAAAACCTTTCAAATGAAGTGCTGTAGCAATATTTTCAACAATAGATGGATTAGCTTGATAAAATTGTGTTTTTGTTTACTTTCAGGGAGAGCTGTTTAAGGTGATATCTTTGTCAGTGTTGACTGATGAGACACCTGAAGTTAACGAGGAATATCGCCTTAGATTGTTTAACCCAATCACGCAAGGTAGGGTTGGCTTTCATGTTTCTGTTCCTCAAAATCACTTAGGAGGGTGATTGATTCTCAATTAAAATATAACAAGTTCACTCCGCCAGTTATTACAAGGAACCATCATTTTTAAAACTTCTCTATTTGTCTTGGCTGACATTCAAAATAAGTATGTTGGAATTGCTGATTTGTCAGTTAATTTCCTAATGATACTCTTGAAACTGAAAAGGCATACATGGATAAGTGCACTTTTGGGATTTCAGGATCTGCATATTTTAAGAATTGAAATTTAAGGAAATGGTTAGGAAACAATCTGATGTGTTCATTCAAATGACTAGACTTTCCAGGTTTGCCCATCCATCTGTCTGTCCATCACATTTTTTTGTCGGTGGGAATCTTTAAAACTTTACATTGTACTTACTTTAAATGAAAATCTGAAGTTTGAGCAAGTACTGGGACATAGAGTATAATATTCATCTTAGGTCACAGACTTCTCAAACCTCATTTCACTTGAAGTTCTAAAATTCTTTGGCCTTATCATTATATTTGTACAAAAACACATAGTTTAATACAAATATGTCAAGGTTTCTGCATTTATTGTGGGTCAAACTGTTAAACTGTGATGTTATCTACCTCATTTTATGATAAAATCAAAGTGAATGATTTAAATAAATAATTGAATCAAACGATATATTTTGCAAAATTTACAATTAGTCCCTTTAACGAAACAAGAGAAACATATGAGACTGGCCCAATACATCATTATGGGGTGGTATAAGGTAATAAATATAAGTAAAAAGTTACTGTAATTCTGATTCTCCATCTCCTGCTTCAGGTGTTGGGGTAACTGGGGCTGCTACAATTAACACCCAACGAAGTAGTGCCATCATCACCATCAGAGGCAGCGACAACCCACATGGCCTCTTCCAGTTTGCACTCACATCTCAAGCTGTTCGTGTTGAAGAAGATGTCGGAAGAGTCAACTTGCAAGTTGACCGAAAGTTTGGAACCATCGGTGCCGTCCAAGTGTCCTATGTTATTTCAGGGGGTTCTGTTACACCGACTTCAAATGTTTTAATTTTAGCAACGCCCAATGTTGACTTCAGTGCCATGAATAACGGTCAGATAACAATTCCTGATGGTGGAGCATCTGGCACCATTGTTGTCGACATCAGGAACGATGACACTCCTGAAATTGATGAAGTGTTTACTGTTAGTCTGACAGCTGTGACCTTGATAGGATCTAACAATGTGCAGTTTCCTCCTCAACTTGCATCAAATGTCACCTCGGAGGTGATAATCAGTGCCAATGATGGAACAAGAGGCCTCATCATGTTTGGTGAATCTTCAAGAAGGTAATTAATGGTTAAGGTCCAATACTTATAAAATTAATTTTGTTGCCCTACACTTTATTGATGAGAACATCTCAAGTTTCATGATGTAATGGCTTATGTATGTGACAAGGCATTTCTCTATTGATTGTATTTTCCTAACAATTTGTATTTTTTAAACCTTTTAATACTTGTTAGGCTGTCATTTGTTGAAATTTCTTGTTACTATATATCCAATGGTGGCTGATTTCCATCCACCAATTTAAATTTTGTATTTTGCTTTTAAATTTAAATTTTCAAAGCTTTCTGATGAAAATGGAAACAACTTTCTGTTATGATATGTTTCAGTTTCTCTGTTGATGAGAACAACATGAATATATCTCTGTCTGTGGTGCGAGATCGAGGCACTTTTGGCGAGGTCTCTGTGTACTTCTATAGCCAGGCAATTACTCCGGGGATCCAGGCTGGAATAGACTACAAACTCACTCCACAGGTATTGGCAGCTCAAGCAATTTTATATCAGTGTTTTAGAAAAAATCAAGAAAATTGTTGTGCATCCAGATTTTGCAAACATTCTAATGAATGTCAATAAATGAAAAGCATTATCTAGATATTTGTAAGGTCCAAACGACATTTGAGAAGCTAGGTTTTAGGTCTTGTTGAATATATCGAAGGTTCCCAAACCTTTGTGTACATTAGTTTTTACCATCTTCGTATATATTTTTACACATGATATTTATATGTTCGATATATCAGCCTTTCTCATTAACCAGTATTTGTCTCTCCACAACTAATTGTACATTTAAATATTTCCTTACTAGATGTTCAATTATTAATCCTCATTATATACAATAAATATATTGTTTTTATCTAGCAAATAACTTTTGCTGCTGGAGAGAACACTAAGACTATGCTGGTGGAAATCATGAATGACAACGCACCTGAGCCAAACGAGGTCTTTGAGGCAATCTTGGCAAACCCTCAAGGAGCGGAACTTGGAAGCTTTGCAACAGGTAAGTTATGTATAACAATTGTCCTTAATGGCTTTTAAGGGCTATATACCACCAAGTGATCTCAGTGCTATAAGTGTTATAACTTGCTATTTATATGTAGTAGTAGCATACTGGTAGTGTTTCAACTTTCATAACTAAAGAATTCTATCCCAAATGCATAAACAGATGCTTATGGTACTATCACTGGATTTCTGGTCTAGAATATTACTGAGTGTTGCATTAAATATGAAATTAAAGAATTTGTGTTGGAACCATTCCATGTATCATTGGATTTAATTGTTTTGTTTTACTTTTGCTTTCAAAAGAAATATATTGACAAGTCATTCATCCATGTCTGTCATCAGCTACTGTGACTATCCTCGCCAATGATGATGCCAGTGGCATCATCGACTTAGAAGACAACAGCACAGTGGTGTTACGAGAACCAACTGGAGACAACCTGGTACAGAGCAAGGCTGAACTACGCTTGTACCGAGGTCCGGGGAACTATGGTGTGGTTCGTGTTCCGTTCACCATAACATCAGCGGACAACGTCCCTGTCACAGACATCGTGCCTGCTTCTGGATTCATCATATTTGAGGATTTGTCGGTAAGAGTTTTATGATATGATGTATTGACTATTTATTCCTTTTTTTAGTTCATTAAATTTTACAGGTAGTTATTCTTATGGAGTGTTTGATGTTATGAGAAGGTTGTAATCTTGTTTGATGTGGAAGCCACAAATTCTTTAAATAGTTTGAGAAAATTGGTTTCATGTTGCAAAATGTAGTTTGACATTTACCTGTGATCATAGTGACCTGGGCATACTGTACCAGTGTAGGAAAGATGTAGAAAATCTAGCCTGTCCACAGGACTGGCAGGTCAAATTTTTTACCAGTCCTGCCAAAATTTAGCCTGTCCTCCAAATATAAATAAAACACCTTCAGCAGTAAATATTCAAAAAGGTTATAATCATTATATATATGTCATTGGTTTGCTAAAATTGACCCGACATGAGGACGGACTAGATATTTTTTTAACCCGTCCTCCACAAAATTCACCCGTCTCGGACGTTGGGATGGGCTATCTTTCCTACACTGACTGTACCACAAAAAAAGTGAGCTGGCCCTGCCATGAGTTGTTACTAAAAAATTGTAATTTTCTTTCAGATTCGCAGTACTTTGGAGATTCAGGCTGTTGATGACAACATCCCTGAGGGTCTGGAGAGGTTCACCCTGACGCTTCAGTTACCAGACAACAATGCCAAGCTGGGATCCATGGTGCAGAAGGAGATCACGATCGAACCTAATGACTCACCTCAAGGACTCTTTGAAATATTTGTGTCCAACACAAGGTAAAGACACCAAGAGTGTTGATGTATGAAATACACAATGCCATTTTAGAAAGTGGTCAAATGTAGCATATGTTATATTTGGGATTACACTTTCTTAGTAAAGCACAGATTCTAGTACTCTTTGGGTTGAGTCCCATCCGGGATTCGAACCCGCACCCTCAGAGTCAGGCACCTAATCACCAGCACACAAAGTCAGACACCTAGACCGCTCAGCCACCGCGGCTTCCACAAACAATGGAAGTCAGACAACTGGTAGTCTAGACTGCGGACAATTTTTTAACATGTGTTACTAAGAAAGTGTAATCCCAAATATAACATATGACCACTTTCTAAAATGGCATTGTGCATTTCATAGCTTTCGGCCGTGGGAGCCGTGCCAATTAACACTTATCAGAGGGGTACACAAAGTCCGCAGTCTAGACTACCAGTTGTCCAACTTCCATTTTTGTGGAAGCCACGGTGGCTGAGCGGTCTAGGTGTCTGACTTTGTGTGCTGGCAATTAGGTACCGGTACCTGACTCTGAGGGAATGGGTTCGAATCCCGAATGGGACTCAACCCCCAAAGTACTAGAATCTGTACTTTACAAAGAAAGTGTAATCCCAAATATAACAAGTGTTGATGTAATCAGGTGATATAAGGTTAACGACGATATATACTTCAGGTAGAGCTTTGAATGTGTGATTTCATAGCAATATGATATTAATAACTGGATGATACAATTTTTTAAACAGATTTATACCCGTTCAATAACAGTTTGATATAAGATTGCAACAGGCTTTTCTGTCAGGTCTATACACAAGAAACATTGTATATATTAACATAGTGTTCAGTGTGTACAAGAAGTTGCCTCACATAATTACAGAAAGTATTTATCTTTTTTATACTTCAGTTTGTCCACAAATGACAATATGACAGGGGTTTTGTGTAATGCTTTTTCTGACTATTAAAGATAGTATGCAAAGGCTCCCAAGGATACTATTCAAAAGGTCCTATGAATAGTATGCAAAGGCTCCCAAGGATACTATTCAAAAGGTCCTATGAATAGTATACAAAGGCTCCCAAGGATACTATTCAAAAGGTCCTATGAATAGTATACAAAGGCTCCCAAGGATACTATTCAAAAGGTCCTATGAATAGTATACAAAGGCTCCCAAGGATACTATTCAAAGGTCCTAAGAATATATATTCAAAAGTCTTAAGGATACTATTCAAAAGGTCCTAAGAATAGTATACAAAGGCTCCCAAGGATACTATTCAAAAGGTCCTATGAATAGTATCCAAAGGCTCCCAAGGATACTATTCAAAAGGTCCTAAGAATTGTATACAAAGGCTCCCAAGGATGCTATTCAAAAGTCTTAAGGATACTATTCAAAAGGTTCTAAGAATAGTATGCAAAGGCTCCCAAGGATACTATTCAAAAGGTCCTATGAATAGTATCCAAAGGCTCCCAAAGATACTATTCAAAAGTCTTAAGGATACTATTCAAAAGGTCCTAAGAATAGTATGCAAAGGCTCCCAAGGATACAATGCAAACTCTCCTAAGGACCCCTGTGCAAAAGCTATTAGGGATAGGGTGTCCTGATAAGTACACTTGCCAGGTTTACAGTAATGGGGATGTGCTGAAGCTTAAAGGGACACACATGTGAATACATTTTGTTTTATCATATTTGAGTCACCTGACCCAAGTTTAGAATCTGAATTAAGGGCATTGAAAATATCAAAAGTGGTGACCACAAACAGACTGTACATGTTTTGCCTGACACATTATCTTTCAAAGTGCACATGTAGAAGGTCTCATTCTGAATCATGTTGTTAATTTAAATAGTATCACATCTCCAAACAACTTTGCCTTCCATAGTCCTTGATAGTCCTTCCACAGTTTCTCGAGCTCAATACAGCAAAAGTCCACATTATCAGCAAAACCTTCTCTGTAAATACTTCACACTCAATGTTAGTTGTTATCAGTGCAGTTAATTATATTCCACATTTTCAGGAACACATCAACTTCTCTTGAAGAAAGCCCTGGAATAGTTAATCTGGACATAATCAGATCACGGGGATCAGATGGAACAATTACTGTCAATGTCAACACAGTTGCAGAAACGGCCTTGACAGTATCTTCACAGGGGGAGATCACTCTAGCCTTGTTACAGAAAATACCCAGTGTGCAAGTGAGTGGGTGGCATAGTTTCACTGTGGGAGGCGCCACGTACATTCTGATGCTGACATCTCTACCAAGTGGGACAACTCTGAGATCCCAGGTTCCAACAGGCCCCTATCAAGGAAACGGCCAGTCAGCTCTCTTCAGGTGGCAGGGAGAGGCAGTGTATCGCAGTGTGAGTACTTCAGCTGTATTTGGTTATATCAATACAGATTATTACCCAAGTGTGTTTCAGTATTATAAATATCATATTTTTTAATAAAAATTCCATCAACCAAGCCTTGGTTATACAGAGCTGTAACTAAACCTAAATTTGTGGATGACCTTGATTCATGGATCGCGGAAATTATCATGCTATCTCGTAAATTAAGTCTCGACTGACGCCATGAAGCGGTTCTTTTGATGTACATACAATGCTACACCTCTCTGACGAAAAAGTTCTGAATCTCTGCATTACACACAAGTACACTAAATATAATTGTCCAGCACTGAGATAAATAGCCCCAGATCACTAATGCCACCATTACCAAATTTTATTTTTACAAAATGTCAAGTAAAAAAGATACCGTTAGCTCCAACCTTTTCACTTCTTGTTGTCTGCTTTCTTTGGTGTTGATACTTACTGCAGTCGGATGTCATACATTGTGGTATAAAGTAACCGACTACGTAATTCTCAAAACAAGGTGACGTCACATTTTGTGGGCACACGAATGGGTGATGATTGAAAATGGCTTCGGTAAACAAACGTTTCATTCACAAGTGGAATATTAGGGATTTTCAATTTGCTGAATCAATGAATAAAATAAGCAGTGTGTATACAAAATGAAATCATGCCTTTAAGATATGAATTTCGCCGCACTTCCCTTATATCCACGAATCAAGGTTACGCGAGTGTAATACATACTTTTGATTCCCAGTATATAAAACTTATTATACACACAATATTTTTATCATACAATGCAATTTTTAAAGTAATGGATGCTTAACACATACTTTCACTCAGTGAAGTAGGTTTAGAACATGATATGAATACAGTGTTTGTGTGAACTGCCCAATTCTAGTGCCAAATTACTCTCAGACATTTTGCCAACAGGACAAAACACATTGGAAAAACTCTGTATATATAACGTTGATAGAAACGAACAATCCCTTATAAAATTGAAAAAGAGATACAGTGAGAAAGGAGGTTCAGAACCCAAGTAAATCTAGGATGGTTTATTAAATCTAGGATGGTTTATTAAATCTAGGATGGTTTATTAAGGGCTTTAGCATTGGGAAGGGAAAATAACGAGGTGACACATTCTGTTTCAAATTAAATTTAGAGCTTTTATAATTCTGTTATACTACCACTAATTTAAAAACACATTAGGTTTATCTCCTAATTAATGTTTCTATCAAGAATTACTCACTACTTAGCCTCATCTCTTTAGACTTCTATGTTTCTGTTTTTGTGAGGCAATAACTGATCAATTATCAAATTTTTCATAATTAATTTTAAAGTGATTGTTTAGATTTATTGTTTTGGGCCATCATGTAGGAGAGAAGAGAAAGGAATTGTTGGATCAATAACACTATACATTATATTATATATTACTTTATCCATGTTTAAATAATCCTAATGGTTATTTAAAATTACTTGATGTGTGGTAAGAAGGTGAATAGGATTTTACATCATTTTCAAAGGGGTTTAAAAAGACAATATATTTCATGTTAAAGATGATAGCCTTGGTTGTCAGTCGCTATTGTGTTTTATATACAACTGAATGTATCCTAATCTAACTTAAAATGATTTTTAGTCTATCAGTTGCGGGCCATCACAAGAGCAGGAGAGAGGTAAAGGGAATAGCTAGTAACTCCTCTCTTCTTTACGGATGTGATATTGCAGTGATCGTATGTGTCTTTACCTTCTCCCTGCAGACTGTGGCAAGTGATGGTGCAGCTGCAGCTACGTCGTTTGTGCTGGACAACGTTACATATCTCATGCTGGCTAATGGTGGGAGGCAGGGGAGCCGCGAGGTGAACTCAGTCCTGTACACTGTCACAGACCAAGGAACACTGGCCCCAGTCAGTATATATACACCCTTTAACTACGACTTCTTTGATGGGCATTTTACAAGTTGAGTTATGAAGAATGATGACAGTTTTTATGGATGTACAACTTCTTTTATTCTGTGAAGGGCGACATTTCGACAAAGATTCTAATGTCGTTGTCATCATCACTTGCTTGACAATGACATTAGAATCTATGTCGAAACCTCGCCCTTCGCAGAATAAAAGAAGTTGTATATCCATAAATATTGTCATTATTCTTCACCCTTTAACTACGATTCCACTACCCTTCAACCACCCTCTATACTACCCTGTAATTACCCTTTAACTGCCCTTCCACCAGCCTTTTACTTACTCTTCCACTACCCTTTAAATACCTTTAACTGCCCTTTAATATACCACCAATTGATGTGCAGAGTTTCATCCCTTAGGCATTTCAGAATCCACTGATAATGGGTTTGAATCCAAAGGTTTCCCTAATTATGATCCTTGCTGAGTCAGAACTTTATCCATTTCACCAAAGTGGTAAACATCAGTGCCCTGCTTTCTTCCTTCCAGCAACATTGAGTTGACACATCCTATAGATTCAATGTTCTAATTCCTGTGGGTGTGTTATAGAGCCAAGTCTTCCCAACCATTGGCGCCAGTGATGTGAAGTTCATCAGTCACCAGGAGCAGCACTTCTTGGTGATATCACACGCCCTGAACAATGCCAGCCAGTCCAACCTGAAGGTCAGCCTTCACATCTACAACTCTGTCACCAAACAGTTTGGAGTGTCGCCATGGCAGGAGATCTCCACCTTGTACGCTCATGCCATCTCTCTCTTCCATCTTGAGGGGGTCCTCTTCATGGCCGTAGCAAGTTTCTACGACTGGACAAAGAGTTCATATGAAACAAAGTATGTTGACACTGTTATTGTTGGCCTAATACAGATGACCTCTGAGTGAAACAAACCCAGTAATGACACACTGATATGTGTATATGTATATTTGAATGTAAACTGTAACATAAGTGTGTCCAGTGAATCTAGGAATTAGTTATCCACTGCTTCAAACATTTTTTTTAAATATCTGCACACAAATGTGGTGTATGTTTTGACATTATTCCATTATTTGTTGTAAGAACCCCACAAAAACATCTGGCTCGTCCATGAGTCAAATAATCCAAAAATATCCTTAATCCAGCACTCTTCTGTGGTCAGTTAAACATTTGTTCTGAAATACTCCTAGTAGGACAAATCAATTGAAAAGTTAATGTTTGTATGCAAACATTATGTTCCATATCAATGTACAAGCTGGTGGTAAAAAGGTCCACTTTTTGGACCTTTGGAATTCCTCAGATACATCAACTCTACCTTCCTGTTCAACCTTTTTCTAAACATAATAACATGTTAATGGTACCTTGTGAATGCAGAATGTTTCTTTCATTTCATTTGGATTGTTTCTTGTGATATTGATAGAATTATGAATGTTGCTATAGCTATAGATTTCGATTCACTTACAGCTCGGCAGTCTACAAGATGGGAGCAGATTTTCGGTTTTCTCAGCACCAGACCCTTGCCACCCAAGGTGCTATGGATGTTGACTTTGTGAACACAGGCACCATGCAACTCTTGGTATTTGCCAATAACCGTCAGAATGTAGTCCGTAGTCCCCAACAGTCTGGCATCTATAGATACGACAGCGCTACAAAACGGTTCCTCAACCATCAGTTCCTGGAGACAACCAGAGCAGAGTCGGTGGCCTCTGTCACCGATGGAGAGAACTGTGAGTCCAACTGCTCTGGGGAAATACTTAATTATATAGAACAGGGAGTGAAAACTTCCATACTTTAACATAGGCTTACGGTAGTCATAGCACAGAGAGCAACACGGCCTTGGTATCACGTCATACCAATAATAGGTGTATGGTTTCTGGAAGACAATTTGTCAATAATTCAAAGAAGGTTTAGAGTTGTAATTGAAACAAAAGGATACCAAAAGAAGTGATTTTATATGAACTACACAATTAGTGGTTTTATTTTTCAAAACTTAGTGTCCTAACATATAGATATATGCCTATGATGTGTTCTAGTTAATGTGTTTTGTCATCTTAACAGACAGGATAGTGCAGGACATGCTTACTGCTTCCATGAACAGTTCATCAAATTTTTAACTCCCTTTTTCCATTGCAGTCTACCTAGCATTTGCTAACACTCTCAGTTCATCTGTGGTGTATAAGTGGGACAGGTCAAGAAGTGTCTTTGAGTCAGCTTGGATTGGTGCCACTCAACGTCGGCTTCAACCAATCGTCATCCAGCAATCCAATGGCCCTCTGCTTCTATTGGCTGGAGCTCCGGTGGATGAGGGACCAGATGGGGCAACTATTTTCCAGCTTGCTCAAGTCAACCTGCTTAGTGATTTTGTGCCAAGGTATGGCCATGCAAGACTGATACAATAGAATGGTATCATTATAATACCAAGGACCTGCTTTTTGTGGGTTTCAAATCCAATTATATTGTACTGACAGGAAATCTCTTTTAATGCAAATCTGATAGTATTTAGTAATTTCAAATTTAATTCTCTCCATAATGAAACAACCCATGAGGTTCCATTTTTGTCATAAGAAACGACTGCAGGGATCAGGTGGTCACGCTTGTTACTTGGTCGACAGATGTCATTGATGCTCATCGTCAATCACTGTATTGTCCGGTCCAGACTTGATTATTTACAGACTGCATCATATAGCTCAATCATTGCGGAGTGTGGTAGAAAACAGCAATCAAATAATCAAATCCGCAGTAAAACAAACACATACATATACATAGACACCTTGATGGTCAAGAGTCCTGTTAATCTGGAAACCTCATCCTTTGAATGATTACATGTGTGACACGTTCATCCATGTGAAGAAGCAAACCAGGATCCGTTAATCCAGACATTTGCTAATCTGGACAAATATAGAGGAACAAAACATTCCAGTTTAACAATGTTTCCCTTTTACAATTGATTGTTTACAAAGGTAGTAAAGTGGTTGACACATATTTCTGGATGACATTCAGGTATACTGTAATCTGTATACATACTACTGAAAAGACCATGACAAATTAACCACAGATATATGAAAGTATTTGGTTTCTGTACTTCTTATGCCTGGCTGACATCATGCCAGTGCAGAATAATAATGGTAGTAAAAAGTAATCAGAAGTTCTGTAGCTAATTCTAATATCATTTGAATTCAAGTCTTACCAGAACGTGGCATCGGTCAAATATTCCATCCCTGATGAACTTAAGTTGTCTCCAACCCTTGAAAACTTTGATTTTAAGATATTTATCATGCTTACTGGGACTGGAAGCTTTGTATGTGTATTGCTGAGGTTTGACATGTAGTATAATAATGTATTCTATACTACAGACTCCTGACAATGACCTTCTATCCTGGTGAGACTGTTCGCCACACAACTGCTATTGTGTTACAAGACAACATTCCTGAGGACACTGAAACATTCCGGGTGTCCCTCGTAGACCCTACAGCAGGAGCTGAAATAGGTCAGCCGGGATCAGTGGTTGTCAGCATTCTGTCCAACGATAATGCACATGGCATCATTGAATTCTCAGATGTAAGATCAGTTGCCGAACATTTTGCTACACATTTATGCCTCTTTTATAAATAATCAAAGTGTAGTTAAAAGAGATTTCTTTGGAGTTGTTGATGCAGGAAGTGGGATGCTTTGTCTATAGCACCATATGCTCAATTTTTTACTTAAAAAAAGAACTTAAAATGCATAGTTTCCATTTAAGCCCATGTAAGATTTGATAGAATTATGCATTAACATATGCCATAGTGAGTATAATAGCTATAGCACAGGGCATATTGAAGTCTCCAAGAATATTGTAACATAAGTTACCAAGTAATTACATTTTAGGTCTTGAATATCTTATTTAATTGCACATTGCTTTGTGACACTACACAGCACAATGTAATTGTGATCTCTGTACAGGACTCACTCGATGTGCTTGTTGAGGAGAAGAATGGCGAGGACACCACCATACAGTTGAATGTCATCAGAACAGGTGGTCACTTCGGCCGTGTGGTCGTCAGATGGACGGCAACTGGGGACCACACTGGCACATCTGACATCACACCACTGTCCGGACAGGTAGGACTGAAACAAACAGCCGCACTCACTGACCATGTGATCGCAACCTGGCATTTGTTTGTGTGAAAGAAACTGTTCCAGATAAAAAGAGATCATTCCCAGACATGTTGGATGTCCTCAAAAGAAATAATGTGTTTTTAAAAACTAAAATATTGTTTCTCCCCTTTTCAAAGAAAAAACCCCGTTTTCAATTAAATGAGCTTTGGACTTCAACAAAAGTATGATATATAAAAGTTTTGACCATAGTTCCCTTTTGTGTCAGACCGCCTCCGTGGTGTAGTGGTTAGAGCGTCTGCCCGGAGTGCAGAAGGTCGCGGGTTCAATCCCCGACTGCGTCATACCAAAACACGTTAAAATATGGTACTTGTTGGTCCCTGCCTGGTGCTCGGCATTAATGGGTACAACAAGGACTGGTCGGCTCGGAGTCAGTATAATGTGTCTGAGTGGGGTATTCATGCTTCACTGCGGCATGGTATCACATAGTACAAGCAGCCGCACATACATATACACACGCATGCACGTCGTCATATGAGCGAAATATTCTCAAGCACGACGTTAAACCCAATTCCACCACCACCACCGTTTGTGTCATTTGCTTATGTTTTGTCATCAATGTTGGGATTTGGGACACAGTTTATTTTAGTGCTCAATGTTTGTTGTTAGAGATAGCTGAACCGAAGGGTCAGTCTAAGGCTTCATTGTTTAGTGTAGCTGATAAACTCCTGACACAATGATTGGTCCCAGGAGATATGTATCTGACACTTCAGCCTGTAACCATGATGTAACACTGATTATTAAACAGCCACCATCGGTCTAAAGAATTTTCTTTTTATGAAATAGAAACTAGCATGCTAAGACACAAATTGACCTGAGTTTACTTTAATGATTGTAGAATATATGTTTCTGAAAATTGTCATGCTGTAGTTTCTGAAAATGGTCATGCTGTATGTCTGGCTTGTAATTCCCAGGTTGAGTTTGCCAATGGTCAAGTGTTGTCGACAATCACGATGACAGTGCGGGACGACTTGGAGGCGGAGTTTGCCGAGGAGACCTACATCCAGTTGGTGGAGGTTTTGGAGAGAGGTACATCCCTGCCAAATAAAGGGGCAACAATAGGTAAGATCACCTGCCTTAGAGTGAATGAGCGATTGAGTGAGCTTTACCTGTATAGGTAATGATTGAATTACCTGTATGGGTATTGATGGGTTGACCTGAATCTACTGACTGGTTTACCTGTATGGGTAATGATTGGTTTACCTGTAGTTATTGACTAGCCTCCATGTACAGGTAATCATTGGTTGATATAGGTATACTACCTGTGTAGTTATTGAGTCTGATAACATGGGTGTTTACTCTATCATATCTCCCGTGTGCTCAATGAGTTCTCAACATAGGCTTCTTACCTTCTTTTGACAGGCCAAAAGACAACAAGCAAGGTGACGGTTCAGGCCAATGACTCCCCACATGGAGTTGTGTCATGGGAGACACAATTGACAACAACAAGCGAGCCACAAGGTACAGACTTGGCTCTTCGGCTGAAGATCATCCGTCAACAGGGTACTGAAGGGTCCATCAGAATCTTCTATGTGTGAGTTACCCAGTTACCACTCACTCACTCACTCACTCAACCACTCAACCACTCAACCACTCACTCAATCACTCAACCACAAACTCACTCTTACACTCAACCACTCACTCAACCACTCAAGTACCTGCTCACCCACTCACTATTGTGACCACGCACATGGCAGTTGGTTTTATATGTTGATCATACAGTTTACCAAGGACTGCAGACTTGATTAAATTCTTTCAGAAAATGATGATTTAACTAGAACATTACTGACAGCACTGTGGAAAAATATTCACATTTGAAAAAATTGCTGACATTCACTCAATCCTAAGGTTCAGGTTGCAAATATGATTTACTGTTACTGAGTTGAACAGAAACTAACAAAACATCATGAACTTGACTGATTGTTTAATCCATTATTTGCTAAATATTCCTTGTTAAAAATGCTATTTCTTTATTACTGCTGTTATTTCTCATTATATTAATATTCCTTACAAGACTTAATTCTCAAGGAGATCTACTCTGTTCCAGGACCTCCACTGCAACTGGTCTGGCTCCTGAGAACCGAGCAGTCGCAGGTGTGGACTACGTGTCGACACAGAGCTCTGTTACCATGGCAGCAGGGGTCACAGAAGCTGAAGTCACAATCACAGTTAAACAGGTAACCTGCCATTTCATCTGATTTAATAAGGGCATGATGTCAATTGGCTCTCAGATACACGTATACTACTCACACTTTGCTAAGGATCACAAAAGTTCACAACTTTACTTAAACGTAGATTTATAATTTGAAATTGTATTCATTTAAAGTTGGATAAATAATTATATGGTAACCCCTCTTTAGGCAAACAGACACTTTAATCTAACCTTATGGACTTGATAAAAATGGTTTTCATGGCACCAATCAACCATTTTGCAAATCATGGAACGAGTCATTGACAAATAAACAACACATGTCAATAGCAGGTATGGGATCAACAAGATGCAGTGACATACTGAAACCTGGGATCCATGCTAACAATAAGCTTAGATATATAAACCAAATTTGACCCCACATCATAGTTTTCTGTTGAATCAATGATTTGATCCTTAGCAAAGTGTGAATAGTATCCCAACACGAGCTGAATTCGACGTTCTGGTGATTTTGACGATTGCATTGCTCGCGCTATATCGAGTGAGTACGTGTGCGATCGGAGTTCACAAACAGTTTCACTGGTAGGGCGGGTGCCCAGTCGCTGTCTTGAGAAGTGTTATTGACAATGGGAATCTAGAAGTACAGTTATATAAAAAGCAAACAAACATCAATATTATTTACCCGAGATCGTTAATACCACTTTAGATGCAAAATCAGTTGCCTTTATAACAAAAAATAGCAAGCGAAAATTATGTAAGATCAGTCGTCTGCTGGTGACAGGCAATATATAAATAGGAAGCCACGTGATCTCAACACTTCCTCGCAGTGCGGAGCAAAAAGTATGGCTCATCGTCAAAAACCCATACAAAATATATGATGAATATATCCTTTATCACTCGAGGTTAGTAAAATAGAAACTTTAAATGATATTACAGATAAAAATTACGTTTTTGTCTTACGTCGACGAAAACCCCTGACACCGGGATATATATGCATGCCATTGAAAAACTCATTTCTAATGGACATCTAACATTTCTATGTAGTTTAGATGCATTACATTAAAAAAAATCCAGTTTTAACTGTACATCTTCTGATTTAGATTTTGTGTTATAAAATAACATTATTTTAGGATATGTATATAATTAGACCTTTGACATGTCTTGAAATAAAAGCTGCATCCCTGCATATTCCTGATATATACTCATGCCAATAATGGTTGTCAACCCCCTCCCCACTTCAATCCCCCACACCACACCCCTCTCCAATAAAAAAAATGAAGGGGGTGACAACCATTATTGGCATGAGTATATGTCAAACCTCATATAACTCAACAGTATAATGTTCCGTCAACTGCAATACTAAGGTGTGTGACTGTATACTGAACATTCTGAAATGGTTCTGGCACTAATCCATGATTGTTTTCTAGGATAACTTGCCCGAACCTGATGAGAGTTTCTACGTGAACATCACAAGCGTGGAGTTAGTTGGGAGCACAGGTTCCTCCAGTTCTCAGCCCAGCATCCGCGTCCCTGGGGAATACACACAGATCAGAATCACTGAGAATGATGACCCTGGTGGTGTGGTGCAGTTCAACGTCACACTGGTGAGTCATTGCTGACAAGAATTGGTACTATCACTTCTATAACGGTGTACATGGTATTCAGTATTTGGCCCACATCAGAGTGTTAAAAATAAGTTTCCGACAAATATTTATGTTTCAGAATGTTGAAGGAAGGGTGGACACGTATGAAGAATACGGCAGCACCAACAAAGTGATTCTGCCTCTCAGTCGAGTCAGCGGGTTGTTTGGCGAAGTTCTGGTCACGTGGCTGGCTCAGCCTATCGAAGCCAACACAGATGACTTTTCTCCATCGGATGGAACTGTCAGGTTTCAGAATGGTCAGAGCAGTGCCCAGATTGAGATTTCCATCACAGATGACACAATACCAGAAGCCATGGAGGTGATTAAACAAACATGAGGAATGCACTGTCAATGTCTACGATGTTCCCCATGCCTCATTATGTGAATATGACTGGCTACAACCATGAACTGTTTGATTGTATGTCAGCATGATCTGACGGCATAAATCTCTGAGGCTGCCATCAGCCACTAGTTTGACTACCCAGTAATTGTGTTATTAATGGAATTACTCTGAAACATGTTGTATTTTATAGTCTGGTGCCAAGTTTGACGACATTGTCTGTATTTACTATTAGACTTCAGTCATCATGATATATGTTCCAGATGTTTAATGTCAGGATAATCAGTGTCACTGGTGGAGCGAGAATTGCTACCTTCAGTTCAGTACGGGTAGCCATCCTGAAAAATGATTCTCCAACTGGACTCTTCAGATTTCAAACCACAGAGGTAAGACTTTATATAGATAATACTCATTTTTTATTCTATGTCATTCTGACCATAGTATGATAAGTTACACCACATTTATCCTCACTTTCAGGTGTCAACAAAAGAATCAGGTTCTAGTACTGACCCAGAAGGTCAAGCATCACTGGTTGTCGAGAGAGTGCAAGGAGCACAAGGATTGGTGCATGTTGAATGGAGGCTTGCCGCCAATGCAGAAGATGACTTCCTCCCTCCATTACAGGGAACTCTAACCTTTAATGAGGTCAGAATTAATATTTATGAAAAGCAGTTTGTTTGTTTGGTTTTGCCTATTTTTTTAGAGAATGTATATATGTTGTGTGGTTTTGATGCGACTTCACAAAGATCAGTTTCTTTGATCTCCCAGCTGTTATGATGATGAATGTTTCTAAAAAAGCAGTTAAATAATAATTCACTTCTTGATCATTTTTAGGGTGAAGCAAGGAAGAACATTGTCCTTCAGACCAAACCAGACACCATATTAGAAGGAGAGGAGAGATTTGTGGTGTCCTTGACATCTGCAAGCAATAATGCCAACATTGCTGTGAAACAAGCAGACGCCACTGTGATCATTGAGGCAAATGGAGGTTCTAGTGGAACAGTTTCAATAGAAGCCACATCCCGGACTGTGTACATTGGGGAACCAAATGTTGCTCAGGGATACAATGGACAGACCGAGATAGTTCTGACTCGAGGAAATGGTGTATTTGGTGCTATTGGTGTCACATGGTCGCTGAGTCCACGGAATCGCAACAGTTCCAGCAAGTCGAGGGAACCATCAACTTTGTTGACCAGCAGCAGACGGCAACAGTTGTCCTTGAGGTGTGTACATTGAAACACTTTCTCAATCAGGGTGTCAAACACTTGTCTCATATGTGTGTTTCAGGGCTTCTAAAGTATTCCTTGAGATCTGTACATTAATACCCATATTGCTCTGAATGTCTAAATAGATGTGTAGATCAGGGCATCTAAAAGTTGTCCTTAAGATGTCTGACAATATCTCTCACAGTTGTACCCATGTTAGAATTGGTTTTCAGTAACCCATGCTCATTGTAAGAGGCGAGATCGGGTGGTCAGGCTTGCTGACTTGGATGACACGTCATTTTATTCCAATTGTATAGATTGATGATCATGATGTTGATCACTGGATTGTCTGGTTCAGACTTGATTATTTACAGACTACTGCCATATTGCTAAGTGCAACATTTAAAACAACAAACAAACAGTCTAACAGATGCTGTAGAGGGACATTTGCATACTGAAACAGGAGTCTTTTTTATCTGGGTGTTATGTATACAAATTGGTCATACCCCAATACTTACCCATCTTCAATATTTCCTTTCAGGCAAAGGATGACACAGTGCCAGAGTTGAGAAAAACATATACATTTGTCATCAGTGCTGCAACTGGAGGTGCCACCATAACGACAGATAACAGCCAAGTTGGCACAGGTTGTGTTTGTGGCTAGCGACTACCCTCACGGGCGGTTCGAGTTCTCTCAGCCTCAGCTTGTCTCAGTGGCAGAAGATGTGGGAACAGTAAGAATTCACTTTATATCATAAATATATTTGTTAAATGTAGAGTTATATATCTTTTGGCATTAGAAATCAGTGCCTTAGCAAATGATTATTAGCTGGAAGGCTCAAAGAATAATTATACAGATTGAGCACCTGATGAAGTATACCATTGTCAAGGTGATCACTTGGTTCTGAGTCGGTTTACCTGTTATCCTTATGAAGATGGAGTATTGATGTTGTTAAACATTTACTCATCACAATGATGTCTGATGCCAAATATGGGATGTCTGAAGGACAACCATGGGGATGCAGTGACAGTGACTGGAATATTGATAAAAGCTCTATAAAACCTCCCCCTCACTCACTCCAGGTTCAGATTGAGGTGCGTCGCCAGGACGGGAATGTCGGGCAGGTGCAGGTGTCCTACACGTCAACACAAGACACCGCCATCAGTGACCAGGATTACTTCCCCGTGGCCGGGACGCTACGGTTTGAGAGTGGGGTCCAGACATTGCCCATACAGGTGACCATCAGGCCAGATAACCTCCCAGAAGGTCCAGAACAGTTCTACCTCAACCTCACTTCTGCGCAGCTGCTCAGCCCAACGTAAGTTGAACTGTTGACAAGTTTTCAATAACTTTTTAATCTTCAAACAGGCAGTAACTTTGGGTGCATATACCATCTTGAAAACATTCAGTTTAGAGATTAGAGATGTTTTGATTTGAGCTGTCCTGAATCAAATATATTGCTAGCCATTTTTAAATATCTATTCCCAAAGGAGTTTATTAAATGCGCAGTAGTTTTTGTTGTTGTTGAAGCATAGTCACATATATATCAACACATAATGATGACCTTTATATTTGTTATCTGAATAAAACAAACAGTTGAAATGTTACAATTATGAATGGGAATAAAACATATAGTTGTCATCAGTGTTACAAATATAAATGGATAAACAGACATATATCTGATACAAGTGATGCAAGGATTGCTCTCTCAGCTCCCTGAGGAGTATACATGCAGTGTTGTCTCCACAGTGACAATGACTACAGCAGGCGAGGCAGCCTGCAGCTGGACATGCGGCCTGCTATCGGAGGCGTGGACGTCAAGACCATTCTCATACAGAAGAATGATAACGCAGAGGGAACCATTGAGTTTGCTCCGGAGGCTGCCAGTTTCACAGGTAAACCTTGGATACATCCTGGGGCCCCTTTCATGAAGCACTAAGGTGATCGTAAGTCACTAAGGTAACCTTAGTGCAATGTTAAAGAATGGGAATTAAGGTTAACCTTAGTAAAGGTTGCTTCGAGAAAGGAGCCCCAGATCCATAATATGTGAATATATGTTTCCATCGTTCATTGATATCCTGATGATATCAAAAGTCATATCAAGATTATGATGATTATGACCATTTTAGAATGATGTGTCTAATGATGTTTCACAGTGAAAGAAGAAGATGGTTTGGCCCGTGTACCACTCACCCGACTGGGTGGTAGCTATGGTGATGTCAGTGTCCGGTACGACGTACAGTCTGTCAGCCCGCTGTCGAGGGTCAGGACTACGTTGGAACTGGAGGTGTTGTGCAGTTTGACAGTGGAGTTGATGCTGCCACAATCAACGTCACCTTGAATGATGACTCAGAGATGGAGTTTGAGGAGACATTCACATTGCGGTTAACCATTACTACAGGTGATGTCTTCAGATCAGACTCATTTTGTATTATTCAGTTCATGTCTGACATTGCCATATTCTAACAAATCGTAGGAAAGTGCAGCAAAGCGTTAAAGTAACAATCCAAAAACATCAACTGTTGAATTTCACCGCAGTAGGATCACTTTTTGGAAAAAATCTCGTGAAGTTTTGAGCATTAGTTTCTCTTTCCTCCTCCAGGTGGTGCTCAACTGGGTTCACGCACAACATCTACTGTGACCATTGCAAAGTCAGACTTCCCCAATGGAGAGTTCCGCTTCAATGGACAGCTAGACATTACGATGCAAAACCCTTCTAGAGAGGCTACTATACCTGTTGAGATTGAACGGACAGGCGGATCGCTTGGCGAGCAAACTGTAAGTAAATTTCATCATTTTGCAATCAGGGGGGCATTTTGACCATGGACACATTGTATGTCAGTTTAAAATTCTGTGCTAAATACTTAAAAAGATTAACACAGGCTTTACACTTTTAGTGATTACAGATAAACTTCATTAAATTGTGTGAAAGTGAATTCATACTCACTTTGTCTATAAACATCAATACACTGGATTTAACTGAGTTGAATCTTTGGTACTCAACTCTGTCATTTTGTATACCATTGTAATGTTATGACAGTCATGTTGTGTGTTATCTGTAAATATCTTACACCATGTGTATGAAATATCTCCCCATGCTTCATTTCCATGGTATTAGAGATGATTCTGTTTCATCATATGGGTTTGCTCATAACATCAACCACTGGTTTGGTTTGATTGCCCAAGTTTTATCATTTACAGACCATCATTGTACAGACTGAATATTACTGACTGAATTGAAATCAACAAAATGAGTTGCTATTATCATTTAGTTGTCATTTTTCACAGGTATCATGGAGAATAATGGGACCAAATAACCCAGACACTGTCCTTGACGACACGAGCGACATAAGCTACACCAACAATGGACAAGAAGTGACTTCAGGGACACTAGTATGGGCAGATGCAGAGCAAGGCCCTAAGGGCTTCACCCTCAAGGTCAAACCCTACTCCAGCTGGGAGGTGGAGGAGGTCTTCATAGTCAAGATCTTCAACATTGTAGGGTCTTCAGGAAATGGCAATGGTGAACCCAGCCCAACTGCTGGTCAGATCAAGATCACTGTAAGTTGACCATGGTTTGCAACATGCTATAGGGGATCACAAAAATACTTTGATGCTGACACATATACTGGGAGACAAATGTGTAACAGTAACTATATACAATATAGTTTTGTTATGTCCACAAAGTTATGAAGACAGTGTAAGGCACTGGGATTCACAGTGCAGAGTTGAGTACCTTACCATTGCCAGGATCTGTTGGTCATAGGTTTATGTATGAGACATGCCTAACCCTTAGCTAGTCACCTAGGTTACTTAGTGGTCGAGAGCCTATTGCTTTGTCATTTTAGCCCTTTCTTTGATGCCATGCTGGCAAGCTGGATAATTTGTAATGATGTATGGGCAACCGTGGACATTACAACAAGTTGCTCTGTTCTGTTGATAAATACAAATGTTTGGTTTATATGTTTTCAGGTTCAAAAGTTTGGCAGCCCAAATGGTGTGATTGGTTTCGATGGTGCTGCTCGGTCAGATCGAGAGGTAGAGGAGCCAGCAGGTAGTGGAACTCTTACTGTCAACTTCCCCCTGAGTCGCAGAGCGGACACCGGTGTGGTAGGAACTCTGCAGGTAAATGTTCTCAGAACCTGGGTGCAAGTAGATCACAGGTAGTGGAATTCTTAAGGTACATTGTAGGTTGTGTATTTATACAATTTATTTTGTATTTGTTGTTTGATTCAACACTCAGAAACATTACAGCTAAATGGTGGCACTCTGTAGATATGTATCTGAAGCAGACAATCCAGTGATTGACATCATTAGATCTTTCTATAAGATGAGATGCATCAACTAAATCTGAGTCCCTGATCTTGTTGGTCGCCTCTACCAACAGGGTTTGCTATTATGTATCTTCACTGGTCATTTCACACTCATTGCAGGAATACATCACCAATATTGTTTATATATATAGATGTGACACGCCTTGCAACACTGATGTATAATCAGAGTGGTATTTTATCAGAAGAGCATATTGTTCTTAATTGACCATTGATTGTGTATCAGTTCTCCTAATGCAACTTTCATTCCAGATCTTCTGGGAAGTTGAAGGCCCTCCAGGAATGACAACAGATATTCAGCCAGTCAATGGCAGCATATATCTGGCTGCTGAAGAACGGGCAGGACTGATCAGCATTCAATTTTACCGGATGAAGAACCAGAAATGACGGAGACCTTCAAGCTTGTGTTGACAAGAATAGAAGGGGGAGCAGACATTGATGCAACCTACAAACAGTCCACCTTCAAAATAAGGTACATCTGATCTCACTGAGACAGACCCCAAGTCCTAGACATTGATATAACCTGTAAACAGTCCACCTTCAAAATAAGGTACATCTGATCTCTCTGAGATAGACCCCCATCTCCTCCTATATGTGTGATATTATGCCTTGTGACAATATGGAGTATGTGCACAGAACACAGATTATGTCCCAGCAGTGTGTCATTGTCTGTGAGTGGGGAACCCAGAGCAGAAGTCCCCAGTGACCCGTGCTTATCTCACAGTGGATGTTTCAGGGCCACCAGTATTCCATGCTTGCCTCCTTATAGATAACTCCAGGAGAACACTTTCTTTGTACCCAATGCATAATTCCTAGAATGTGTTTCAGGGCCACCAGTATTCCATGCTTGCCTCCTTATAGATAACTCCAGGAGAACACTTGCTTTGTACCCAATGCATAATTCCTAGAATGTGTTTCAGGGCCACCAGTATTCCATGCTTGCCTCCTTATAGATAACTCCAGGAGAACACTTTCTTTGTACCCAATGCATAATTCCTAGAATGTGTTTCAGGGCCACCAGTATTCCATGCTTGCCTCCTTATAGATAACTCCAGGAGAACACTTTCTTTGTACCCAATGCATTCCTAGCATATTCCATTCCTCCTTATACATAGGAATGTGCATTTCCTAGGGCCACCAGTATTCCATGCTTGCCTCCTTATAGATAACTCCAGGAGAACACTTTCTTTGTACCCAATGCATAATTCCTAGAATGTGTTTCAGGGCCACCAGTATTCCATGCTTGCCTCCTTATAGATAACTCCAGGAGAACACTTTCTTTGTACCCAATGCATAATTCCTAGAATGTGTTTCAGGGCCACTAGTATTCCATGCCTGTCTCACAGTGGGTAGTTCAATGCCACCATTATGTTGCTGGAATAATGTCCAACTGTGGGATTGCCATAAAGAAATTCCACTCACTCTTTTGAGTAGAAGTTTATGATATGTTTACCAAACTGTCCATTATTTATTGAGTTAAAAGCATACATATCATGAAATGGAAATAACATTATTGGAATATGCAAACACACACATATATATCTTCAATAATTGTTTTGTATATCAGATCGAAAATGCGTGACATATGCATAACACCAGTGTAACACCAATATTGATGAATCTCCACTGGCTCCCAGTACAAGCTAGAATCGAGTTCAAAGTGTTTTCCCTGACCTACAGCTGTTACCATGACGTTGCACCAGCATATCCGAAAGAACTTATCCAGAAATATACTTCAAGCAAAAACCTGAGATCCAATGATCGACTTTTATTAACCATCCCCAAGATCAATCTCAAATCCTTCGGCCAGAGATCATTCTCATTCTGTGCTCCTTCTCTCTGGAACTGTCTTCCTTTTGATATCAAAACCTCCCAATCTTTAGCTGTCTTCAAGTCCAAACTTAAACCCATCTCTTCTCCAAGTACTATCCTTGATACCTGCGCTTTGAGCAACCGCAGCGGATGGAAAATAGCGCAATATAAATGCACTTATTACTAACATTCAAATGTCCTGTCTTCATTTTCAGATATAATGACAATCCTCATGGACAATATGGAATTCTGGCAGAAAATCAAAGAATATCAGTAGATCCGTCTGATTTGAAGAGAAGACTACACCTCAACTTCACTCGTCATGATGGCAGCTTTGGACGTACGACCCTGGAATACAGAGCTAACTATGATGAGGTCAGGAAGGCTTTGATTTTACAATGACCTTTACCTTCACATTGACCTTAATGTATGATTCAGTTACCTTTCATTTAACATTGACCTTATAAATGCTTGATGTCACAATGACCTTTCATTTAACAGTGACCTTGTGAATGGTGAATTAGTGAATGTTTCTCCATTTTGGATTTTATTTGCCAGAGTATGAGACATCTGTTGCATGATAACTATTTCAAACTCAGTTGTAATACATTAGTCCTGAGTTCCTCTTACGTTTTAGAATCAAATGACAATTTTGACTTTATCATCAATCAAAATGGGTAAGATTAAATCAAGGAAATAAATCAGGCATAAAAGTAAATAACGTTTTTGAGAGTCGTTTAAAATTGACAACAATCACTTGCTTGATAAGGGTGTTGAAACCAACGATGAAATGCCGCTCCAATTGTCATAAAGAAGTCATTCATCCATATCTTGTTTTCCTTCCCCTATGAAAGCAAATGTTGTGCTCTGAAAACAGTAGATTTTAAAAATATAAACAAAGAATCTTTTGTGACTGATATTTTGTTAATCCAGCCTCAGATTGGCATCACAGTCAGCTCTAACACTGACTCTGTGACCTTTGAGGAAGGCCAGTCATCGGCGACCAAAGTTCTAGACATTGGCGGTAACGGTTTCCTGGAGATTGGCACCACCTTCACCGTTACACTTGACCGTGTCCAATTTCTGGGACCAGGAGGTGAGTCACGTGTACACATATCCTTATTGAGATCTTGTTTGAAGTGGTGGAATTAATTGTATTGTAAATGTGGTTGTCACATCTAATTAGGAAAGCTGATACTTGTGTAGTGAATGTGTATTGTCACATAATGGCAATAAGAATATTACAGTGAAATATTCCTGTTTACTTCTGTCAAACAGATTACATTCCATAGCCCAACTTTAAATGTGCTTTAAATTTTAATATGTGTGAGTGAAAATTTACAATATGATATCATATCAGCATTATTTCAGCCATATTGCATCAATTAAATTGAAGTTAAATAGAGAGAAAAGATGTACCTTTTTGCTTCCTTTGACAATGACAGTGATGACTGCATATGGACATTTCACTTTTCATGACATCTCAGTGACTGACCCACCAAGACTGAAGGGAGGCGAGACTGAGGCTAAGATTCCTGTCCCAGCACCAGCTGCTAACAGTAAAGTGAGCTTCAGGCAGACTGTCGTCAATGTGAACGAAGGTAGGTGGTAGTAGTAAGGTGAGCTTCAGGCAGACTGTCGTCAATGTGAACGAAGGTAGGTGGTAGTAGTAAGGTGAGCTTCAGGCAGACTGTCGTCTATGTGAACGAAGGTAGGTGGTAGTAGTAAGGTGAGCTTCAGGCAGACTGTCGCCAATGTGAACGGCTGGTAGGTGGTAGTAGTAAGGTGAGCTTCAGGCAGACTGTCGCCAATGTGAACGGCTGTAGGTGGTAGTAGTAATGTGAGCTTCAGGCAGACTGTCGTCAATGTGAACGAAGGTAGGTGTTAGTAGTAAGGTGAGCTTCAGGCAGACTGTTGTCAATGTGAACGAAGGTAGGTGGTAGTAGTAAGGTGAGCTTCAGGCAGACTGTCGTCAATGTGAACGAAGGTAGGTGGTAGTAGTAAGGTGAGCTTCAGGCAGACTATCGTCAATGTGAACGAAGGTAGGTGGTAGTAGTAAGGTGAGCTTCAGGCAGACTGTCGTCAATGTGAACGAAGGTAGGTGTTAGTAGTAAGGTGAGCTTCAGGCAGACTGTCGTCTATGTGAACGAAGGTAGGTGGTAGTAGTAAGGTGAGCTTCAGGCAGACTGTCGTCAATGTGAACGAAGGTAGGTGGTAGTAGTAAGGTGAGCTCAGGCAGACTTTCGTCAATGTGAATGAAGGTAGGTGGTAGTAGTAAGATGAGCTTCAGGCAGACTGTCGTCAATGTGAATGAAGGTAGGTGGTAGTAGTAAGGTGAGCTTCATACAGACTACGTCAATGTGAACGAGGGTAGGTGGTAGTAGTAAGGTGAGCTTCATATAGACTACGTCAATGTGAACGAGGGTAGGTAATGTTCTTGGTTTGTAGTCAGCAATTAGGTTAGTCAATCTTTCATTGTTATAGTTATGATTTCCAATCACATCCACATGGTTCCTCTGATAATTGCATTGAATGATACAACTTTTAACTCCATCATTATAGCCTTCATTGTACATTTTTGTGTTTATACTTTCATTTGTTTATAGTAAACTGTGAAATTGTTGAAGCCATTCATGTCAGACTATGTACAAATTTGAAATTCAGTTTTATAGCTGGCTGAAAATGTCATTTTTTATTTTTGCATTTACATATCTACAGTTGGGTTTGTACTTTTCCAGAAACCAAAACAGTTCTGTTGATGGTCAAGCGAGATGGCACGTATGGTGTCATTAATGTGGATTGGGTGTCTGGTCTGCCCACTGAGGAGCTGCCAGCCAATACCCTCAATGGTGAAGTCACAAGTGCTGCTGGAACAGTCCCGATGGCTAACGGAATGGAGAACGCCAACTTCACTGTTCAGGTTTGTGTCACCATGTATACATATACTGTAGAGAGATATGTGTACCTACATCAGAAGTCGTATATGGAAAAAAAACCACCCCACTCGGAATATCTCAAAGTTTTCTTCAGACCTGACCAAATTAATTATTTATTTTATGGGAATTGTGATTGAATTGTCTTGATGCAGGATTCAAGAGAGAGGGCACAAGCTGTTTCTATCCCAAAATTCTCAACTGAGATTCTGTTGAGAGAACAATGCATGAGATTGCCTATGATATTATTTTTAGTTATGACATCAATGCTCCTTGACTGATCCTTTTTTTATGTAACTTTAAAGAAATGTTACATAATACATGAAAATTTAACATTTGTTAAATGTGTAAAAATAACAAAGTGCTTATTCTTTTGGCCCCCAGACTTCATTTGTTTTATCAAGGGACTGAAGAAACAAGCAGTCTTATTGTCGCCCTATTGGTAGAAAGTTGATTGGATTTGGAGTTGCCTCACTTACATAATGTACAAGACTACTGCAAAAATTGTAATTGTCCCATAGTAATGCAAGTTGACGTGATTTCATAAAATAAATAAATAATTTGTTCTTTGTATTTAATGGTTAAGATATGATTACATGTATATGACAGTACTTCACTTCCTCATTTTGATATTTTTATTAGAATGCAATCATTTAAATATATCATATCAATATTCCTGTTCATATTCATAGCTTGCATTTTAACACAGCTAGATAGAGTTATGACCACACCTACACATAATCCCGTAATCTCCTAATGTACGTTTAGTTGAGCCTTAGTGTAACTATTTACAAAGATGTTACATTGTGTTTATAACACACCAATCCAAGTATTCACTTTCCCCATAGAGTCATCACAGAATACATTGTTACCACATTGTTCTTCTCCAGGTGAATCCCCGACAAAACCAGGCGGAATTATTTGCAGTGCGTCTTCCTGGTCCACCCAAGACAACTGTGGATGGTGGTGCTAGGATTGTACCAGACCAAGCAGTGGCCAGGATAGAACCGTATGGCCTCATTCAGTTTGATGTTAACTCTCGTACACCTGATGTTACTGAGAGTTTGAGACAGGTGTGTTAATCCCCTAAAATATTAATATCTTAAAAAAACGAGGAAAATCAGGATTCTTAAAATGTCCTGCTTGATTTCTTTGTAAAGGAATGCATACAATTACTGAAATGGTCATCTCTGTACTTTGATTTCAATGATGTTTGGATGTAATTGCGTGAAGCCAAGGGAATATTATGGAATGGTGTACTCTGTTATTTTCAACAGTCTTCTATGCTATACAGGTGACCTTGACTGTCAATCGGGTGTATGGCTCTGTCGGCCGAGTGGAGGTCCGATACACCACCCAGAGTGGATCAGCACAAGGGAACATTGACTTCCGGGACATAAGTGGTGGCGTCGCAGCGATGAATGAAGGCGAAGTATCTGCCACCTTCAGCATTGACGTGAGTGAAACACCAAATCTTGTCATCTTGTCAAAGCTATTTTTAGTTAGATGTCATTTTTCACGTTTTTGTCTTTAAAAAGTAGGTGTGTGAGATTTTCACCTTATGTTGTAAGCTGATTCAATACATGTTGGTCAGAATTCACCATTGAGCCAGTGGTGTATTTGAAAGTCAAAAAGAGGCAAACTAAACATCTTTTCAGAAACAACTTGACCAGTGAAACTTAAGCTAAAGGGCTTCCCACCAGTGATGACAGCTGGATTTGTTCAAGAATATGTCAATCTGATTTTTCAATATGGCTGGTTTATTGAAAAACCTGTATATTTCTGTTATTCAGTCATTTCTGCTTAAATTATATAGTAATCCTAATACCATGCATAAATTCTCTCAAAATGCACTTTGATTCTGATTCTAAACATTGTCATGGAAATTGTCAGACCATGGAAGGGGAATTTTGGCATGTATTACATGTATCCTTACTTATCATCACAATGTGTTCAGATCATAACATTTTACTCTTTTGTGTCTGACAAAATTGAGAAAAATTGTAGGGCATTAGAGCATTAGAAAACTTAATGTATTTTAGTAGAAGGTTAATGAGGCTCAGGGTTTAAGCTTATTTTTTAGTTAATTTTAATGTTGAGTAGTGCAACTATATTTATTCTTGAAGAATTAGAAACATTGTGGTTATATAGTGAGTTGTGTTATGTTTTATATTATATACTCTGTTTCGTGGATAACCTCAGGAGCCAAGCCTTACACGAGACTGTTGGTCTTTTAATAATGCTTTGATGATACTCTTGTGTTTTTAGATTTACACAGACAATCTGCCGGAGGAGACAGAAATATTCTACGTCAACCTGACTCATGTCACTTTGTTCCCCACCCCTCAAAACCCTGGTGAGTTGTCATGTTCCCCACCCCACAAAACCCTGGTGAGTTGTCATGTTCCCCACCCCACAAAACCCTGGTGAGTTGTTGTCACCCCACAAAACCCTGGTGAGTTGTCATGTTCCCACCCCACAGGTGAGTTGTCATGTTCCCCACCCCACAAAACCCTGGTGAGTTGTCATGTTCCCCACCCCACAAAACCCAGGTGAGTTGTCATGTTCCCCACCCCACAAAACCCTGGTGAGTTGTCATGTTCCCCACCCCACAAAACCCAGGTGAGTTGTCATGTTCCCCACCCCAGCCCACAAATCCCAGGTGAGTTGTCATGTTCCCCACACCACAAAACCCTGGTGAGTTGTCATGTTCCCAACCCCACAAAACCCTGGTGAGTTGTCATGTTCCCCACCCCACAAAACCCAGGTGAGTTGTCATGTTCCCCAGCCCACAAATCCCAGGTGAGTTGTCATGTTCCCCACCCCACAAAACCCTGGTGAGTTGTCATGTTCCCCACCCCACAAAACCCTGGTGAGTTGTCAATTGTTACCCACCCCACAGAACAGTAACTGATGAGTCATTAATTTTCCATTTAACTTTTGTGTGTAAGATATCGATGGCTTGAAGCAGTTCTTAAACTGATGTAATTGTTTTAAAATATACAAAGTCCCTGTTTTCTAAAATCAATTTTAGTCTGTTAATATTTGCTATCCATTGTCCATATGTTTAAACCAATAAATGCTGAAAGTAGTTTAGCAGATGTTTTGGCTATGAAATGTTCCTCACTCTGTAAAGGTTGTTTTACTTTGACTTTAGATGTTGAGACATCTTGTATGTTCCAGTTCCCTCTCCAAGACTCAGTGACCTGTACTCAACTTCCACAGTCTCCATCCAGGAGAGCAATGACCCCTACGGTGTTCTCTGCCTGGAACCATGGACATTCACAACACAGGAGAAATTCACTGTCATCGTCCTGACTGTCGTGCGGACAGGTATGTCATGCTGTAGATGTTTGTTTTTTGTCGCACTCATCTATATTCTCAGCTGTAAAGAATTGAATCTGAAATGAACGATCCAATGATCTCCATCATGAAATTGATCTATGCAATTGGGATACGATGACATGTGTGAACCAAATCAGTGAGACTGATCACCCGATCCTGTTAGCTGCCTTTTACGACATCATGCTGAAGTACTTAATATAATCTGTTATTATATAGGTAGTATTTTTCCTGTACCACAAAAGACCGTCACATGATTGACTACAAAACACGATATTGACTTGAGTTTTCTGATAAATTACGATATTGACTTGGGTTACTAAAAATAGACAAGGAATCCCGTACGAAGGGGCTTTCCACGCTTTTCAGCCAATCAGATCACTCGGATAGATGGCACATTGTGTGCATTAAAAGTTTATGTTAAAACCTGTTTCTCTTTCATTATATAATAAAACAATTATAGACTCTTGTAGAGGTCGATATCGGTTTTTATTGACCTGAGAAAAACAATATCGACCTCGCAAGCTCTGTCAATTTTGTTTTACTCAGGTCAATAAAAAACGATATCGACCTCTACAAGAGTCTATAATTGAATAATGTTACTTACATATATTCTTGTAATAGAAGGGTAGTAGTGATCAGACATGACCTGAACACATTGTTCTGATGAGGGAATTGAACCCAGGACTTCAGTGGTAATATAAAACTCAAGGCTACCCATCACTCTGTTTGATACATTACTGATCATTGGATACTTTTGAGGATTATGACACCTAAATTGACTGCTGTGTTTTCACTCAGGTGGAGTGTTTGGACAAGCATCTGTGAGGGTTAGGACAGTTGGAGGCGATGAACTGTGGACATCAGAAATAGCTATCAACACTGGCAGCCCCGGCGGCAACAACACCATCAGCGAGGTACTCAGGAACAGGGACCGTAACACCAAAGCCATTGGAGGCACAGACTATTCAGTGCTGGATACAACAGTTACTCTACAGGTTGGTTGTTGATCATCATGAAGAATGGAGGCGAAACAGATTAGTTCATCTGACCAAATATGCCACGTAGTACCAAGTTCTCACTCATCATCAGCGTCTTCATCAGCATTGTCGCCTGTAATATGTTTATGTTTTTGTCATCTTCAAAACAGCTTGATGGATTCAGCTGAAACTTTATAAAATCTTCTTTTCAAAAGCTTTGAAGAGACTTTGCTTTTCTTGACTGCCTAGACATGTTATTTCCTGTGGTTACTGTAACTCTCCTTTTTCAAATCAGGCAGGGGAGACCAGCAAACAAGTAAATGTGACCATCCTCGATGATGACACCGCTGAGCCGAAAGAGGTGGTCCTTGTGTACCTGACTGATCCTGTAGGTGGCGCCAGGGTGGCTCGGGGGGAGCCTGATGGGGGCAAGAGGGTAAGGTGACGCTGGTCTAAACTGACATTCATCCCAGAAATAATAGAGTTATATTATTTGACAATATATATTTAGATAAAAAAGAAAAGAAAAATGGAGAACAGAACAATTCTTTATTTCAGGACATGAGGCAATCTACACTTGCCCGGTCACTCTAGACTTGAGCTGGACTTCATTGCTATTTTGTTCTCCAAGGTCTTGAAGACAGACAAATACTTGGGCCCATTTCACAAAGCGATCTTAGGGCTATGACTGTCGTAAGTCTATGTTAAAGTATGGGAGTTACGATCACCTTAGCACTACAATCACTTTGTGAAACAGGGCCCTGGTCATACAGTCTGACAATGCTTGTGTAGTGCAGACATGCAAGTTGGATTAGTTTCATTGAAAATCTATCATTTCTTAATTTCTATACATGTGTATTTGGACTGCTATCTTAAGTCTTGAATCTTTTGCTGTTGAAATGTTTTGATTGGTTACTGTTGAAGCACTAGCTATGGTGTTTACAAGTTAAATGCCATTGTTGTGTTGCTCTGGAACACAGTATAGTTACATATGTCCCGTGAGGACACTACATTAATGGCTGATACATTACTCCTGCAGGGTTTTGCCATGATAACAATCCAAGCCAGCGACACATCTAATGGTCGCATTGGGTTTGCACAAGCCTCCCAGAATGTGAGAGTGAGTGAGGACACTGTAAGCCCCAACGCCACCTTGACCCTGCTCAGACAGATGGCGTTCTTTGGGGAAGTCAGGGTGAGTCACATGCTCAGTTTATTTCCCCTGTAACTACTGAAATGTTATCGAAATACTAAGAATTTAAATACTAGTTCATCTTGTTGTTTGATAGAGATCCATATATGTTTTTGTTGCTATTTCATGGGACAAGTTACAATACTTGACTTCTTGATTATGGCCATGGTGAACAAAATTAACATACTTAGAGATGCTTTAGTCTCTGATAAGGCCACGGTCAAATGTTTATGTTGTTTATAAAGCTAAAACATCTGACTATATATAAGGAGTTTAATTTTATACAAATATCTTGATATAGAAACAATATTTTTAGGTGTACCAGTTTATTTTTTACTGATGTGACAAACAATTCCTTCAGAAAAACATTACTTTTTCAAAAGCCTGGAAACTTGAGATCATGCCGTGTCCATTTTGATAAAACCTGACTGGATTATAGCTGTAACTTTTCCTAAACAACATGACCAATTGTTGCTGTGGTTTAATTGATCACTACACTGGTTCAGTTCATAACAGTGAATGAGTAGGGTTTTACACCACTTTTAGCAATATTCCAGCAATATCAAGGTGGAGGACACCAGAAATGGACTTCACACATTGAACCCATGTGAGGAATCAAGCCCGGGTCCTCAGTGTGACAAGTGAGGGCTTTAACCGCTAGGCTACCCCACCGCCCAAGTTTGTAATAACTGAAGAGCAGTTGGTCCATGTCAGGGATGAGGGCACTTGATCAAAGAGGGACATGATTGGCAAAGTCATCTGAGTCAATGTAATCCACTGAACAGACTTGTGTCCCATGTACAAGCCAGACACTTACCACTATGGGTTTGAATACCTATTCACCCTGAATCTATTTTGACCAGTGAAGTTGATCTTCAGTAACCCATGCTTGCTGTAAGAGGTGACTAATCGGATTGGGTGTATCCCAATTGCGTAGATCAATGCCCATGCTGTTGATCCCTGGATTGGATAATTGATCCCTCGATTATTTATAGACTGCTGCCATATAGCTTGAATATTGCTGAATTGGCATAAAACTAAACTCGCTCACTCACTCAAGGTTTTTCAGCACCGTGTCTATAATGGTTGGTTACACGAATGTAATACCCTTCTAAAACCTGCCTCCATTTGAGACTTACCTCCCACAGTAAGCTAACACACATTGACATAACTGGAACACTGTTCATAGCAGCACCAAACCCAATCAACTCACTCACTTACTTGATCTTATCTCTGTATTCGTGTAGGTGTCATGGAAAGCCAAGAAATCACCAAGTTCCTCGGACACAGATGATGCTACATTGTCCTCCCAGTTGACTGCCCTGACTGGGGTCACTGTTTGTCCAGCAGGACAACAGACATGCCCACTGGTTGTCGGGCTTATTGATGATAAGGTAAACACTATGAATAAGTAATAAGTTACTGTATTTGTAGATAGATATACGCTCAATACATATTCCCTTTTCAAGGTATTTCATGTAGAGGGCTATGATCTATGCTTTGTCAAACTCTAATCTGTTCCCCTTCAACTTATGCAGTCAACATCCTAGTTCATTCAAACTGTACCTTATTTTAGCATAGTCATCATTCATCCAAAGTGTTCTTCTAATGAACTTGTGCAGCTTTTGCTTATCCAATATGATGCTCTCATCAACTGTTGGAGTTATTGTCTATTAAATATGTGACTCCCATCATCATGTCCAGTCATCGTCTCTTGTCATTGTCTATCCAGCTTGTTCCTCTCTTAGCTTATGTAGTCATTGTCTATCCAACTTGTTCCTCTCTTAGCTATGTAGTCATTGTCTATCCAACTTGTTCCTCTCTTAGCTATGTAGTCATTGTCTATCCAACTTGTTCCTCTCTTAGCTATGTAGTCATTGTCTATCCAACTTGTTCCTCTCTTAGCTATGTAGTCATTGTCTATCCAACTTGTTCCTCTCTTAGCTTATGTAGTCATTGTCTATCCAACTTGTTCCTCTCTTAGCAATGTAGTCATTGTCTATCCAACTTGTTCCTTGTCTCTTGTAGTCATTGTCTATCCAACTTGTTCCTCTCTTAGCTATGTAGTCATTGTCTATCCAACTTGTTCTCTCTTAGCTATGTAGTCATTGTCTATCCAACTTGTTCCTCTCTTAGCTATGTAGTCATTGTCTATCCAACTTGTTCCTCTCTTAGCTATGTAGTCATTGTCTATCCAACTTGTTCCTCTCTTAGCTATGTAGTCATTGTCTATCCAACTTGTTCCTCTCTTAGCTATGTAGTCATTGTCTATCCAACTTGTTCCTCTCTTAGCTATGTAGTCATTGTCTATCCAACTTGTTCCTCTCTTAGCTTATGTAGTCATTGTCTATCCAACTTGTTCCTCTCTAAGCTTATGTAGTCATTGTCTATCCAACTTGTTCCTCTCTTAGCTTATGTAGTCATTGTCTATCCAACTTGTTCCTCTCTAAGCTTATGTAGTCATTGTCTATCCAACTTGTTCCTCACATCAGCAACATGTCCAGTCATTGTTCATCGAACTTATTGCTCTGTGACAGGACCCTGAGGAGGAGTTCCAGTTTGTTGTTGAGCTCCTGGCAGCCGTCGAGGATGCTGAGCTGAATGAAGGAAGTCTGTTTGCCACTGTGGTCGTGGAGGCGAGTGACTTTGTGAGAGGACAGATTGGCTTTATCCGAGCTTCACTGTGAGTACTAGCTAGTCATGATTTAAGATGCTGAATGTAAATTTGTTGTTGTCATTATTTCTCATAACTATGATGCTTTAAACAAGATATTCTGACACCAACTCACAGTATGGGATGATTGGTACAGTTCCAATTGTAGCATTTCAATAACAAGTTTTCTGAAGCGCTTCTTTAAATTTCCTTAAATTTAAATCTTTCATGATACCTTATGATATGGAGTCAAGAAATGACACAACACTCACTGGCTGTGTAGGCTGGCCATTGTTGGGGATGAGGACAGGACCGTGCGTTTGACAGTTGAACGCACTATGGGACAAAACTATGATGTGGAGGTATCATATGAGACATATGAGACTACAAAGATTGAAGACGCAGGAGTTGACATCTATCCTGCAGTTGCATCTCAAGACTTCAACACACAGTCCGGAACCCTTCAGTTTGCATCTGGGTCACAGGTTTGTTATTTACAATCTAACTGCTTATAACTGCTTAGGCTGCGCAACATATGCTTAAATGTTTTGGATAACACTTTCTCAGGGAAGTGGAGATCCTAGTACTATTTTGGCTGAGTGAGTGAGTCTAGTTTTATGCCACTTTTGGAAATATTCCATCAATATCACGGCAGGGGACACCAGAAATAGGTTTCACACATTGTACACATATGGAGATTTTGGCTGAGAGTGTAAGTACTAGAATCTATACTTTACTGAGAAACTATAATCCCAAATATGACATGTTACATTTAATTGCTTACTTAAAGGTATTGTGTATTCCTCAATAAATTTGATTATTTCCCCTATAAACACAGAGCCTTATCATCAGAAATAGCACATAAACAGATCTGTACTAAATCACATCAAGTTAATTCTGTTATTACACTCTTATAATAAACGTATACTTGTATGTCTGGACTCTATCTATTTTAGTAATTTTATTCAAACTTTCATTCAGTATTGTTGACGATATTTTTGAGTGAAATCAAGTGTGAACTGAAATGCATATCGCACCAAATAACCGTTATCTGCACCAATTATTTGTTTGAGTTTGGCTATTACAAATATGTTGACAGATGTTTTTGTGATTGCAATAGCAAGAATCACACACACAATAATCTGAAGTGTCACACTTTTATTTTGTTCTAAATAATATGAATATCTCTAAATTTTACATTTGCCGCTCTTATACTTCGTTTTCACAATAACAGCTGTAAACAAACAAAATGACAGTTTAGCCTTCCAAGTTTTGACGATGTATCTTTATTTGTTCCAGAATTCCCTGAAGACCATTGATGTCGCACTCTCACCGATCACAAGCTCCAACAACCCCCTACCAAAACAGTTCCGCCTCAGGCTCAAACTCCCCAAAAATGGAGCTAGGTAAGGCATGCACTTGGCAATCTCAAACAATTAGGTATCATTACTGGCTGTATTAGTTATATAGTGAACCTATACAGAGTTAACATCATGGAATATTGTTGGATTTTATACACTCATTGGGACTTGGGTCTTGCTGTCCCCGATGTTTAGTAATCTCTGAATGGGGACCTATTCTACGCTAGAATCCCAAAGAAGAAATGTGATGTACATCTTTACTTGCCAACAGTTTAATGAGAGTTGGCTCAAGGTTGATAATGAAATTGATATATATTTTTACAGTCTTAAGCCAAACAGTGCAGAAGCCACAGTTCGCATTGTGAGTCAGAAAGATGTTGGTATCTGGACGACTATTGCTGAGAGATTTAACACACCTCTAACCGATCCAAATATTCAGAAGTAAGTACAGCCACTATCATGTGTTGGCAATGCCATAAAGAACAGTCCGTTGCCATGTCTCATGTGTTAAGCAATGTTTGTTTCTTGGGTCATAATGACGTTTATTTATTTTGATATGTTTGTTCATTATATTATGACACAAGTGTTCATTGTTACATGTTTGGGCTCTATTTATGTTTGTTCATTTTCAAATGTCTTAACATTCTCATGTTTGTTCATCACAACTTGTTTGACATATTTGTCTATTGCTTGAATATTCCGATATGTTTGAACATTACAATATGTTTGATCATAATGACCTGTTAACATTCTTATGTTTGTTAATTATAACATGTTTTGACATTATGAACAATGTATGTTCATCATAACATGTTTGAACATAATAATATGTTTGATCATGGCAACTTTGCTTGTGATGACATATTTTATCATGATGACATTTTTGATTGTGATGAAATGTTTGAATATTCTGATGTTTGTTGAAGACATGTTTGAATATTCTGATGTTTGTTGATGAGGACATGTTTGAACATTCTGATGTTTGTTGATGAGGACATGTTTGAACATTCTGATGTTTGTTGATGAGGACATGTTTGAACATTCTGATGTTTGTTGATGAGGACATGTTTGAACATTCTGATGTTTGTTGATGAGGACATGTTTGAACATTCTGATGTTTGTTGATGAGGACATGTTTGAACATTCTGATGTTTGTTGATGAGGACATGTTTGAACATTCTGATGTTTGTTGATGAGGACATGTTTGAATATTCTGATATTTGTTGATGAGGACATGTTTGAACATTCTGATGTTTGTTGATGAGGACATGTTTGAATATTCTGATGTTTGTTGATGAGGACATGTTTGAACATTCTGATGTTTGTTGATGAGGACATGTTTGAATATTCTGATATTTGTTGATGAGGACATGTTTGAACATTCTGATGTTTGTTCACCACAACATATTTTTCCATGCTCACAGTACCCTGGCCCAGCTGGACACCATAGTGAGAGATGACCTGGATGATAACACCATAAAGTTGATAGAGGACACCCTGTCCAGCATCACAAAGGAAGGAGAAAAGAGGAAGTGAGTCACTATGTACCACTAACTTTAGTCTGTTATAATCACAATTCCTTATACACATTTTGATTAAAATAAATAGCAAGTGACTAAAAACAACAACCGTTGGTTACATATGTTAGTACATTACAATCATCCCTTTAGGCTTTAGTCCACCATCCAGCTGTCATGTAGTCTGTCTCATAATCACTGAACTGCTTTATTTCCATTCCACCCAGCCCTTTCAACAATGGTAAAGCCTTGAATGAAGCCAGTCTGGATTTGCTCAAGTGCCTCTGAATCTCTCATCTCACTGGGGCTCCTTTTCAATTAAAATGGACTTATTTGTTTCTTTAAATTATATATACTCGGAGACCAAGCATTAGTCTAAATATGTTTTCAACGAAATCACGATTTTTATGACATTCCACTCACAGCAGTGTTAGACTAGCTGCCATGCTGTAATGTAACTGAAATACTTGTCATGGTAGTGGTAAACCTTTCTCCCTCTCTCTGACCTGTGAAGATCCGGGGTACAATAGGTCTTCAGCAACCCATGCTTGCCACAAAAAAGCGACTATGCTTGTCGTAACAGGCGACTAATGGGATCGGGGTGGTCAGGCTTGCTGGCTTGGTTGACACATGTCATCGGTTCCCAATTGCTCAGATCGATGCTCATGTTATTGATCACTGGATTGTCTGGTCCAGACTCGATTATTTACAGACCACCGCCATATAGCTGGAATATTGCTGAGTGCGGCGTAAAACTAAACTCACTCACTCACTCATTCTCCCTCACTCTCCCTCCAGACTCTCAGATGAGGTGATCACGCGCACGTTGGGCCTGTACTGCAAGCTGATGGAGCCCGGAGCCACAGATGCCAGGAAGGGGAAATACTCCTTGGCCAAGTCCCTGGAAGCATTTGCATACACTCTCGTGAAGGGTGCACCTTGCCTGGACCCAGCTCACCCTGATGTTGGGAAACTGTGAGTAACATCATCAACCACTGTGGGCATGCCGTCCTTGTTTCTCTCAGGGTATAAGTGGGGACTTTGTGTGTGAGCTGGGTTCATTAGGCCTAAAAAAAAACAAAAATGTTGTGGTTCCGATCACCTGACCGACCCTTGAATTCTGGTGGTGACCCTAATTTTGGAAGCAGTATAAATGAAATAAGATTTTAGATACCATTTTTTTTTCCTGGCACCGACAGACATCAGTCATTGTGATAGAGAAAGTTGACATGATGGCCGAAACCTTGATGGAATAAACAATTATACATTGATAAATGTGTTATTAGTTTGTACTTTACTTCTAAAAATATATGTTAAAAAAAAAATCCTACCTACCTACCCTAAATTTTAAAGAGGTGTAATTAGAACCACAACATTTTTTTATTTGGCCTTAAGGCAAGCCCCTTATAAGTCATTTTGCATTTGTATGTCCTTACTTTTAAGTCAAATAGAGAGATGTGTTACACATATACTATCATCAATGTCTGCAACTGGTAGATTTAGAAAACAAATAAGAAGTAAAGTACTTTGCATCTCTGTGAAGGGGAAGGGGGTGGAGTCCAGTGGTTAAAGAGTTCACATGGACACAATATGTGAAGCCCATTGCTAGAATATTACTAAAAGCTCACTCATCTCTTCATGAGTTCTTCCCTCTATAGCGGTTGACACAAGCTCATTGTCACAGATGTTGATAAAATAAATGCAAACATGTGACAAAAAATGTCATCTTGGGCCATGGACTTTTCTTTTAAAGCTCTAAGCAAATTGAAATTTGACTTTGAAGTAGATCAAAAAGAGCCAGTATGACACTTCCCTCTTTGTTGACCTCATTTACTTGTGTAGTACCAGTGAGAGTGTCACAGAGGCACTGGAAGGAAGTTACATCTGTCTGTTAATTGGCGAGATTTGAAGTATATGTGGTATGACCCATGGACAAAACATAGGAAGATTCAGTGTTTTAAGTTTCTGACACAGGTGAAGGTCATAGTTCACTATAGTAAAAATACAGCGTGACACTCACTCACTAATAAAGTTCATGACGTGTGTTCTATTACTGTTTATTGTCATTTCGTATCTGGTCAGTCATATGACTGTGTAACGGTATTCTAAACAGCTGGATATTACACTTCAATAATTCATGTAACACCTAATAACAAAATGTACAGCTTCCTAGAGATAGCTTGTATTTCACTGTTAATTTGACAGTCTTTATGCTTAAAATGATATAATTGCAGTCAATCAATCTGAAATAAATGAATGAATGAATGAATGAGAACTTAACTAAAATCCCAATTTGAACAAAATATTTGACATCTTCCCAAATTGCATCCCAGGAAGCTTAGTTTAGAATTCTAGATAAATTCATGAAGTCAACAGAATAATGATAAGTTTAAACATCAATGACATATTGACAGGTACTCAGTGACATGTTTTCAAGGCCGAGTGTGGCAGCAGGTTGTCTGAATGTGTATGTGCAGGCTGGTCTCCCTCAGCACTTTTGTTGTTTAGGTTTTCATAATCAATGGTGTTTGCAGTCTGATGGCTTGTATACTAACAGTACATTTTGTATAGCTAGAACATTAGTTTGGTATTGGACCGCATCAACGCGTTTTTCGGGGGGTATTAAAATGGACGTCCGTGCGTGCGTAAGTGCGTCCGTCCGTGCGTGCGTGCGTCCGTCCGTGCGTGCACATTTGTCTTTTCCGGAGCAAAACTCTAAAACCGTTCACTATTTCTTCACCAAACTAGGCACATAGATAGATCTGGTGGTGTACTGGTGCCTTTTGGTAGTTTTGGAATTCTGAATAAAACATTTTTGGCGTTTCCATGGCAACAAGTTCAACTTACAATGAAATTAGTGGTAGTGCTCTTTTCCAGAGCAGAACTCTAAAACTGTTCTCTATTTCTTCACCAAACTTGGCACATAGATTGATCTGGTGGTGTACTGGTGCCTTTTGGTAGTTTAGAAGTTCTGAATAAAATATTTTTGGCTTTTCCATGGCAAAAAGTTTGACTTAGCCTGAAATTGGTGGTTGTGCTCTTTTCCGGAGCAGAACTCTAAAACCGTTCACTATTTCTTCACCAAACTTGGCACATAGATAGATCTGGTAGTGTACTGATGCCTTTTGGTAGTTATGGAATTCTGAATAAAATATTTTTGGCATTTCCATGGCAACAAGTTTGACATAGACTGAAATTGGTGATAGTGCTCCTTTCTTGATCAGAACTTTAAAAAACCTTTCAATACTCTCCTTCCACTTCTCTATATACACACCTAAATATTTGACATAATCATAACTCGTAGACATAATCATGAAGAGTATTTTGCCATTGCGGGGGGATATTGATGACTTTGTCTTCTTGTTATTATTGTTTTTTTCAAGCGAGTATAGTATTCTGTTTATTACTCTAGAAACATAAATTGATAGAAACTGCCTACAGTGTGATGACTCTCATATCAATTTTCTGCGAGTCAAGCAAGGTCTTATACCATTGCGACAGAGGCATTAGCATTGTGATGTCATAACTGTAACCATTATGACATCATATGTCTAGCGGTATTACAGTAGTGTAATATTGCCGTAAAAATATTACACTGCAGTATCTTCCACGGGCAAGTAATAATTAAAAATATCATATATGTTGAACTTCGTTATATCATTGAGGTCCAAGGTCCACAAAGAAAATAAATTGTAAACACGTGTAGCCTTTGCCAACCTTTCCAAATGAACATACCTGATAAGTCTAAATGTTGTAGGGTATTTCAAAGTCAGATTCGCTGAAACCTGGTCAAGTTTGTGAAGACATAGATAATTTTGTTGCCTTGACCTATAGTAAATGTTACATCTCTCTATTCTTGTATGGAAGGGTATCAAGATTATTTTGACTAATACTGTAATAGGTGCTGGGACATTTAAATGTTGAATCAGGGGATGGGATGATATAGATTAAAACAGTGCAATAAATAGAGGATATTATATGAGAGCCCATGTCATACTATGTTTACGACACGAGTCGGATATACCAATATTTAGGCATGAGTGTCGTAAACATAGTATGATATGGGCACGAATATAATATTCTGTTTATTACCGAAGTCGTCAAATTGAGGAAAATAAACCTGAATCTACTTTCAAACAGGCTGGCTACCCGCCGTCGGAGCATGTAGAACGCAACGTCACAGAAGAAACGTGACGTCATAGCCTTGTTCATGACGTCACGTCACCATGACAAAGTGATATGTTGCCCTAGGGCATCGTATGAAAAATATGAACCCCGATATGTTCGCCCTCGTAGGTAATAATTATGTAAAATACATTCATTTCCATGATCTTTCTGCTACATGAGTTGAAGAACAGTGCTGTAGATACAATGACAATGGTGTGACATTTCCTGGTCTGTTTCGTTACAGAGTATCTTATGAGTGCAACACAGTCAAACTGTCGGCTGGGAGAATCCCTATAGACACCCTGACAGGATTCAGCTTCACAGGACAGTGAGTATCTTAATTATTAGGAATATAGATTCTTGAGTACCAGTATCACATGGTTGTTAATGTATACTGTAATGTATACTGTAATGTAAACTGTTTCATGCTTGCTTAAATAGACAGACCGCCTCCGTGGTGTAGTGGTAAGAGCGTCCGCCCGGAGAGCGGAAGGTCGTGGGTTCGATCCCCGACCGCGTCATACCAAAAGACGTTAAAACATGGTACTTGTTGGTCCCTGCCTGGCGCTCGGCATTAATGGGTACAACAAGGACAGGTCGGCTCGGAGTCAGTATAATGTGTCTGAGTGGGGTATTCGTGCTTCACTGCGGCATGGTATCTCAGTGGGCTAGCACTATAAAACCAGCTTCAGTCTGGGCTAGTACAAGCAGCCGCACATACACATACACACGCATGCACGTCGTCATATGAGCGAAATATTCTCAAGCACGACGTTAAACCCAATTTCACCTCACCTCACCTTAAATAGACAGGAATTTTTAAATTAACATTGACACAATGTGGTAAACATTGTGTCTCCAAACCATTTTGTTGTCTGAATTTAAAGACGGCAGCAGCCATAATTATAATCATTGCGATTTATTTCATCTTAGGCGCAGTGATGAATTGAAGTTTCCAAACAAGATACCCAATATGCCTTCCACAGGAAAAGAGGTATGCTATCTACAAGCATCTGTTGTTTCCAGTGCCTATGGATGAGGAAGCAATATTAAGTGTAGATACTTCCATCTGAACCGACCCGTGAAGGTCCGGGTTAGAATATTGATCTTCACTAAAACCCATGCTTGTCGTAACAGGCAACTAACGGGATCGGGTGGTCAGGCTCGCTGACTTGGTTGACACGTCATCTATTCCCAGTTACGCAGATCGAGTTTAGTTTCACGCCGCACTCAGCGATATACCAGTTTTATGGCAGTGGTCTGTAAATAATCCACTCTGGACCAGACAATCCAGTGATCAACAGCATGAGCATTGATCTGCGCAATTGGGAATTGATGACATGTCAACCAAGTCAGCAAGCCTGACCACCCGACCCCGTTAGTCGCCTCTAACGACAAGCATGGGTTACTGAAAATCAATATTCTAACCCATACCTTCACGGGTCGAATTAAAGAAACTTTACATTATTAGGGATTTGTGGTTGGCCAAGATCTGTATGTGTCTTTCTTCATTGAAAGGAGTGAGGGGTTTGTATATTATGTCACTTTAGCATTATTCCAGCAATATTGCTGTGGAGAACACAGAAATGGGCTTTACACATAGTCCTTGTATTGAGAATTTAACCCAGGCCTTGGTCATGACAAGCAAACACTTAAACAACAAGGTACCCCACCTCCAAAGTAATCTCTTCCATATACTCATCCACACTGTTGTGTACTGCAGCCCAAGCTACAAGTATATGTTGAATGTATATTGATTTTAACTTCTGGCTGGTCTACATCTGCTGTTTGTTAGTTTACTCAGGAATATTCATGAACATGGAAGAGGAAAACCACTTCAGTATGTCAAAACAAATAGTGAAAAATCCATCCAAAACACCAAAGCATTTACCTGTACATCTGTGTTTTCCAGTGCAAGGATGTAAGTTTCATAGAATACAACAGCGACCTCTGGTTCCAGACAGAAACACCAACGGCATTACTGAACGGCAAGGTAAGCTGGCACAACCTGTCACACAGGACCTCAAATCCCTATCTTTTTGTATATATGAGGAATCTAAATGGGTACTGCAGTTCTGTGGAGGTAGGAAGGAGAAGGTATGGTGAGGGCTTTCTTTCAGTTCACAGGATCTTCATAATTCAAGAATGAGCAAAATGTTCAGAAATGGTCATAACAAATTTGTTCACAAGAAAGAAACCTAGACAACAACCAATGTTTGGTTTGAATGGTATTTGTAAGCCTAAAATATATTGAAAAGGTTGATTTTAGAGTTTTGTGGGAAACATTCCTTGTGTTATTGTGATTTTTGTAATGCAAGCTGATTTTGTCTGGGCATGAAAACAGATGGCAAACATTTCATCTTGGGTCATGGACTTGTTAGTTCTTTGATTTTCTCTTGAAACTGGAAAACTCATCCGGTTTGCTGCTTTAGCAATGCCTGTGTACTTGAACATACCAGAAGGAAGAAAAATGGCGGGTAGTCATTTGAACATATCTCATGATTTTCACAAATGTCAAACAGTACATTTCGAGTGGCCTTATCCTACCTCAACCATTTATGCAAAAAACGACCTTGACTGGATTGCCTAATTAGGCTATAGATATGAACCTGTTCACTTTTGACTCATTGATTTAAATTTGCTCTCCTTTCAAAGGTCATATCGATCGGCATCAAGGGTCAGTCTTCAGGATATTCAGAAGATCCTGTCACGTTCAAGGTCCACAGTCCCGACCGTCGGGTGTCCACATCTACAGCAGAGTAAGTCAGACACATAGCAGTCTGCTCTTTTGTCTGACTGGTAGAGTTGCACTTTTGCTGCAGATTGATAGTCTGGTAGAGTTGCAATGTTTCTGCAGAATTGCTTGATAATGTGGCACTTTTGCTGCAGATTGATAGTCTGGTAGAGTTGCAATATTTCTGCAGAATTACTTGATAATGTGGCACTTTTGCTGCAGATTGATAGTCTGGTAGAGTTGCAATATTTCTGCAGAATTACTTGATAATGTGGCACTTTGCTGCAGATTGATAGTCTGGTAGAGTTGCAATATTTCTGCAGAATTACTTGATAATGTGGCACTTTTGCTGCAGATTGATAGTCTGGTAGAGTTGCAATATTTCTGCAGAATTACTTGATAATGTGGCACTTTTGCTGCAGATTGATAGTCTGGTAGAGTTGCAATATTTCTGCAGAATTGCTTGATAATGTGGCACTTTTGCTACAGATTGATAGTCTGGTAGAGTTGCAATATTTCTGTAGAATTGCATGATAATGTGGCACTTTTGCTGCAGATTGATAGTCTGGTAGAGTTGCAATATTTCTGCAGAATTACTTGATAATGTGGCACTTTTGCTGCAGATTGATAGTCTGGTAGAGTTGCAATATTTCTGCAGAATTACTTGATAATGTGGCACTTTTGCTGCAGATTGATAGTCTGGTAGAGTTGCAATATTTCTGCAGAATTACTTGATAATGTGGCACTTTTGCTGCAGATTGATAGTCTGGTAGAGTTGCAATATTTCTGCAGAATTACTTGATAATGTGGCACTTTTGCTGCAGATTGATAGTCTGGTAGAGTTGCAATATTTCTGCAGAATTATTTGATAATGTGGCACTTTTGCTGCAGATTGATAGTCTGGTAGAGTTGCAATATTTCTGCAGAATTACTTGATAATGTGGCACTTTTGCTGCAAATTGATAGTCTGGTAGAGTTGCAATATTTCTGCAGAATTACTTGATAATGTGGCACTTTTGCTGCAGATTGATAGTCTGGTAGAGTTGCAATATTTCTGCAGAATTGCTTGATAATGTGGCACTTTTGCTACAGATTGATAGTCTGGTAGAGTTGCAATATTTCTGCAGAATTGCATGATAATGTGGCACTTTTGCTGCAGATTGATAGTCTGGTAGAGTTGCAATATTTCTGCAGAATTACTTGATAATGTGGCATTTTTGCTGCAGAATTATCTGGTGGAGTTGCAACATTGCTACAGAGTGATACTCAGGAAGAGTTGTGCTATTGCTGCAGAATGTTGATCTAGTAGAGTTGCACTATTGATTTGAAAGGATGCTCTGGTAGAGTTGCATAGTGATGATCTGTTAGTAACACCTTTACTTAACCTCGGCTTACTACAGGTGTGTGTATTTCGATGAGACTGCAACCAAGTGGACGAATCCTACAGATGCATGTAAGGTGACGAATGCTGTGACTCTGGGAGACGAGGACTTTGTGGGATGTTCGTGTAACCACATGACTAGCTACTCTGTGATCGCCAAAACAATGGACCCTGGCTTGGTGTACTACGAGTTGTGGTTCTACATCTGCTGTGCTATTTGTATGGTAGGTACACATTCTACCGGTCAGCTGGCCTAAGTGAAAACAACACCCTGTCATATTCCGTAAATGAAGGGCATCAATCTTTTATTATTTATGAAAAGTCTTTAATTAGGTGTAGGTGGTATGATGAGTTGGCCAAAGTACCTTCATTGCTGACTCCTGTTGACTGGAGTTAGCTGAGATACAGTTCAGCCTGTTTACATGTTGGTCATCTATGTAAGACAATCATATACACCTATCTTGTTTGTAAGGTGACTGTATGTCAAGGTATGTGACAGTATGTATATTGATATTACTCTGTCTGTTTATGTGACTGTACGTCTGTTTACTGCATACACACATGTAGGTCTGAGTATGTGACTGTATGTCTGTGTGTATGAATGTTTATCAATACCTTGCTTTGTGTTCCAGGCATGTCTTCTGATTGTGATAGTCCTCCATCATGTCTGCTTCCAACAACCCATGATATCAGCCAGTCTGTTCATGCATCTTCTGTTTGCTGCCTTTGCCACTCTGGTAAGGACGGACTCCAGTAGCCCAACATGAAGTACAGTCTTTGTCATGCTCGAGTCCTGGGTTTGATTCTGTTGTCAAATTTAAGAAAATGAAAACAGTATTCCTGAGAGTGGCACAAAGGTCAACTTGCTCATTAAGTCCATAATGGACACATCAAGTCCCAAAGACTCGGTAGAGGTCAGCATCATGATTCTCTGTGCAGAGTTGCACCCCTTGGCCTTGTCAGGATATGCTGGCAATGGGTTCAAATCACAGTTTGCTCTGATTGATCATTCATTTGTCAGTACATGTACTTTAGCCTGTCCTATTTCCTCTCCAGCTCTGCATGGTGCTATCGGCCTACCTGAGTAAAAGTCAGCTCATCCTTGTGTCCTCAACCACTGACAACAACTACAGGTGCATCATCATGGGGCTGTTCCTGCATTACTTCTTCGTTGCTCAGTTCACCTGGATCATGACACTGGTAAGAATCTCGTGACCTACGGGTGAGGTGTTCCTGCATTACTTCTTCGTTGCTCAGTTCACCTGGATCATGACACTGGTAAGAATCTCGTGACCTACAGGTGAGGTGTTCCTGCATTACTTCTTCGTTGCTCAGTTCACCTGGATCATGACACTGGTAAGAATCTCGTGACCTACAGGTGAGGTGTTCCTGCATTACTTCTTCGTTGCTCAGTTCACCTGGATCATGACACTGGTAAGAATCTCGTGACCTACGGGTGAGGTGTTCCTGCATTACTTCTTCGTTGCTCAGTTCACCTTGATCATGACACTGGTAAGAATCTCGTGACCTACGGGTGAGGTGTTCCATTACTTCTTCGTTGCTCAGTTCACCTGGATCTTCTCGTGACTTGAGGTGTTCCCGCGCATTACTTCGTTGCTCAGTTCACCTGGATCATGACACTGGTGCTCAGTTCACACTGGATCATGACACTGGTAAGAATCTCGTGACCTACAGGTGAGGTGTTCCTGCATTACTTCTTCGTTGCTCAGTTCACCTGGATCATGACACTGGTAAGAATCTCGTGACCTACAGGTGAGGTGTTCCCGCATTACTTCTTCGTTGCTCAGTTCACCTGGATCATGACACTGGTAAGAATCTCGTGACCTACGGGTGAGGTGTTCCCGCATTACTTCTTCGTTGCTCAGTTCACCTGGATCATGACACTGGTAAGAATCTCGTGACCTACAGGTGAGGTGTTCCCTGGATCATGCATTACTTCTTCGTTGCTCAGTTCACCTTGATCATGACACTGGTAAGAATCTCGTGACCTACGGGTGAGGTGTTCCCGCATTACTTCTTCGTTGCTCAGTTCACCTGGATCATGACACTGGTAAGAATCTCGTGACCTACGGGTGAGGTGTTCCTGCATTACTTCTTCGTTGCTCAGTTCACCTGGATCATGACACTGGTAAGAATCTCGTGACCTACAGGTGATGTGTTCCCGCATTACTTCTTCGTTGCTCAGTTCACCTGGATCATGACACTGGTAAGAATCTCTCACGGGTGAGGTGTTCCTGCACCTACAGGTGAGGTGTTCCTGCATTACTTCTTCGTTGCTCAGTTCACCTGGATCATGACACTGGTAAGAATCTCGTGACCTACGGGTGAGGTGTTCCTGCATTACTTCTTCGTTGCTCAGTTCACCTGGATCATGACACTGGTAAGAATCTCGTGACCTACAGGTGAGGTGTTCCTGCATGACACTGGTATTACTTCAGGTGAGGTGTTCCGCATTACTGCTCAGTTCACTGGATCATGACACTGGTAAGAATCTCGTGACCTATGGGTGAGGTGTTCCTGCATTACTTCTTCAGTGCTCAGTTCACCTTGATCATGACACTAGTAAGAATCTCATTACCTACAGGTGGGCTGTTCTTGCATTATTATCTCAGTTCACCTGGATCATGACACTGGTAAGAATCTCGTTACCTACAGGTGGGCTGTTCTTGCATTATTGTCTCAGTTCTCCAGGAGACACTGGTAACAATTGTCTAGCTACCGGTGTATCATAATCTGACTCAGGTTCACTGCAGTTTGATATATGTGATTTGTTTCCAAGCTGAGAAGTCTCCCAGCTGCTATCTGCCAGGCAACTGTTTCTCATTGTATGTAGGTGAGAGTACTTCAGTCAATGCTGGGTGTGTTACCTTGGCGTTGGGTGGTTAAGTGTAGTAAATACAATTGTCCCACTGATTATCTTTCAGGCTGTGAACCTGTGGAAACTCCTCGTAATGAATGATGAGCATACAGAGAGGAAATATGTTCTCTTCTTCTTCCTCGGATGGGGTAAGTTGTAGACTTGATCACTAGCTGTGTTGGCAGTACTGTTATATAGATAGCCAAGGACCAAGGAAGCATAGCTAAATGAAGGTCAGTTGTGAAGTGCGTTCCATCCTAGGCCTGAAGTTCATCTGGCTTCAGGACCCATGATTGTCGATAAGAGCTAACACACAGTTGAGATTGGACAGGCATGACGACCTGATAATAAGTAATCGGCAGCATGGATCCTAGGGCTTATACTATCAACCACTGGACCTGATTATTGGCAGGATGTTGTTATATGGCTGGAATATCACTGATAGCAGAGAAGGTTAACATTAACTCCTGTGGAGGAGGTCAGTCACAAGACATGGGCTGAGTTTGACATACTGATGATACAAATGTGCACATCTTGATCCTGTCATTCATTTTGTGCGTAAACTAACAAATTAATGTCAAACTGACATACATTTGGAGGTGTCGTTGATTCAGATTGTTATTGGTATTGATTTAGAACGGTAATAATCCTTCTTGAGGACAGCATTGATTTACAATGGTAATAATCCTTCTTGAGGACAGCATTGATTTACAATGGTAATAATCCTTCTTGAGGACAACATTAATTTACAATGGTAATAATCCTTCTTGAGGACAGCATTGATTTAGAATGGTAATAATCCTTATTGAGGACAGCATTGATTTAGGATGGTAATAATCCTTCTTGAGGACAGCATTGATTTACAATGGTAATAATCCTTATTGAGGACAGCGTTGATTTAGGATGGTAATAATCCTTATTGAGGACAGCATTGATTTAGAATGGTAATAATCCTTATTGAGGACAGCATTGATTTAGAATGGTAATAATCCTTATTGAGGACAGCATTGATTTACAATGGTAATAATCCTTATTGAGGACAGCATTGATTTAGAATGGTAATAATCCTTATTGAGGACAGCATTGACTTAGAATGGTAATAATCCTTATTGAGGACAGCATTGATTTAGAATGGTAATAATTTCTTGAGGACAACATTAATTTACGATGGTAATAATCCTTCTTGAGGACAGCATTGATTTATAATGGTAATAATCCTTCTTGAGGACAACATTGACTTAGAATGGTAATAATCCTTATTGAGGACAGCATTGACTTAGAATGGTAATAATCCTTATTGAGGACAGCATTGATTTAGAATGGTAATAATTTCTTGAGGACAACATTAATTTACAATGGTTATAATCCTTCTTGAGGACAGCATTGATTTACAATGGTAATAATACTTCTTGAGGACAACATTAATTTACAATGGTAATAATCCTTCTTGAGGACAGCATTGATATAGAATGGTAGTAATCCTTATTGAGGACAACATTGATTTAGAATGGTAATAATTTCTTGAGGACAACATTGATTTAGAATGGTAATAATTTCTTGAAGACAGCATTGATTTAGAATGGTAGTAATTCTTCTTGAAGACAGCATTGATTTAGGATGGTTATAATCCTTATTGAGGACAGCATAGATTTAAAATGGTAATAATCCTTATTGAGGACAACATTGATTTAGAATGGTAATAATTTCTTGAAGACAGCATTGATTTAGAATGGTAGTAATTCTTCTTGAAGACAGCATTAATTTACACTGGTAATAATCCTTCTTGAGGACAGCATTGATTTAGGATGGTAATAATCCTTATTGAGGACAACATTGATTTAGAATTGTAATAATTTCTTGAGGACAACATTGATTTAGAATGGTAATAATTTATTGAAGACAGCATTGATTTAGAATGGTAATAATCCTTCTTGAGGACAGCATTGATTTAGAATGGTAATAATCCTTCTTGAGGACAACATTAATTTACAATGGTAATAATCCTTCTTGAGGACAGCATTGATTTAGAATGGTAATAATCCCTATTGAGGACAGCATTGATTTAGAATGGTAATAATTTCTTGAGGACAACATTGATTTAGAATGGTAGTAATTCTTCTTGAAGACAGCATTGATTTAGGATGGTAATAATCCTTCTTGAGGACAGCATAGATTTAAAATGGTATTATTCCTACCTACTTCAGCACAACATTGATCCAATCTGTTATTGTTTCAGGGCTGCCGTTGTTGATTGTAGGAGTTTTCTATGCAATAGTGTACAACCTGTATAAGTATGTGTATACATTGCCTATGGACTTCATATACGGAGATGTTAACAACAACAGTGAAATGTGAGTAACAATTTACAAAATGCTTCATAATTCTTTATTTAGTAGTAAACTATGTATAACTGTATATATGTAGTAAGACATATGTATATCTATATACTAGTAGTAAGACTATATCTGTCTGTCCACTCAACTGTAAGAATGATTTTACAGGTGCTTCATAACCAACCCGTATGCTGCTCTGGGTGGTGTCATTGTCCCAGTGTTGATCATCCTTCTCGTGGTGTGCGTTGTCTTCATCAAGGCCTTCCAGATGTCTGGCCAGTGGGAGTCCTATGATGACATCTACAGGGGCAGATACAACAGGATGGGTGAGTCTCAGAGGGGTTACAACAGGGTGTGACCTAGAGGGTATAGAAAAGGATTGGTCCTAGAGGGTACGCAGTTGGTGGATGAGTCCCAGAGGGGTTACAACAGAGTGTGACCTAGAGGGGATAGAAAAGGATTGGTCCTAGAGGGTACGCAGTTGGTGGATGAGACCCAGAGGGGTTACAACAGAGCGTGACCTAGAGGGGATAGAAAAGGATTGGTCCTAGAGGGTACGCAGTGGTGTGGGTGAGTCCTAGACTGGGTTACAACAGAGCGTGCCCTAGAGGGGACAGAAAAGGGTTGGTCCTAGGGGGACGCAGTGGTGTGGGTGAGTCCTAGACTGGGTTACAACAGAGTGTGCCCTAGAGGAGATAAAAAAGGTTGGTCCTAGGGTGACGCAGTGGTGTGGGTGAGTCCTAGACTGGGTTACAACAGAGTGTGCCCTAGAGGAGAGAGAAAAAGGTTGGTCCTAGGGGGATGCAGTGGTGTGGGTGAGTCCTAGACTTGGTTACAACAGAGCGTGCCCTAGAGGGGATAGAAAAGGATTGGTCCTAGGGGGACGCAGTGGTGTGGGTGAGTCCTAGACTTGGTTACAACAGAGTGTGCTCTAGAGGGGACAGAAAAGGATGGGTCCTAGGGGGACGCAGTGGTGTAGGTGAGTCCTAGACTGGGTTACAACAGAGTGTGCCCTAGAGGGGTCAGAAAAGGGTTGGTCCTAGGGGGACGCAGTGGTGTGGGTGAGTTCTAGACTGGGTTACAACAGAGTGTGCCCTAGAGGAGATAGAAAAAGGTTGGTCCTAGGGTGGCGCAGTGGTGTGGGTGAGTCCTAGACTGGGTTACAACAGAGTGTGCCCTAGAGGGGACAGAAAAGGATTGGTCCTAGGGGGACGCAGTTGTGTGGGTGAGTCCTAGACTGGGTTACAACAGAGTGTGCCCTAGAGGGGACAGAAAAGGGTTGGTCCTAGGGGGACGCAGTGGTGTGGGTGAGTCCTAGACTGGGTTACAACAGAGTGTGCCCTAGAGGAGATGGAAAAAGGTTGGTCCTAGGGGGACGCAGTGGTGTGGGTGAGTCCTAGACTGGGTTACAACAGAGTGTGCCCTAGAGGAGATAGAAAAAGGTTGGTCCTAGGGGGACGCAGTGGTGTGGGTGAGTCCTAAACTGGGTTACAACAGAGTGTGACCAAGAGGGGATAGAAAAGGATTGGTCCTAGGGGGACGCAGTGGTGTGGGTGAGTCCTAGACTGGGTTACAACAGAGTGTGACCTAGAGGGGATAGAAAAAGATTGGTCCTAGGGGGACGCAGTGGTGTGGGTGAGTCCTAGACTGGGTTACAACAGAGTGTGCCCTAGAGGGGATAGAAAAGGATCCTGGGGCAGATCCAGAGGGGATGGTTTGTTCTCCCTTCTCTCTCTCTCCCCTCCTCTCTCAAGGATAAATTCCAGCATGAATCTGTTGATGTCCACACATATCATGAACTTGAAGACCCAGTCTTATATGCAAACTAGTGAAGGTGAGAAACATGTGGCTTGTGTGAAAGATACCCAAAGTAATGGATCAGGCCTGAAGATGGATCAGTCTAGTTTTCAGTAATTGGATGCTGCACTTACATATCCCTGTGATATTGGGTAGTGGTACATTACCTTGTTGTACATGTACACAGTGTATGCTCTAGTATGGGGACTAACTGTCCTGTTTGTTTCCAGAGATCAAGCTGATGTTGCTCATGTGGGGCTTGCTGGCATTCACCTGGTTGTGGGCTGGGCTACACATGGTGTATGGCCAGCTGTGGTTGATCATCCTGTTCTGTGTGTTTATTCTCATACTGGTAAGGCGTTGTGTTAGTTTCACATTGATTTGCAAATATACTCATGCTAAATGTTTAAAGATGAAACTAAATAGCAAATGTTTTCTTCAGCCATATGCAAACTTAAAGTCTAGTCACTATGATGAAGGAGACTATACAGGTGGGCCAGTCACGAGATGCCACAATTCACTGTTGTGTCCTTGGGTGTGCCAGTAACCTATAATTATGTGCTCAAATCCTGGTTTCACCATGGAACATTTCTAGTTTGTCAACATCATGCCTGCTTCTGTGTTTCACCAAAATGCTAAATGAGACTTGCACCACTTTCATCCGGCATCAAGCTCACATGATATATCTGGAATACTGTTCAAAGCAGTGTAGAACTTAACTCCCTCAACCACTCATTCACTATGATTCCTCTTGCTCTAGGGATTGTTTACCTTCATTGTCTACGGAATCCTCCGCAACCCGTGTATGCCGTACTACAGCACTCACAAGGCAAGCTATGCCGTCAGCATCAATGACTTTGACTCCATCCACCCATCGGCAGTACCACACTACCACTATCAGCCATCACCTGGCCCAGCCAGCTTTAAGGGCTCAAGGGCCTCCCTTCTACATGAGGTAAGTACTAATAGGGCAATCTCCCTTTGACATCAGTAGTAATAGGGTTATCTCCCTTCTTCATGAGGTTGGTTGTAATAGGGTAATCTCCCTTCTACATCAGTAGTAATAGGGTCATATCCCATCTACAAGAGGTAGGTACTAATAGGGTATCTCCCTTTGACATCAGTAGTAATAGGGTTATCTCCCTTCTTCATGAGGTTGGTAGTAATAGGGTAATCTCCCTTCTACATCAGTAGTAATAGGGTTATCTCCCTTCTTCATGAGGTTGGTTGTAATAGGGTAATCTCCCTTCTACATCAGTAGTAATAGGGTCATATCCCGTCTACAAGAGGTAGGTACTAATAGGGTAATCTCCCTTTGACATCAGTAGTAATAGGGTTATCTCCCTTCTTCATGAGGTTGGTAGTAATAGGGTAATCTCCCTTCTACATCAGTAGTAATAGGGTTATATCCCGTCTACAAGAGGTAGGTACTTATGGGGTAATCTCCCTTCTGTGTTAGTAGTAATAGGGTAATCTGCCTTCTACACCAGTAGTAATAAGGTTATACCCCGTCTACAAGAGGTAGGTACAAATGGGGTAACTATCAACTTACTGATAGTACACTGAGATACCATGTTGCAGTTTTACCATGGATAATCCACTCTGACCAGTCCATGTATTGAGAACCAGTGAAACAAGTATCAACTGCTAACAATGGATTGAACCACCAAACTGATATTCTTGGGGCAGACACTGTCCATTAGACAAACCTTGTGAATTTCCTTTGATTCATAATAATCCTATAAAATATTAATGTGTTTTGGCTCTGTTTTCCCAACAGTATAAACATAGCAGTATCTTATTTAGTGATGGAAAATAATCGAAAAAATGATAATGGTTTAGATGATCTAAACTCATTCTAACACATCCCATAATGTATCATACATTTTTTCAGGCATGGGAGCGTGATTCCATTGGCCCACGAAGTCAGATGACTGTGAAAAGAGCTCTTCCATCTCAAGTTTACATCAACCCTCCTGTATCCATCATCAGCGGACCGTCACACAGCGACATGGAAGATCGGGACTTTGACGAGTTGTTATATGCATTAAAAGCAGGGGGAAGTTTTGCCCCCAGCGAGGTGTCACATGGTGCCGATAATTTGTCTGTTCAGTCCGACAGACTTGAGAGATACGAAACAAAAAGAATAGATATCGCAGACACACACTTATAAATGTTGTTAATGTGCTTTTTGTACTTACTGACACATTAGGAATTACACAAAGCTAGATGTTCTGGATTCAACATGCCAATCCCTGTACACACAAAGAAACTATCTTGTCACAAGGCGCTGATTTTCTTATTTGTTTTCTTTCTGAAGTTTGGAAAATGTTCATGAAATAAAAATGTAAAAAAATATTTCTTCCTGCTATTAACTTGATTTATAAAAGATCTACATTGCTTTTTCATCATTCATATTTTGACAATCTTTGATGTTTTTAAATTTGTCAACCAATTATGAAAAAGGCCTCAATTTGAAATGTGTTTGCACATCATGTATTTTTGATATGTTGTTACATATATTTTTCAAATGTCAGAAATAATCTTTTGAAGACAAGAAATATTCCTTTCTGTACATCTTTTTAGCATGAATAAGAATCTGGTCAGTCATTAATGTTGAATATCTCACCAAATATTTTGAAATTACATAACTGGTGAACATGTAACCAGTCATGCTGACTGATCTGTTGATGTATTGTCTTGTTACCTGGTTCAATGATGTTGGTTTGTACCCTTGTTTAATGGACGTCATGTTATCCCTTTGTATGTATTGTTATGTTAACTACATGTGGCTTTATCTCACATTGCCTAGTTGCTGTAGTTATGGACGTAGCCATCTCTCATACTGTACATACGTAGAGTCAGGGCACTATAGATACCTGTGGAGATTCTGTTGTGGCAGTACCCTATCTAGATACCCTATCTAGCCTGCCAACCTGTCATCGATAATCATTATAGTTTGTTTGGCTCAAAATCGGAATGATGAATTGCAATTTTTCCTTTTTTTTTATCAGAATTTATCTCCTAAAATTAAAAAGTTGTTTAACAAACTATCATTAAAATCTTGACACAGTTCACTATTTGTTACGAGGGAGGGGTGGAAAGAGAGGAACAGCCAGGTGTGCAAAAAAGGATGGAAACGGCACAGCACAGGTTAATGAATCAATGACTTTGTCTGCATATGTGCATGCTTTTCGGCGAACACCTGGCTGTTCCTCCCTTTGCAGTCCTCCCTCATAACAAATAGTGAACTTTGTCAAAAAATTTAATGATAGTTTGTTTAACAATTTTTATATTTTTAGGCCATAAATTCTGCAAATAAATCACGGAGTTGGTCTGATGTTATGATTAGCGTTTCATTGAGTATTCTATGTTTAGTTGTTTTCGAGTTAGATTGCAATTCATTGGTCCAATTTTGAGCCCAACAGACTATAGCTAAAACCTTTCTCAGACACATGCATCCTGTGAGGACACTGGGTGCCCAGTACCCAAAACCTTTCATAAGAGCCAACTTAAATGATTGAATGGTTATAATACTGGCCATAGCAAATGATCTCATCATCACTAGTCAGTCTGATCGGGTCTCCAGCGAGTCCCAGACGTCGCAGGCTCATTGTGGTGTAAAACAACAATCAGTTACTCAGCTATAAGTATTGCATTATCATATCTAGACAGACTGTTTATGCTCACACATGATCAGCCATTTGAGTGGGCAGAGCAGTGAAAGCTGTTATCCTACAACTGTAAGATTGCTCACCAATGTATACTTGGGAGTCATTGTTGAAGGGTCACTTGGGTACATAGGGTCTCACATGAACATATGCAACAGTTGTCAATAGGTCTGAGTAGGTTGATAATGAAGAAAACTTGGCACTTGTAACTTTATGGATGCCTTTTTTGAAACTTGAAAACTACCCAAAAACACTAAAATGTAAATTTGTCAGCTATCAAATACTCATTTGGGTTATAAAAAAAATATAGAAGTGGAAATCAATTAATTCTTGCCTTCAGGTAATGCCTGAAAAGTAAAGTCAATGTTGATATAAAATGGTCTCATTCACATGGCAACTGAGTTGCTCTCTTGGAAGTTGCAAGTGTGATGTTTTTTTAATAATTACCTCCGTGACCCCTCAGGAATGAAGCGGAGGATTAAATTTGTGCGTGTGCTTTAGCTTGAGGCAGGGTTTTTACTGTTCTGGAGTCAAATTATCTGAACTGGAGCTTAGCATTGTCATCAATATACACAATACCATTGCCAGTTGTTCAATGATAACTATAAACCTTGTTAAGTCAAACTTAATGTTATCACCATTGTTTAAAACATTACAGGACTTAAAAAGAAAATTCATTCCAATACTGCTGATATTTTCTACTGCATGTCAGTCCTTAAAGGACATCATGAGATTCCAATAATCACCTCAGTCATAGCAATACTAAGCTGATACTTTGTTTTACATGGAATTAAAGTCATAAGAATATCTCAGGGCCACCGCACATTACGAAACGAACATATTTCACCATTCGTAGAAGTTTACCTTGTACAATAAACCTGTAGTCTGTTTACCTTACCTTAGAATCACTGAAAAGTTTCTTGTATCCTTATCATGAAATGACAGTTCACTATGACTATGCAAAATAAGTGTATATAGCTTTTTTCATTTGCATACTTCATACTCATAAAATCACTTCTGCATTTTTTGTCATAAATAAAGCAAATTTCTCTGTACATTGTGATACGTTCTTCATTTGCTGCCAGTTGATATTCAGTCATAATTTGCAGGATTTGGCAGATTGTCATCTTTGTTAGGCAATCAACCACCAACATGGATGCCCATGTATGGACTTCATGATAAAGCTTGAATACTAATGAATGGCAACATATATATCAGCACTGAAAAGCAAGTTCCTTCATCAGCTGCCAGCATGACAGGTACTTGAGACCGACAACAAAACACTGCTTATTTTACCTATGATTTTATTAACATCTGGTGTAGTTGCACTCCACTTTGAATCATGATGGTTCTATATAGGACTCTAGTATGAAAAGAGGAGAAAGTAAATGCAAATGGTTTGATATGACCTTGATAAATGACAACAGGTGTGCACAGAAGACTGAAATCACGGACGATCGTAGAGGATCAACTAAAGACACAAATAATGTCATCTTTACAAGAGTATCACATGTGATGCGCGCTTTGTTCATTTGCTTCATGCGCTTTTCATTCTAAAAATAAGATTTCATGGATAATTGTATGTGCCTTTGCTAGAACAAAACTGAAAGCATTTGGCAAAAATAAATGGTTTAGCTGCTTCTGAACACAATTTGGTAAAGGTTTAAAATGATAATTGTATGTATATAATGTACAATACATATATATCTACAAAATGTAATGTACAATACATATTTATCTACAAAACAACCAATGGTATGACAGGATGTGAATGTGAAATATACACACATCCTCCAGGGATGAATGGGTTATGTAAGTACAGGTCAAGTAGAAAGTCAAACTGGCTGACCCACCATCCGGTAAGTCAGGTCCCCTCCTTGTCAGGAAAATACTGCAGGGATAGTTTTATATATACACAAAATATAGCTACACATATACAGCTGAGTATTTGATACTCTATCATGACCACCAATGATTTTATCCATTTGAATTTGATTCTTTACCCTCCAGGAACTTAAATAAGCTGCAGCATATTTTACTGCGGCGGCGTATGTACAAAGCTTGCACAAGCGTCATCAGTATGTTCTCAGCACAACTGCTTTCTTCAGCAAGTGAAGTCACAACAATATTAGAATAAATCCATATATATACAACAAAGAGGGATGCATGTTTTCGAACACTTCCCATTGCATAGAATAAAATTATTGCTCTCACTCTCGCATACAACCATTACACTTATACCCAGTCACTCTTCTGTACAATAACTTTGTCACATTATCACACTGAACACAACAAACAAGTTTAAGACCATGTAACCAATTGAAATTGATGTCATTAAAAATCTATCATAAATTACATAATGTGACCTTAATTCATAAGGAATCCAAGAAAGGTGAAGGCAAATTCTGGTATCATTTACACACTAAAATGTTTTGCCTTTACGACATTAACACTTAACTCATTTGATTTCATGGTCTTTAAATACTGCAGGACATGATTGTTTTGGCCAATTGTTGGCTAGGGATGTGCCTTCCCAGTCTGTCCCAGCAGTGCATGCAGAAAATACATAACAAGACATTTACTACAGAGAAATGGACTTCATAGGCAGCACAGATCTCTTCTACACAATCACTAGATGCTGCCCCTCCCTTGCATGTGAACACTGATACCATCAGCTGTCCCTCAAACTTAATACACAGGTGCTGTTACCGGAAATATACAAATTGCTCAAATAGGTAATTGACAGGTCCTGCATGAAAATATATGTGATTGTAGTGTAATTGAGAATGAATACCTAGCAGGAAGGGGCATGATCATCAGATAACTGCAGATTTCATCTGTTTCTGTTATCAATGTCACAATTATAAAAGTATCGTCACATGCAAAATATTCTTGCTGCCCTATTTATTTCATTTTTGACAAAAAGTTTGCTTGACTAGCTTTCATGCAGCCATTTTAGCAAGTCGAGCAATTTCATATGTACCACAGCCACCATATTATGTCTGGTAGGAGCCAATGAACAGCCCAAGATTGTCAGCACCATAAGACAATCCTACATTGTCCCTTCTCTCAGCTTAGACTTCCTCCTAAATACTGTAACTCATAACTGGAAGCACCAAGCTATTTGATTACTTTAACGGCAGTTTCTGGATTTCCAAGTTACCACACTACAGTAATGTTAAGTATTAGTGCACATGAACATTGAACACATTGACCACTTTCTTTCCACTGTAACAGTAAAGGTGGGAATAGCTCTATTTACTACTTAGATAGAAAAGCCATCACAATTTATCTTTGTTACATATTAATGTTTTAAAAGGCTCGTGTTGTCAGCAAAATCGGCACCAAAATGCAAGTGAGAATTATCTGAACACAGAGTACCTTACATTCACAGTGTAACAAAGGACTGATACATAATATCAAACAAATATGCAATACAGTCAAAATATTTTTGCTCCATTAAAGTACATTTATCAGTTAGGTAAGGCAAAAGTAACAGTATCAGATTTTATCCTCACAAAAAACATGACTGCATCAAAGGTTGCATCTTAAACTTAACAACTGTTCCACCTTGTTAGTTTCTTGAACAGAAAACTAGAAAAAAAGTCAACTTGTAGATCTAGTAAAGTAAGCAATTTGTTCCATATTTCTGGAGATTACATAGCAATTTCATTGAATGTTCTCTACAACAATTCCTCTAAACATTAACAACTTGTTTAAAACTACTTCTAGAGCCTGTGGGCTCATCAAGATAAAATCATGGCACTTAAGTAGGGTTTCATGTCCACAGAATATAACAGGTAACAAATCTCATTTTGTTCATCAACAAATAAATAGCTACATCCTCACTAAAACTGAAATGCCCACATTCAGTTTCAAATCAAACGAGGCACAATAACTACCGCGTGTGATCACACAAAACATGGAGTTTTCTGGACAAATTGGTAACCACAGCCAGACACCTGATCCCGACACAAGTTTGGTGAGTGACAGTCTGAATGAAAGGGGACAAAAACAAATATGAAAGGAATTTCTGTAACTTGCATGCTTTTTCACAATGTAAACCATTCATAAGTCACACTTTCACTTCCAAAGACACATCCACAAAACTATTTGGGTTATTTGTTGTCTCAAAATAAGTATATTATGCATTCCTTGAGTACCTTCCATTGAAAATAGTTCCTGTTGCCTTGAAATGTATCTTTTTAATGAACAAGCCAGCTTTCTGAACAAGATCAAGAGATGAGTAACAAATTTCCACGGACTGATGAAATCTTCCTCTATAACAGCACACCATGCAATGGAATTGAAGCCTAATGAAAATGGTTCCAGGTGAATGAATGTCTTCAACCAGGTTTTGTCTAACTTCATAGCTGCCACATTTTAACTTGAAATATTGTTAGTGAGGTTCAGTCTCAACTAACATGATCAAACAACTGTCTACTTTAGGTTGGTGTCTGGCCTTACAAGCATGTTCACACTTGAAAAAGGTCTCCATATTTCGCTTGTCTGATTACAAAGACTTTGGTAATAGTTGCAAATGGCAAACACTTGCTTTTGTTTGGTATACAAGACGGCCCTATTGACAAAGAATTGTCTTCACAAACATTCTGAACACAGTGAACTCTTGTCGCATTTTATGCACAAGTTGAATGAACACTGACACTATCACTGTCAATAAATAAGAACACATACTGAAATTATAGAAATCAGTCACAAACTCTTGAAGTCTCGATTTCAAATGTAAGAGTATGAAAAACACACACGCTAAGTAAATTTTTCATATTGGTACAATTCAAACCTGGCATATGCCACTCCTTTACTTTTGTTATCAAAAGTGCGTTTGTGTTTTTTTCCTTGGTCTCTTCCCAGACCCTTCCTCCAACAGGTATGTCACGTCAATCTTTTGTTTACCAGGAATGTTGCCCAGCATTTTTATCAAGATTTTGTTCAGGCGTTCCTTCTTCTCCTTTTTCTGGAAACAAAGTAACATGTTTTCTAAACAACGGAGGTGATGTTCTGTATCATTCAAACAAAAGATATAAGGCCACTAATACTCTAGTGCTCAAATGAGGGAAATGTAAAGTTAGCTATCACAACCTGATTATCTTCAATGAAATCCAGATTGCACAAATTATATCAGTAGGTTATCAAAAGTGTACAGACAAGATTCTGATAAATGCCAATTTTTCCAATCTGCATTCATTAATGCAAGTTGCGACACTAAAGCCAAATGATATGAATTGTCTATACTACAATAGGCACATACCCCATCCCTGCAACTCAGATGATTATGTGAAGCTTAGCTTCTATTTGACTCAGTAATTTCCAATAATACAAGTAGAGTGTCTCAAATGGACAACATTATACACAGGCTTAATACCATTTGGTACAAATGTGTGTTAAGCTCACTGATGATCCTTTTTTACGAGAATCTATGAACACTTAGAACTTGTGATTTTAGTTAACGACGGAAATTATGTAAACTATTTTTGCATTTTACTTGCAAATATGTAACAAGTATGAAAATTCAGGACATTTTGTAGCTAAGAACATTGATTCCATGTAATAATTTACAGTTATATTTAAGAAACAAAAGTTAAAACATTTACCTTTAATTCTTTGACCCTTGCCAGCGGTAGGTCTTCCTCAGACTCAGCATCAGAATCACGATCCTTTTGCTTCTTCTGCTTCTCCTGATTGTCTCCCTTGTCACCTCCATCACTCTTGCTGGGACGTCCCCGCTCTCCTTCACCTTTCTTCCCTTGCCCTGATCCTGAGTCTGACTTGACTGAGCTTGTCCCACTCCCATGTTGTCTCTCACCAGGCCCACGGCGCTTGTACTGTTCTGGCACTTCATGTGGCTGTAATAACAAGGTCACATATTGAAAACATTGCTATGGTCAGAATTATAAGACATGAAATAGATTTCAGTGACTGGGTAAACTACAATCTGTTATTTATTTCACCTGGGACATAAATAAACTTGACATATACAGATGGTCATGTAAGTCTGTTGGGAACTGATATTTTCTGGAAGATCACCAATAAAGATATAACTAGCTCTTCCAAAATGTTAAATCTTCATTCAGAAAGAGTTGGGGAAAGTGATCTGGTCAACCATAAATTGTTTCCTTACAAACACAGCGACAATGGACAAGTTTACCCACGCAACTTACTATTTCAGGCAAACAGGGAAATTTGACCTTTCAAATTGGTCAAAGGTTGCAAGGTTAAAATTTCAGAATGCGGCAAAAACATTCTAAAAACACACAAAATAGATGCAACCTAGATACCAATTAAGATAAGAAAAATAAAGCTGTATGTTAATATTTCATAAATGGTATCCATTTTGAATCGATGAAGGCATTAGTCTGAAAACATCTGCCGAAAATATCAGGACAGAGATATATGTATATATTAGAGCTGATGACAATAGATCTCTGAAACAAATTGCACCTATATTTATGTTTGGCATACCATAGATTACACTTTAATGAGAAACCAAATGATAATATAACCAGCTTACTGAATAGGTTCTCTTTGGCACCAACTTCTGTGGGTATCTGTCAAAGCAGTAGGATTTGGTGTTGATACCAAACCTGAAACAAACATTAGTATCTATGAGCACAGGGTAAACAACTTGTACTTCTTTCACAAAACATGACACACTTGACACACACACAGAGTCCTGATAACCAGAACTAATTAGCGCAAGGTATAATTCAATGAAATGTAAGCTTAGTATTACCAAAAGTAGTAGCAGTATAGTCTCCTACTACTACTCTGCAGACCACAAACCACTCTTGGTTCAGTGTGACTTTGGTAGTCAAGAACAGTTGACATGAAGTGAAATGGGTGTCAACATTTGATTCAAGGATATTGTCTTATATAGTGACATGCGAACACTTGTCTGTGTGTGTAGCATTAGTATCTATGAGCACAGGGTAAACAACTTGTACTTCTTTCACAAAACATGACACACTTGACACACACACAGAGTCCTGATAACCAGAACTAATTAGCGCAAGGTATAATTCAATGAAATGTAAGCTTAGTATTACCAAAAGTAGTAGCAGTATAGTCTCCTACTACTACTCTGCAGACCACAAACCACTCTTGGTTCAGTGTGACTTTGGTAGTCAAGAACAGTTGACATGAAGTGAAATGGGTGTCAACATTTGATTCAAGGATATTGTCTTATATAGTGACATGCGAACACTTGTCTGTGTGTGTAGCTACTTGTTCTAGGCAGGACTAATGCTGTTATATAATGTTAATCTCCTAAGAGTCCACAACATGGGTACACCACTCAGATATTGGATAATGACTCCAAGCCAACCATATTTTAGTTCAATCCCTTTCATGCTGAGCAATCAAAGGGTCAATAAGTACCATCTTTTAAGGTCTTTTGCACTCCATTCAGACACTCGATTCCTTAGATCACAACCGTTACACTGGCAAATTAAAATTTGCTGTATTTAATGATTCTTCAAAGAAGGAAAGGTACGACACATAAAAGGTACGACACATGAAGGTAGGATGACGCCATGAAAGGTATGACGATGCATGAAAGGTGTGTGACACATGAAAGGTATGACAACATATGAAAGGTATGATGACACATGAAAGGTATGACGAAGCATCAAAGGTATGATGACACATGAAAGAATGACTAGACTGTTATACCTTGGTTTCGACAGCTTGTGGAAGAGATGAGCTGTCTTGTCCACTCTGTATTCACACACATAGATGTCCTGGGAGCGGTATCCCTTGGGGCGACCTTTACAGTAAGTATTCAGGTCCATCACACAGCACAGTCCTGCGATAGCCTCCAAAGGCACTATTTCCAATGTGGGGTATTTAAACACCTGCAAGACAGACAAGAACATTGTCAACTACAGACATTTCATGGCAAGTCTCACATTCCAAAGATTTAACATCCAATAGTTACAGTACATATTATTATCAAAAAGCATCATCTTCGGTACTGACCTCATTGTGGAAGAATTTCCTTGTAGGTTCATGATAGGTTTCATTAGGTCTCAGGTAAGCATGGCCAAGGATGTATCTCTCATCACTATAATGAAAACAGATAAAGTATTATTATTATAATAGGATATTTATATAGAGCACATATCCACACAACTAGTACATGCTCAAGGCACTGAAGTGTTCCCTTGATCAACAGATGTCTTTTTTTTAATTTTTAACCTACTCAACTCCCTGGGGAGTATTCAACTCATGCTGCCCGTTTGACACAGCGAGTAATTACACAGCCTCATCCTCACAAGGTACCCAATTGCAGCTGGGTGGACTAAATAACAGTATTCATCATTATATTGCCATAATATAATGCCATAATATGAATACTTGAGTTCATCCATATGAGTGCTAAATACAAGCAAACAATAATTATTATTTTTAAAATGATTCTGATAACAGTTGTAAGTACATGTAGATCTTACTTTTCATCGATCCACAGCTGTTCTATTCTGAAGATCTCCAGTTTGTCAGGACTGATGTTTGACAGTAGTCTGGAGGAGGATCTGACTGGTGCTCCCTCGCATCGCTTGTAGTCTCTGTTCAGGTACACACACTCCCCAATAGCTATCTGCATGTCATCCTTCATTAGGGTCATGTAGTACATACAGCCAGGGGTGGCATCTGGGGGCTGAGGAACCAGCTTTATTTCCTGCAAAGGTCAGGGCAGTTAAATACAAACCCTTTGCAATACTACAAAAAAGTTAAATACAGTCCTGTGTGGCTTCTAGAAAATTGTAAATATTTACCTGGGCTCGATTTAAGAGATTTTAACCTACTTGCACCAGGTGCAACCTAAGATAAGATGCTAGTTGCACTAGTCAAATTCCAGTTGCACTGTTTTTATTGCAATATGTAATATCAGAAATATGCTATTGAATTATTTAGATGTTTTATTCAGAAGTTCATCCACTCAAAAATTGACTTACGCCTGGTGCAAGTTAGACTAATAACTAGGTTGCACTTTGTAATGTTGGGTTGCACCGTTGCAAGTAGCAAAGCACTAAATCGAGCCCTGTTTACCTGTATAGGTTTACATACAATGAAACATTATTGATGAGTAAGCTCTCACCAAGAAAACCTTTCTACACAAACAGTCTTTGTGTCGGTCGCTTGCCTTGGCTTAACGCGACTTGTAAATTATGGCAGAAAGAACTTGGTATAAAATCCAATGACAAAAAATAGCTGGGAATTGAACTAATTGCGATAACAAGTGTCTTCAAACTGGTGGAAGAAATGCTGGGTACCTTTAACGTCACTGGGCAGAGAAACCTTTGGAACAATGAGCTATCACTAATATGTGAAGACAATAGCAGACACGTCACACCATCATACCTTATCATATGGCCTGGGATCACAAATTTCACAGGTGTAGTGCTCCACATCTCCAGATATTCCCACACAGTCACAGTGCTGCCATATCTGCAATGTTAAGAGTTACCTCCCTTCAACAACATACTTTGTACTTTCACACTAAAGAAAAAATGATGCGACATTATGAAAGATGTACAATTTTCTGTTCATGGAGTGACAATGATATACTTATGACTGAGAAAAGAGATGAATTAATGACTACAGACAAGCATGATGTGAATAAACATTCTTCAATGAAGCAGAATAATGGGATCCAAAGCTAACACTTACGTTACAAGTTTCACACATGATCATGAGGCCTTCATCTCTGAAGATACCGCAAATACATCTGATCACCTCTTCCTCTTCTTCATCCTCTGGTGGTTCTATCAACAGGCAATGAAAGTCTCAATAAGTCACCACATAATCAGAATCAGTTTGGATTCGGGCTCATCTTTAAATGGGAAGTTGTCTCAACTCACTATCAATGGAAACTTGACCTGATCACAGAATCATTTGGTTTTCAATTATCGGTTGCAAACAGAATGTCTCTACAAACAGAATCGGCAACACCTGAGAGGACTACTTGCTGAGAGTGGTTACCTGACAAATTACGCCTAATGTATTAAATGATGATGGTAGTATGGTCAGTAAGTTAAATATGATCGACATAAAACAATGTTTGATCATTTTCCCTCCATGACACGTGATCTTTCACATGGTTGATATTTGGTTGATTTGTATCGTTATCACTAAACTAACATACTTACTTGTTGTGGTTGCAGGAGTAGCATTGGTCTTGTCTCCAGGTGTTTCCACAACTTCAGCCTCAAGTACTGGTGGCGTAACACTGCCTTCACCTAAGATGATCTCCAGTTGGGAGGTCTCCTCAGCCTTAGCTTGCGAAAATACTTTCCTTAGCTTCACGACAATTTTACCCATTTCTGACTTGCGACCACAGTAGTTCTGTTGAATAAAGTGGGGTCGAATCAGTAATATGAATCTACATTACACAACATCATGAAAGGACACTCTATATCAACAATATCAATTGCCAATTGGTGTGAAAAGAATATCAACCAGAACATCTTAAATCTTAACTAGGTTTAGTTGGTAACAAATGACATGTTTTTATCTGACAAACATTGCAATCAGCTACATCTTGTCAATGTAATCTGACAGCAGCAGTATCTCAAACATTTAGATTTAAAACATACCAATATCTCAACCTATTTGTTCTTACTGGCTATACTACAATGTGGTAGATTTAGATGTGAACTACCAAACAGTGATCATCACTTTGTATTTTTTTAACTGACAGGTAATCAAGAGCTACAGCACTATCTTAGAAACATGGAACATTTTCACATTTCTCAACAACATTCTTTATACATGATAAATAAACCAGATGTACAGTGGAACCACCCTTAACTGGAAACCTCATCTACCAGATGATATTTACGTGAAATGAACTATGTAATTTTTGAAGTAAAATTGATTTTTTTATACACTTATCCTGACTCATGATATTGTGCTTATCTCCTTCTTCCATGCAAATGGTAGTGGAACACTTGAATCCCTTGTAGTTCCCTAAAGTGGACGTAAAAGTTCACTCACTCACGAGTTGACTCATGATATTTTTGTTATAGAATCCGAAGGATTGGTGGTGGGTCAAGCCACTTCCGTGGATTCATCAGCTGTCTTAGATACGTCTTGTATCTCCCCCCCCCCCCCGAACTGCGTAACAGCACTTCCTAGATCCTATTCTTCCAACTTCCTTTGACGTTGGCTAGTGTGTCTATGGACTTGGTCATCATGACTTCCCGGGAATCATGTGAGGTTTCCTTAGCAGCTTCATCATCTCCCCGCCGAAGATAGTAGGCTCCGCCCAAGGAGCTCTTAGTAGCGGTTGAGTAAATCTGTCACACCAGGAACATGATGCTAGTAGACCTTAATACGTAATACCTTAATACGTATGGTGATACCCGCTGACGTTGAGGCCAAGTGGTCGGACATAAAGTGCTGGTCCTTCTTCTTAGTTAACAGTGATGAAAGGATCATCCTATCCTCTTCCGACTTTGAATTCTGGAATCTGGATATGAATGCCTCATTGATTGCCCTAGATCTTGCCAAGCCGAAGAATGTTCTTCTGGTTGTGGTGTCAAGTTGAGCCAGAGTTTTGTCTTCCACCTTATAAGCTTTGGTACTGGAGTCGTCGACCAATTTCATGTTGTCGTCTAAGTCCGGCGCTCTCATGAAGGGGTCCATATGATGCAGAGGGAACCTCCTCGTGTTGAGCGTTGGTAAGTGTTGATTCTGATATCGGGTTGCTTTCTCAAAAGCTGTATGCAGGTTCACAGAGACCATGGAGATTGGTTCAATAGGTGGAATCAAGAGGGTGTCGAAGTCGTCCTTCCACATCCTGTAAGTAAATGCTTCATTCGATTCCTTGGATGGGGATGCCAATTCCAATCCATTTGCAATCCAAGATGTAACCTCTGCTTCGGAAAATACGTAGTCTCCCTCTTCATCAGATAGTTCCGGTTCCGTTGAAGCGTGCCTTCGCGAACCCTCCTTTAGCGAACCTTCTACAGGGGCTGCGGGATCTAGATGTGGAACAGCTGGATCTCGGAGAGCAACTTCTTGACATTCTCAAACGTTGAGGGTTCGCAGACGTATCCCTTGTAGACTCATGAACGTTCGTGGAACCTTCATCTTCACCCATGATGATAGAGTCTTCTGAGTGTGAAGATCTTCGCGAACGTCATCTTCAGTTGTAGACCTATGGGACGTAGATGTAGATCTCTCAGGTTCGCGAAGGTCTGAGGGTTTGCGAACATTGTCTGCCATCGTAAGGTTCTGCCGTGCTGCTGCTTCCTCGGCGAACCGACGCTCCAACATGGCCATCATCTGCGTTGTAAACTGCCTCATAAAGTCGCCTGGGTCGAAGTTCTGCGTTGTAGGCTGGAACTGATGCAGTGTGGACGAAGCGTTCACGAACGCTGAGGTGTTGTCTGCGTCTGCGTCTACTTTGCTGATGTTGTCTCTGATGACCGATGTCTGTGTTGTTGGAGGCTGGTCGTTGAACAGCTGAGCAGCTGTCATAGTTGCAGGGGATGATCGTGTCGTCGTAGAGGTAGACTGCGTCGCCGTTCTAGTAGATCTAAACGGTACTTCAGGTAGAAGTATGGGCGGGTCAGCAAACACGTCTGCTTCATCGGGCGGCACAATGTCTTCATTAAACGATCTCTGATGAGTTGTCTTGCTGGGACGAGATGATTTCGACGATGATCTAGATAAAGATGACTTCTTCTGCGTCGCAGACGATGAAGACATCTTCTTCGTCTCAGTCGTAGCAGGCCTCTTATTAGACGTGGTTACATTTCTAACAGCAGCAGACGACTGCCCCTACATCGTACTCGGTAAAACACCAGAATTATGTATTTCAGCAGTAGTAGACAACATACGGTTACCGGCATTATCTCCGGATTTATCACCAGTGACTTGAGAAGACTTCCTTACCTGTTCCATCGAACGTATATAGATGTAAAACAAGTATTGATTAAATTGTAAATTTGATATATTAACCAATAACTGCAATGCAAGTTGGAAGAACATGGATTACTGCATGACGGGCATTGGGGGTGAGGATCAGCCACTGATAGCTGGTACCTGCAAACACTGCAAGATTTCATCAAATGTAAACAAACTACATAGTGATGAAATATGTCACAAAAGACAAATAATTTTGGCATACAATGCAAGCTAAATACAACCAAAACCATACACAGCGTAATTTGGATAAAAGGATCTAAATATTAAAAGATATGGTGCCGTATACGGGACTCCAGTGCTCGGCCAAACAATCCGCTTGGGTGATAGAGGAGAGAGTGACAAGCATGGCAAGTCACACGAAAAGGGAGGCAACTCGTTGGTGAGTGAACTTTTATGTCCGCTTTAGGGAACTACAAGGGATTCAAGTGTTCCACTACCATTCGCATAGAAGATGGAGGCAAGCAAAATATCATGAGTCAGGATAAGGTGAGGTGAGGTGAAATTGGGTTTAACGTCATGCTTGAGAATATTTCGCTCATATGACGACGTGCATGCGTGTGTATGTGTAGGTGCGGCTGCTTGTACTAGCCCAGACTTAAGCTGGTTTTATAGTGCTAGCCCACTGAGATACCATGCCGCAGTGAAGCATGAATACCCCACTCAGACACATTAAACTGACTCCGAGCCGACCAGTCCTTGATGTACCCATTAATGCCGAGCGCCAGGCAGGGACCAACAAGTACCATATTTTAACGTCTTTTTGGTAGTCAGGATAAGGAAAAATAAATACTATACAATATGTTTTATTGATCTGGACAGTAATTTGCAGTAATACACACTAATTCAGTGGCCATTATCGGATGCAACCACGCTTGACAGTCTTTGCTTTTACAATTCATCAAAGGGATGGGTATCAAGAAATCAGTGTTAATTTGAACCTGATATTACACACACTGGTTATTAATACTATTTTATTCTATATCTAGACAGAGCTTATGACACACACACATGCACACTCACACACACACAGACAAAAAAAAAAATTGCCATGCTTGGGTACTTTCTAACTGACAGAAATGTACATAGGGAGAAAATGTGTTCAGAGCCAACTGCTATTTCCAGACAGGTTTACAAGAAAATACACACAGTAATCTTAATCCCTGCACATAAACAGCCAAAATGAACACAATATAAATGGTAATCAATTTGGTCCAATGAAGTCTAAACACAATTTCACCCACCCACCCCACAACCAATAACCTAGTTTCTTATCGCCTGTTCATTCACATGAATTAGATTAAGAATTATACAGTAGTGGAGTTTTGTTTCTATAAAATTTCAGGAAGTGTGTTTCAGATATCTGGAAATCCATTTATCCAGACAAAATGTGAGAAAATGTAAGTGCTTGGATAAGCGATATTTGATAGTACATTTATTGCACACTGTCACTCCATCTTACCTCAACATTCCTGAAAAGCTTGTTCATGTCATTCTCCAAATATTCCATATCAGAATAGTGCCCCTTGCTGATGTTTTTCCCAATCAGCTGAAGGTCTATAGGGTCATCTATAAGTTTGTAGTAGTCAGGGCTTTTCTTCCGAGAAGGCAAGTTCATCAGAGGGGTTGCAATCAGGTTGCCATCCTCATCTGCAGAACAGAAACAGACAATAAATACATGTTTTGAAAACCATTTACAAAGTGCACTTTACAACCAGCAGAGATTGCTGGGACCAATCCTAACCCAGAATCCCCAATGGATACATAAATATGTAATACCTTTGAATGATGCAATGACATCAAATATCCTTGTGAAGACTTTGACTAGCTTGTATCTCTTCTGCAGCTCAGGATTCTCCTCTGCCATTGCCACTAGTCTGAAAACAACAACAACAACGATACAAATAAATGATTATGAAAGCTTTGGGTCAGAAAAATAAGTGAACATCAACTTTACAACCCATTTTCCTTGAAAAGTGACATTTAAGGAGAAGCATACATTATCTAACAAATATTTTACATGTCAAATGAAACAGTGTTGATTTTGTGCACCCTCAAACAAAAAACAAAGAAACGCACCTGGTTTTGACAGATCTGTCATTAAGCTGGGTGAGGAAGAGATCTGTAGAAGAAAATAATACAAAATGTGAAAATTATTTAAGGTAATAATCTACCGGACAAGACTTCCTCAAGAATCAAATAAAATTCCTTACCAGACCAACAATTATTATTAACATTATTATCATTATGATTATTACTAAAATGATACAAATATACTATGATGTCAGAAGTCACATATAAGAAATGGCTGGCATTTATACTAAAGGAATGTTCATTAGTGAGTGAGTGAGTTGGGTTTTACGCCACTTTTAGGAATATCATGGTGGGGGACACCAGAAATGGGCTTTACGTAATGTACCCAGAATGTTCATTAAAACTACTGACGAATAGTGAATCTTGCACAATGCAAATCACTTCTACCAATCGTTTGGAAATACTCAAAATGGGTCATGCCAAGTATTCAAGCCAATATGGTAAGAGAGAAAGTATTTCCAAGTGGTCCTAACCTGAATTGACGACTCCCGAGTCCCTTGCTCCTTCTCTCTCTGAATCCTTCTCTCTCTCAGGCTGCTGCATTTTCTGTTTGATTTGTCGAACTTTATCAATGTTCCTAACCAAGAATATACTTTTCTTTCGAGCAAAGCACCTTTCTCGGTTGGACATTGGTTTTATCACAGTCTGGCTTATGATTCTATTAGCACTACTTGGGTCAGGATGCGGTTTCAGCTACAAGAGAAAACAGGGCAAGTTCAGCATGTGTTTGATACATATGCAAGGTTTCATTAGAAAATATGCATATACTCCAGAAATACATGCTCTCTGTACTTGTTAAGGAATCACCAATTATATACATACAAGCATTGTCACTAAGGTGACAAAATCCCCCGCCGCAAATTATCAAATCAAACTTAAAAAGTAATGAAAGTCAAGGTCATAATTTAAGATGAAGTTAAATGTAAAAAAAACCCATGACCAGTCAACCTTGATATCTTGATCTGTAGTTGTTCCAACGCACAAATATTTTCAAGACTTATTTTGACCTTGACATGAATGTCTTAGTGTATGAAATATGCAAAAATAGTCATAAAGAAATTGCTTATTGAAAAACATTCAAGGGAAGTCTTGAAAGTCTATGAAAAAAATCCAGTGAATGGTTCTTGAGATATCTCGCTGACAAGCTTAACATGCTGAAATCTTCAAAGTGTCGCCATGACCTTGAAAATTACGTGAAGGTCACCAAAATCGACTGGGCCTTGCACCTTCCCCAGATGAAGCTTGGTGTCAAATATGAAGAAAATCCAGTGAATGGTTCTTGAGATATCTCGCTGACAAGCTTAACATGCTGAAATCTTCAAAGTGTCGCCATGACCTTGAAAATTACGTGAAGGTCACCAAAATTGACTGGTCTCTGCGCTTTACAGGTATGAAGAAAATCCAGTGAACGGTTCTTGAGATATCTCGCTGACAAACTTAACATGCAGCTTTACATGCTGAAATCTTCAAAGTGTCGCCATGACCTTGAAAATTACATGAATGTCACCAAATCGACTGGGCCTTGCACCTTCCCCAGATGAAGCTTGGTGTCAAATATGAAGAAAATCCAGCGAATGGTTCTTGAGATATCTCGCTGACAAGCTTAACATGCTGAAATCTTCAAAGTGTCGCCATGACCTTGAAAATTACGTGAAGGTCACCAAAATCGACTGGGCCTTGCACCTGCCCCAGATGAAGCATGGTGTCAAATATGAAGAAAATCCAGTGAATGGTTCTTGAGATATCTCGCTGACAAGCTTAACATGCAGCTTTACATGCTGAAATCTTCAAAGTGTCGCCATGACCTTGAAAATTACATGAATGTCACCAAATCGACTGGGCCTTGCACCTTCCCCAGATGAAGCTTGGTGTCAAATATGAAGAAAATCCAGTGAATGGTTCTTGAGATATCTCGCTGACAAGCTTAACATGCTGAAATCTTCAAAGTGTCGCCATGACCTTGAAAATTACGTGAAGGTCACCAAAATCGACTGGGCCTTGCACCTTCCCCAGATGAAGCTTGGTGTCAAATATGAAGAAAATCCAGTGAATGGTTCTTGAGATATCTCGCTGACAAGCTTAACATGCTGAAATCTTCAAAGTGTCGCCATGACCTTGAAAATTACGTGAAGGTCACCAAAATTGACTGGTCTCTGCGCTTTACAGGTATGAAGAAAATCCAGTGAACGGTTCTTGGGATATCCCGCTGACAAGGGTAAAACGTTAAAGTCCCCTTGTGACCTTGAAATGAAGGTCAAGGCCACCAAACCTGATTGAGATCTTTCTTTTACTGTGATGAACCTAGGTACCAAATATGAAAAGAATCCAGTCAACGGTTCTTAAGATATTCCAATTCGTACATATGGACGGACATACATACGTGCTTATGTACAGACGGAGCCTAATACTATATCCCCCACTTCACGCTAAACACGCGGCGGGGGATAACATGTCAGAGAGAGTGATATATTTACAAAAATGACCCCATGAAAATTCATGAGCCAGTTGGGCCAGTGACTGTGGAGATTTACTGGCCCAACTGGGTTTTTACTAGCCACGTGCTAGCGGGCCAGTGGCTATTTCCCACACTGTAAAAAACATTAAAAGGCACAAGTTCAGTATGATTGATACATATGCATATAATTTGATTATAAAATTTGAACATATTTCAAAGTAATGCTCTCACAATGAAATTTGACGAATGAATGGACAGACAGATGAATGGACGGGATAGGCAGACAGACAGATACACCTCATCCTGTACATACCTTGTCTTTTAACTTTTTTAGCCTATTTTTCGATTTTCTCTTGTCTTTTGGTGGTCTTCCAACTGGCCTGGATGGAGTGGGTTTGTCCTTGCACTGCCCATTTCGCTGGGTTTTCCCTCCTATGACACCTCGACATGATTTTGCACCACATTTGCAAGTTTGCTGAAAATATGAATATGAAATTTCTGACTTTAGATATGTTTAAACAAAAATGCATGGTATATCCAATTATCACATAAAACAATCTTCCATTAAAAAAATCAAAGACTACAAAATTGCTGATGCATCTGACAATCATCACTAAAGTGAAGGATGAATTGATAAAATAAAAGTAACAGGACATCATATCCAAACAGATACTGTACATAAAGTTTGTATTTAACATTATCATGAAGGCTGTCACGGACATTCTCCTTACTCATACCTTCTCAATACTCAACGAGTATCATCCGAACAATTCTAGTTTTTAATGTTTGTGTGTTTTTTAGTATGCAAGTGTTGGTTCAAGGTACCTTGGAATTGTATTGAGTTGTATCACAACAAGTCCAATTAATGTGAGAGGAAAGCACAAATTGATGCTAATATTTGACATTTCTAATTATGGAGGGAATGAAATACTGAAATTTAGTACATCTTCGTGTGCACATCTAGATGGCTATGAAGGAGGGAATCAGGCTCAACTTGTTGCAGAGAATAAAACAATGTCTTGATTGTCAAATATTGCTACATAGATTCAGCACTACATTCAACTGGTGGATTCTTCATAAAAATGTGTGCCACATAACAAGACCTGTGCATATTCATCACCTACCTGAGTCTCAGCATTGAAGGAGTGGAAGTTGTAGTCATAGCCCAGCTCCTCTCCCTCTTCAATATCACGTAGAGCAAACAAAGCCATTCTGTACAGACCATTCACGTTCCTGCCATATGGAAAAAGATACTGTTAATGGTCTCCATTACTTCTGCATAACTATCATATAAATTCAACTTAGAAAATATATCTGCATCCTCAGTTAGGCTTGTTTTCCTAATATTTTTAAAAAGACAATCCCAGCCAATAATTTTTCAAAGCATCTCTACAAAAGACCTGACCACATACCACTTCTGCATTTCACAGTTGGGTTCACAACAGTGGTTGACATATCTTCCAATGTTGCCCATCCTGTAGCCATCAATAACTGCACCACTGTCAAGGTTGAGACAGTAATGGTGACGCTCCTGAGAGTACTCTGTCATCATCCTGCGACGGAACTCCTGCTCACTGACCACCTCCCCCAAATATTCCAAAATAAAGCTTCCTGAAAAGCAAAATTGAAGTATTCACATCTTTTGTTGGATTGATTGGGTATTTTTTTTCCAATGTTAAGACCAGCTCAATTAGGTTTGCATAACACTAAGACAAAAATGAACAAATATTAGTACTTGGGATTAGGAAATACAAGCTATTTTAAAAATTCTTTCGTATGTCATCTTGACAAATTAATTTTCATACATACCAAAAGATTCTTCTACATAATACAGATTTCGGTTATTTGCTTTTTCAATTCATCAGAAAAAGGCCAATAAATACACATTATTTCTACTTTGAAGCAAAACAGACTTCTGTTCTAGTGCAAAAGGTGGAACAATCTCACATTCACACTTTAACACATGGAAAGGGTTCGGTTTCTATTCAATTCTGTAAACTTAATCCAAATGTCTGTCATTGTTTCACTGTAGACTACCTGCTGGTATTGCCTGTGCTGTGCAGACACCGTATCCCCTGTCCTCAGTAACAAACTTCTCCAACCCTGGTATCCACTCATGCCTCTGAAGTCTCTGGTTTGAACAGTTTTCCCCACCAGGGCAGCTGTTCGGGCTACACTCTGTAAACACCATTCTGTCAAACAGACAACAAGCTTATTAGATCAAGACAATATAAACTTCATTGATATCTAAATTGATATTAATATTAATATTATTAGCACTTGTTAAAATGTAATAAGATGTAAAGAATCCAATAGATTCAGACACTTGATCTAGCAAACATTTATCAGTTCATCAATTCTCCAAGAACAGATTCCATTCTCTCTTTATGTGATCAATATTGCTAATGTTATCACGTGACAATATGTTCTAAAATGTACCTATTCAAGCAATCTTCTCCACACCCCTTTTCATTTGGGTCGGTTGGTCGCTTGCACTGGCAATAATGTGGCTCTGGTTTCTTTCCTGCATTTGGTTTGAGATCAACATACACATCTGAAACAGATATGATCATGTTCACATTTGTAACTATTACACTATGAATTGTTCATCCCTTTCATAGTTAAATCATATTTCAAAAACTTCTGAAAATATTTCCCCAATGTATTGGCAATATTCTCCCTCTTCTGTCATTTTCCCCTTACAGAAATCAGATTCTAATATTCCATTTATAGCATGAACATTATCATTGTTTTAATACTTACTGTTCCGTATCTTTTTATACTTTGGCGTTGGCTCTTCTCTCTTTGGCAACTGAAATTGTATTACAGGCAAACAATTGACAATAGTTTTCCACAACAATAATGTATTACTTATTTCCACAAATCTGATTTAGCTTATGGCAGTACATCGGTACATATAATACACACATTTAGTACATCCTAAACAGTTTTAGTGTCTCTTTCAGCAAAAACGATACTTGAGAAATACAGGTTGAATTGCAACACAAGCAGTCATTAATCATAGATCGAGCTGTTTGAAAGGTCACAATACAACATTCAAAGGCATACTTTATCCTTCAGCTTTCAAAGTTACTGTTTTATTTCACTAGACTGACTGACTGACTGAGTTTGGTTTTACGCCGCTGTTAGCAATATTCCAGCAATATCACGGCGGTGGACACCATAAATGGGCTTCACTCATTGTACCCATGTGGGGATTCGAACCCGGGTCTTCGGCGTGACGAGCCAACGCTTTAACCACTAGACTACCCCACGGCCCCTTTCACTAGACAAAACTACCTACCATATTATGGACATACATCCACCATACATCATATGGAAGCGTGAAATCTGCTGGCCTTTCTCGGAGATATTTCCCTACATGAAGAGGAGGAGGCAGTAAACCATGGCTATGTTCTTCTCGAACATAAACCAGTTTATCTTTGGACTTCAGCATATTGTCAGATCGTTTCTTTGGTCTGAAAAATAAACATAAGCATCAATGTTGATGTTACTGATAATGAGCCCTGTTATAATTGTTGATCTCATGACTAAACTATCCCAAAAGGTACAAACTTGGCTGGGCAATGGGACTTTTTGAATGACTCTCCCAGCTGTTATATGATCAACCCCTGACAATTTTGAGGCACATCAGATAATCATGCAAGTAAATTAACATATTGGCAAGATTGAATTAGTCATTAATTTAACAACATAAAAAGGGGATAATACGTTTTGCTACTGTCAAGAGACAGCATCTTTTGTGCTCACAATTTGATTACTTTAATGATTCAGTGCAATTTTTTTATGAACTCCAATGAGTGCAAAATGATGATTCGTAAAATTTCAAACCGTTGAAAAACCTGATATCAACATATGACTCATGGCAAAAAGAGTGGACGTCATGAATCATAGACAGCTTGCTTCATCTAAGACTTGAGAGGGCTTTGTTCATGTTGTTAAAATTCTTTGTGGATCATTTTGACATAGCAAATGGATATTTAAAACAGAGTTTGTTTATGTTAACTTTCAACCAGTATCATGAATCAGTCAACAATTGACCTGTCATCAGTGGATATAAAAACCAACTTTTGGCATACAAACCGATTAGAATCGGTTACTAATAACCAATATCTCTTACAAGGAGTGTTTGGAATTGGTCGAGATATGACGGTAGATTATAACTGGCTTGATCCTCATGAACAGTCATAATTGCTAACAAGTATTTGGAGTAATTTCAAAAGATAAAACGTGTAAATACCTCTTTCAGGGTTTCAGATCAGTTCATTTTCAAGGATAGTGACGGATATAAGCATTCATAAAAGTGTAATGCCTTATTTTTAAAAGTTCTTAAACATCAAATGTCGATCTTGAATAAGGCCAAAAAAAATAAATGTTATGGTTCCGATTTCCTACATTTAAAAACTAGGGTAGGTAGGTAGGGATTTTTAATTTTTTTTGCAAAATATTTTTACATTACTCATGCAGTGATTTTGAAGCCTATAAAAATCAGTAGGACAAATGTCCTGAGTGGGTGTCTGGCGATAGGCCATTGACCTAAGGCTCTTTTTGACATTTTTAAAATCCCAATGCCATCATATAACTAAATTGTTAATGACATTTAATGTTGCAACTTGGATTCTAGATATACAGCAAAATTAAAAGATCTAATCCCACTGTTGATAAATATGAAATTTATTTTTCTAACATTTTTCAAATAATACAACTACAACTTAACTAAATTGAGTTTTTAATGAAAATGCAAGCACTTATAATGTCCAAAAAAATATCACAATAGAAGCAAAAACTATGGCGATTTTTTTCCATTTGTGACATGTCATAACATCCCCGTGCCTTTTTCTTTTATATTTTCATTTTTACGTAATCAGAAAATTATCAAAAGCCACTGATATCGGGAAATAGGCGACCATACATTTTATTTAAGAAATCTTTAAAGGCGACGATACATATTATTTAAGAAATCTTTAATAAGATTATAAAGATTTCTTAAATAATATGTATGGTCGCCTATTTCCCGATATCAGTGGCTTTCCACTCAGTAACATGACACAACAACGGAAAATACCTTCGTTTTCGAAGCTTCGTATGAATAACATGCGAGGCGAATCGTTTGATGGCGGGTATCGTTCGAAAGCTCTGAACATCAACAATATCATTATACCCTTGCTGAGAGTATTTTCACAGTTGTAAGAAGCGATTTTATTGGATATAGATTGGTTTCTAATGACGCTTTTTCGGCACAGTCTGCTATAAGAGTCGTGATTGGTCAAAATCAGACACGTGACATGAGGCAGCAAATCATATTACGGCAATGGATACTGTCCTCGTAAACGAAAACTTTTAGATTTAGACGAAAGTTTTGGGTAAAATAATGCTATTTGGAACATATTAAGCATGAAATCGCTACCTGTACGTAAATTATGGAACTTATTGGACGTATCGTGCTAGGTTATGACCTGTGACAAAAATGCTTCATGCATATATTTTCGCATTAAACATGGTGTCCAAGCGTGAAGATTGAGGCGGCGAAAGCCGAGATGTCACTAGTCAGTGACTTGACTCGCATTGCATGATCGCACAAAAAGATTGAAATAGTAATTTTATATGTACGTTTGACAACTTTTATGAATGCTATTGTTGATTTTATTCATTAGTTTATTCAATTTATTTAATGATTTCCTTGAAACATTGTTACATGCGGGTGGGGTCGGGAAAGCCAGTTTCTGATTGTCCAGTGCTTAAAATAGCAGCCAATCGCTCAATCCATTACATGTACATTTGATAGCTTAGTGTGATAAAAATGGATGCGTAAATACATACACGCTGCGGAAACATGATCAAGATTTCGTGGTTAGTTTTGATGAATTCGTAAATGATAATGTTCGTAATTTATTAGGTCCAATATGTGAAAATAACAACGAAATTATCGATCGGCCCGAGTGTCCTAATTAGTAAGAAAGTAGTCGGTCATTTGAAAATGTTATCGGACTATGACAGGCCGATGACAATCTGAAACCCTGCTCATGTGTCAGAAAATAAATTTAATTTATTATGTGGTGAATAAAATTGTTAGGCTCGGCGGGAATATTTAGGGTCGGTCGGGAAATCGGAACCACAAGCTTTTTTTTTTTAAGCCTAAACTAGGGTTCCAACAAATTGTTGAATCATAAATGCACTGCAATTGACCATGGCCCATGGATCCTTAGAAAAATAAAATTCCAATTCTAACTAAAGTCAACAGTTCTAACTACTTTGTGAATTTTCCAGACAAATACCTGAATTGATCATATGGTACATTACCACAGATAAGCCGATCTCATAGATAAATCGAGGTCCTAACTTAACCCTTTAAAATCTGTATCAAAATGGTACGGTATGTTCCGTACATAAGCCGACCTACGAACCTTCGTTCATCTTCTCGTCATGGTCTGTCATCGGAAATAGAGTATCAACAAATCCGGTCATGGTCTGTCATCGGAAATAGAGTATCAACAAATCCGTATTGGATTATGCAAGTAAATCCTGTTCTTATACAGGATAAAAATCTTACCTCTAAAACATGTTCTTTGCATATCAGGATTTATGCTTACAATCTAGTTAAATTATTTTACTCAAAATGTCATTCAAGGAGTTTCTATTAACTCTGGTGAAATTGTGTCCCTCCGTCGGTCTGCATTATTCACAGCAGTCATAATCATTTTGCGTCTACTCATGCCTTGAAATGAAGCGTAGTTGACAGAAAATGGGTATGTGCATATTTTGTTTCGGGAAAAGTAATATTTGTTGAAGCTGGATGATCACATGTCAAAAACTGTTTTTGAGGAAGAAATAGCAAGATCGCACGAAACCATGTTATATATTGGGTATGTTTTAACTAAATCAAAGGTAGATCACAGGGAAACGTGTGCACATCTGACTGCTATTTCCAGCTCTGTGTACGAGACAAATACACACAGTAATCTTAAACCCTGCCTATAATACAATGCCTAGCAATAGCAAATTAAAACTGAAAAGGTACAAAACCTTGTTTAGAGATGTCTAATTGCAAATTTGACGTCTTCACTGGCAGTCGTTTTCTCCTATTGAAGTGATATGATGTCCTTTTTCTTACCAGCCCCCCCAAAAGTGTAAGCTGTCGATAAGCCCGAATCCCTTCTACAGACTGCTTATTTATGGTCCTCAAAATTTGGCTCATCTACGTTATTTTACAGTAATCTTATTTGTGTTGTGAATACTTTCCCTCTCACAAAAATTCTATGTAGTGTCATCAAAAGGTTATCTGCACACATTGGTGCACAGAATTAGCAAATAAACTGGGAACCAGCATATGGCATTGTCATAACACAACAAAAATCAAGTTTTCATATATTCTCAGAATAAAACTATGTCAGAAAACTAAAGGCATTCAGGACCCAAACTTCTAGACCTGTTTATGAATAATTAAAAAGTGAAAAAAAATTATCATCCAAAAAGAATAAAAGATTGTATAAAGTAATCAATTATGGAAAAGAAACATCAATCCTACATCACATCCATACAGATTAACGGAAATATGACAGAAACATTTGGATAGGAACTTACAGAGTTAAATACAAGCAGAAGTCTTTCCATGTGTTAAAAGTGTGCTAATTGTCAGTTTTTTTCCCCGCACTGAAAAGAGTCAGCGATTTGATGGGACATATTTTATTTTAGCCAATGAGCTCCCTTGCTCTTATAAGTGCGGGGCAGGTTAAGGCAAAGGTCGTCAATGGCGAACAGTGCGGGGCCGGTTAAGGCCAAGGTCGTCAATGGCGAACGGGCACAATACAACTCTGTTTGTGATGAATAAATGTACGTAAACTCATTATGACAGTGAGATGCAATCGTCTCCGAAAGAATGGCGACTAGCGCGCTGACAGGCGCCATCAGTTCTACATGTTTTGGTGAATGTCGTATGTGTATACTGTGAAATAAACAAGACAAGAACACAAAGTCATCAATATCCCCCGCAATGGCAAAATACTCTTCATGAAGACGTCTACGAATTATGATAATGTGACTGACTGACTGACTGAGTTTGGTTTTACGCCGCTTTTAGCAATATTCCAGCAACATCACGGCGGGGAACACCAGAAATGGGCTTCACACATTGTACCCTTGTGGGAATTCGAACCCGGGTCTTCGCCGTGACGAGCCAACGCTTTAACCACTAGGCTACCCCACCGCCCCTGTGATTATGTGAAATGTTTTGGTGTGTATATAGCTAAGAGAAGGAGTGTACTGAAAGGTTTCAAAGTTCTGCTCCAGAAAGGAGCACTACCACCAAATTCAGTTGAAGCCAAAATTGTTGCCATGGAATCGCAAAAAAACACACCCCATTTTATTCAGAAATCCAAAACTAGCAAAAGGCACCAGTTCACCACTAGACCTAGCTATGTATGAAATTCCGTGATGAAACAGTGAACAGTTTTTAAGTTCTGCTCCGGAAAAGAGCACTACCACCAATTTTAGTCAAAGTGAAACCTGTTGCAATGGAAACGCCAAAAATATTTTATTCAGAAATCCAAAACTACCAAAAAGGCACCAGTTCACCACCAGATCTATCTATGTGCCAAGTTTGGTGAAGAAACATTGCACGGTTTTAGAGTTCTGCTCTGGAAAAGAGTACTACCACTAATTTCAGTCAAAGTCAAACTTGTTGCAATGGAAACGCAAAAAATATTTTATTTAGAAATCCAAAACTACCAAAAGGCACCAGTAAACCACCAGATCTATCTATGTGCCAAGTTTGGTGAAGAACTATTGAACGGTTTTAGAGCTATGCTCCGGAAAAGATGTGCACGGACGGACGGGGTCCATTTTAATACCCCCGCAAAACGTGTTGCGGTGGATAAAAATGGGTGAGTTACCGCTACAAATTCTGAGCAGGGATTTTTGCTCGGAATCGAGAAATCACGATTTTTCGGGCTTCCAAAGACCCTAGCTCCCAAAGTACTGCTTCGATTTTTGTGCTGTATTTCTCATTTTGTAGGTAAATGTATTGGCTTGAAATGTGTGCATACTTTAAATGTGATAAATACAGTGAGCATTGTTGAATTCGCCCTGAAAGGAACTTGGTGTGTTGACCTCGTTATATCCCTCTCCTTTTATATAGTACTAAGAGACGCCGTCAGTGACAGTATATACCTTGATGGCAGTTTTTAGCGTTACAAGCCCCTGTGGAAGGAACAACATGCAATTTGTTTATTTTCTCAGATAACATCAAAACACTATATAAAGGAATAGAGGCATAAACTAGTTTACTAGTAACAGCGATCACAATCAGCAAATGTTTGTTATCAGTTTGTCAATTAATTGATAGCTGATTACTCGTAATCACAAAATGAACGAAGCTCACTTACATCAGTCACACATCACAATGTTAACACAAGTATAATCCCACCTCTCTTGGATTGTTTTAGTAAACACGATTCAGTTATAGGGAATAGCTTTGATCATTGCAAGTCTATCGGTTGTAAAAACTTTGTGATGAATACCATTACTCAGAAGTTTTGAATTACGCGAAAAAAACTGCGCTAACAGGTCTTTTGTGAACTTTCCGTGAAAATTGCACCCCTTTAAAATATATACGATTACAGTAAAAAAGCTTATCTAAAAAAAGAAATATAGAATAGTCACAACTGTGTCTATAATCTCCCTGATGTCCTGACAACCAATGAAATGGAAGACATTTTCAAATAAGGCCAGGAAGGTCTGCACTGAGGGGAAGGCACAGCTACTTACCACATTATTAAAAATTTTAATAGCATTTTAATTCTCGAGTATTTGAATACAGGGACACATTTAATCTTAATTTTCAACATTATATTCACTACGAATGAGTACCATAACATCCATAACTTAGGATACTGTAAAAAATGTTTTAGCCCATGCAATCACAACATGAAACTGTCACACATTATATGGTCATTTCAGTTACACATGCCTTGCTAAATGTAATCTTCACCAGCAACGTACTTTCTTAAAATACAAAACATCTGAATTCACAGAAATTCAAATGACAATTGAAAGTAATCTTTTCCTCCACAATGATTAATTCAAGTTTATTTACTAAAATTACTCACAGCGAGTTCACAGCAGGATCAATATTTTCAGCCTCACACACTTAACATCTGTACATTTCTAAGTCAGAGGAGCTGTTGAAACACATTTCCACACTACAATAACATGCCAAGAATCATTAGTGTAATTGTCTAATTACATTGACAATGAAGGAGCTACAAGCCGGAGATCAAGATTGATCCTTTCAAAAGACACGCTGAAGCAATGTAATTATGTGAACACGATTGCCATACGCTCAACCGAACGCCCTTGTCAATTACTGAGAAAAAGCACCAACAATCTGCAGTTCACAAGGCTCAATAAGGAGCTGTACAGCCCATCTCACCAGTGGGGAATCTAGCACAATGCTACTGTTTGCTGGTGAAAGACATGACTAGGGTCTCTAGTCAATTAAGCGTCTCAATAGCCATTGGCACAAAGCTGTCTTACAGCAACAGTGGCTAAACCAAATACAAGTACTGTCACAGCCTCTTCTCAAATCAACTGATTTATCACTGACATCAAATACGACTTCCAACAACAAAAAACTCCTCAGAACTGAGGATCCTGACTTTCTTTCAACCTATTTCCATCCTATTTCTTTTGTCAGTGTTTTTTATTTAATATTTGTTATCCTCAGTTACACATTACCACCACCTGTTCTTTGTGCTCTTTTATGTATTTTCAAATCACACGATAATATGTAAGGCAACTATTGGGCACAATATATACAAGGCTACTGACAAACATAAGCGTCTATTATTTCATTTGATTATCAAATTACAGTGTTTGAATATCTCTCGTATAATCTTTTCCACCACATAATACAATACATGGCATGTATGATAATTGAATACATCCTTAAGAATTTACTGACGAATGCATTAAATGTACTGTGTGTATAAAAGGCACTTAACTTGTGATAATACAGCGTGGTTTACAGCACACTAAGTGGTTGAATATTATCCCCACACATATCATGTCCCCTGTGGAGCTCTGACAATGGCCTTCCCCGAGAGATTGTCATGCCCCACAGGACACAAATAAAGCACACATGACAGGTTGTGAACAATAAGCACATCTCTGAACCAACTGCTCAACAAAAGACTTCCCAAGCTCGTAGCTCTGCCTGGGACTATTTATTGCCTTTTCCTATTAAACTTGCGCCAGCAGTACAAGCTTTTGCAATTTGTTTTGAACGCGAGTTACTTACTCATCATCTTTGTAGAAGTCCGAGAAGAGTCCCACACGTTGATATCTTTTTCTGGGAGGCTGAGATGGGTCAGTACGTCTTATCACAGGAGTTGAAGCTGGTTCACTTTCTTCTTCTGTTGAATGTCTGAGAAAAAAACAGGCCTTTTAGCAAGCAGCTTTACTGGCAACATGATGTTTTTATCATTTTACCACCATTACATCGACTGTTAAATAATGAAATGGCTTTGGTTTCAACATGACCGCTTCTCGACACGAACTAAAGCCATCACATTAACAAATGTGTAAATTCAATAGTGCCAAAGAAACTGAACCTAAAATTGTAAATGCTATTAGGTCATGAAGATGTGTTGCAAAGGGCATTCATCAAACTTGACAGACCATAAACTTTACTCGGGCATTTGATTACAATGGAAAATGATGTCGCATCATGAAAAAATAACTTCAGTTACTATGTGTCAAACATCCCTTCTGCTTTACTATAATCAAATCATCTACATTCCCCTATCCAGCTTGATGCCATTAGACCTGACAGCATTTTGTCACCTTTTTTTTTTCGGTAACAAGCTCGATTGCTCTTCCAAGATTATTATTGTAGTAGTAGTAGTAGTAGTAGTAGTAGTAGTTTATCTCATCTATTCAAAATATGAAACCATTTTCCTGAATATTACAAGATCATATCTTAGCTGATACAAAAAGTTAGTTTGTAAACACTAAACATGTCCAAACAAAGGCGATGTATCTACAGATGACTGCTTTGTAATAAAATCTTTATAGTATTAATGTAACCTAAGTATTTGTTTCCCAAATGACAATGCAACTATTGCGTATGCTACATGATAATAAAACAAAGTGCTTTAGATAACTGGAAATTTGCTGAAACTCAGTGAAAAAGGCTGTGAAGATTGCTGAGATTAGGAGATCAACCCTGATAGGATGTACATTGAGCTGGTGAATACAGTGGATGTTGTGTTATGTACATCCATTATGAATAACCATAGTGTTGAATCTGAAAGCTGACATGCAGAGGCCCAGATAAGCTGCGTATCTTGGTAAAATATGCATCGAAATTTTCCAATTACGCATTGAAAAATAATTGTTGCGTACCAATTGCGCATTTAAAATGTTAGATACGCAAAAAGTTTATAACAAATGCGTATGGAATATATTAGTACTGTACAGGAATAGTGTTGTACTGTCAGTACAGGATGAGTGATTGTTTATGAAATCGTTTCCATTATAGTTAAGTTGGTTTTGATTAGGTATGACATAAGGCAGAACATACCTGCTTAGTAAACATACCCAATGACATAATACTTAGGTGAGTAAAATCACTTACATACCCACATATTTGAAAGCAGTGGGTAACGGAAAATGAAATACCCACTCAACATTCATAATACCAACTCCCCAAAAATACAGTGGGTACAGTACCCACATGAGCTCAATCTTATCTGGAGCTCTGGACATGTTTGTAATGTTGAAATCTCTCGCTTGTCTCTACACCAAGCCGGTGTTCAAAACAATAACACATTCACTGACAAGAGCTATCGGTAGACAAATCATCTTTTTTCTTCTTCTGGTGTCATGGTCACATGCAGCATGTTAAGTATTACCCATCCTTTATAGGATACATGAACTTTGGAAGTCGTTGATCTTACTACCTTTATTACCCTTAGAAAAGATTTCTTACAGCACAGACTGCAAAGCCATCTTGTGTAACAATAAATTGGAGCTGCTCCCCTGTTTGCAACAGTTGCTAAAGTCATACCATTCCAACTTCAATTAACCTGATGACTTACCCACATAAAATTCTACTAAAGCATATAATTACCTACTTCAAGCACTAACTACAACAGCAGGTAATTTCTCTCCTTCAAAATCACCTGATAAGCTAAGTAACTTCAATGTTAGTGTGTGCTTGTGCTACAGTAATACTGTATGGTTTTCTTTCATGTGTTTGTGATGCATTGCCAAAAACAGGCATGTCACTGAAAAGAATCCAGCATGGCAATAATCTGTTTTATTTCTTTCATTCACAAATAATATTTGCAATCATTATTCAGCTTCTCTTATATGGATGGTATCATCACGCACTTCTAATCTAAATATTCAAAGACAGAAATATTTGAGCTTAACCTATCTTAAAACGCTGAAAGTGTATCCGAGAAATAATCACTGACTTTGTCCTGATCAATCATTCATCTACCAAGGAAAGATAAGGGTACATAACCTTTCTTTATTTTCTGAAACAGAAGTGTTCAGACTAACAGACATCAACAAATCACCAACAGTATACGACAACAGGAAATCTATTCAATATTTAATACCAGGTACTTGTGGCAAATGTTTCAAGTTGAAACTTACTTAATAACCAAACATTGCTGTAGCTCACCTGTCATCCATGTCAAGCTGACGTCGGACTTTCTTCCTCTTTCCTGTTCCATCTTTATCGAAGGATAACTTTTTCCTCTTGTGGCGTGGAGTAGGCAAAGGCTCATATTCCCGAACACACAGTTCGTATCACAGACTCTATAGTATCATCAACACTATCCGCAGAGGTATTGCACAATTCATCACTATCAGAAATCACAGCACTAATAGTTTGACTGTCACACACATTCTCAGAAGACACACTTTCAGACACTTTCTGAGATTTTGACTTTGAAGATTTATCTTCATTTGCACTACTCAAAGACTTCTTACTTGATTTCCCTAAGCTGAGTTTTTCTTTTTTCACAAATTGTTTTTTTCACTTTTTCGGGTGTGATGGACTGAGATCTTGAGCTACAGTCAGACAAAGAGTTGTGTTTTGCTGCCTTTGTACTTGTCGGTGACTGTAGGGACGAAGTATCTGAAGCACCACCATCACCACCCATGAAGGAGGAGATGTCAAGGATTGGGGGTGACTTGGAGGTGTTGCTCAAGCTACCCAGCACTGAAGGCTGAGTCTGGATGGACAGTTCAGGAGGTTGAGAACATGCTGAGATTGCATCTCCAAGCAGAGTCTTTGAGAACACTTGTGTGAACACATTTCTATCAGCACCTAAAGTAAGAAATTTACACACAAAAAATATAAATAATTATTTTGTAACAAATGTTTGGTAGCATATTAAAAACATTGATATTTTGATACATATGTACAAATAAAAATACTTAGGTATGGCTGAGACAAACTGTCCAAAGGAAATAATACCATGACCCTCACCACCTCCAATTTCATACACCAGATTGCCAGAGGTACAGAAGCTCACCTTTTTTTAATTTTGGTTGAGCATTGCACATGAATTGGTTCTTAAATATAGCTGCAATGGCAGCTATTGAAAATCATGTTAAACAATAATGATCAATTTCAGATATCATCACTGGTGTGGAACAAGTAAGTGAAGTGAAGTTTCAGATTCATTGGTCCTGAGGTTTCTGCAAGGATGATGTTTGAAGTGTGATACTATGTAACATGAAGTACGAAGTTCATGCCATTTGCAGAATACAAAATTTATACATGTATATGTCAGGGTAGAGATTGCGATCTGAGTCTCTACGGGTAGAATCTCCGATCCTACTATCGCAATCAGAGTCTCTACCAATAGAGACTCTGATTATATAGAATAACCTATACAATCGCAATCTATACCAGTAGAAGCTCAAATCTGATCCTACTAGTAGAGATTGCAATCTAAGTGAATATTTAGAAAAACAAAATTTATTTTCATATATTGTAGAAAGACATCTTCCATTGAAAAGTGCACACTGTTTGATGTTTGTTACAAACAAAATGAAAATAAAATATTGTTACTTTGTTTTCATTTATGATTGTTATTGTAAAGAAAAGTAACTCTAAAATTAAAAAAATAAAATTCAATCTTTGGGGTGATCCACACCTATCTCATGGAGAGAAGACATCAAGAGCCAGATCATGATCTGACCTTGTTTCACCATGGCTTATTACTCTTTTGACTTAACTGGCAGTTGTAATGAATTTTGATATTGTATAATATCAAAGAATGTGTTACCACTTTCATAACACCAACAACATAATGGTAACATCTGCTATTGACTAATGCTCGAGGAACTGGACATTTCAAATTCATCAGATCATATACACGATAATCTGCATATTTTTTACATAAGCCCGTCACGACAAGCATAGAACTGACTGACTGACTGAATTTGGTTTTACGCAGCTTTTAGCAATATTTCAGCAACATCACGGTGGGGGACACCCGAAATGGGCTTCATAAATTGTACCCATGTGGGGATTCGAACCCGGGTCTTCGACGTGACGAGCCAACGCTTTAACCACTGGGCTACCCCACTGCCCCGTACGAGCATAGAAAGTCAGCCAGATAATATTTAAAATGACTTCATGAAAAGCACTGACTTTTTTCTCCATCATCATCAAGATATACCGGTAACTTCTGAACTTAATACATGTACAGTTTACCTTCCGAATTCAAAATTGGCAAATGAAGTAAAGATGTAAACTGCTTAACAAACAGTCTGCATTCGGAATATGAAACTAAGCTGAGGAAGTGTGATGGCTACTTGTTTTTGTTAATTGACACTGAACGCCAAGAAAAAACGCAAACCTCTTTTGTACAGCAATAAATATGTTGCATGTGGCTGCACGAAGAGTATGGCATTTCAGCCATTCATTTCTCAACCCTGATGACATATCTGTTCAATCCTCTTACTTTTAGTTTTATTTCATTAATTGTTTCTGCACCTATCGTTTGTCACAAAGGCCAAAAATCAACTACACTGAAGCATTTATACTTACTTATTACAAGCAAAGCTTTTAACATTTAACAAATTATCCATGTAAAGCAAGGGAAACAGCTGGAAAGAATTCAATATTAACTACTCAACATCAATGTGTGAACATGCATCAACATTATAAGGTTAAACTTGATTCTGCACTGCTGGGGTATCATTAAATAGATCAAATTTCATACAAATTATCCCTCATTTATAATTGGGGCCATGTGACAAGCGAAGAATGCCATCATTGAATGGGTCAAAAGAATCAACTTGCTGTGTTGAGGCTGTTGAAAGCATGATCAATCAATACACACATATCAAACACACTTGTCCTGAGACCATTTCTCTCTATATTCGCCACTTTATTGATCGGTTTTGTGACGAGTGGAGTCATTATCCACACAAGAATCAATATCAAAATGCCAGCATGGCTTCCTGGGTCTTCACTATTCCTAGACTCATGTGATATTCTTATCTAAATCACCATCAGTCACTGAACAGCACTGCCAGCTAACAAGCAAAGGGCAGGATTGTCCTTCAGGAAAAGTGGGTCACCAGCAGCAGCATCACAACAAAATGCATTAAATACTGATGCACAGGGAAATATCTTTAGTGGATTGAGCTTCAATTACAGCATTAGGATTGTTGCATTAATAACGTTTTGTTGAGTTAATCATGACATGAGTGTGACTATAATTGAGGGTTTGGTGATATCAATACACTGAGAAAAATCTTAAGATTATGACAGAAAATGATTGGGTTGGATGGTTGCATCAGTTATGATACTGGATAAACGTTTACGAAAATAAAGAGTATTACTGATTTACAGTTGCACGGAACAACTGGTCCACTTGTGCACACCTTCTGCAATATGCACCACAATACTACTTAAATTGGTCAGTATACTGACACACACATAAACAAGTGTGTTTCTGTTATATCATTGGTGAATAGAATTCAAAAGTTTCTGGTACAGCTAATCTCAGGTGTATAACATTAAACATGTACACTGATATATACTCATGGAAACGAATAAGGGAACACATGAAAGTACACATGTTCTTTTATTTATTTCCAGAATTTCACCCACTGTGCAATACATACCCTGTGAAGAAACATGGAAAAGAATAAAGGAACACTTGTACTTTCATGTGTTCCCATATTCGTTTCTATGAGTATATACATATCTCACTGTGTTCCTTTCCTTGATTAAACATTAAGGTAATAAATGGCAAACACATCTCTTGACTAGACAACATTCCAAAATGGGAAAAGTTAACATTTGGAGCTCTAAGGACTTTTAATAAATGAAGGGGAAGGTAAAAAGAGGATGGTAAATAATGCACGAGGAACTAGAAATCTATAGAATTGGGCAACAGTGTCCATTTCAGAAAGATGAAAAGGTAAAGCCCCTACCAAATTTAGAATAGGAAACATTTGATGAAACCTGGGGACAGACCAATATGTTTTCAATAAAGGCATAAAACTTAGAGAATACCCCTGTTTTAATAGTGTATCAGTCACACTTCTCACATTTACCACATCTATTTACTGTTCAAAGACAGTTATAATCAGTTAAAGAATTACTTTTTTGTTCTTTCAATAGCAATGTTCAAGAAAACAAAAGTGAACTCAACACAGTATAGTACTTGCACCTTCTCAGAAAAGCAAAGTTCAAATCAAAACATTAGTTGTAAATTACTTCAAAATTTGTCATCGTAAAAACACAACCAATTAAATTCAAAACTTAGGTAAAAATAAATAAATTTGACCCTTTCATCTACCTTTGTTATTTTTGTGCTGCCATGACAAGTGAGTGACAGGTAAATGAGATTGTAAAATGAAAGCTAAAAGCTGATTGGGCCTAGTGGCATAAGGGAGATGACTTACATTTCCAGATATGATCATTCCAGCCAATCAAAAGATGTGTCACATTGCAATGGTCAATTTATTCTGAATTTATTGCTAAACCTATGGATACTGAAGATAACTACTTCTGTGGATACAATAAATGATTAATGTATTCCAATTGTTACAGATAATTACTTTAGATTTGGATCAATGAAACGTGGTGTTAAGCAAAAGTATGATAAAAATCATGTATATTTAGTATCTTGTGTGTCAAGTCATAATGGCTGCATCCTGAACAACACTGTGGTACCACACAATACTTTCTGCCAGTAACTGTCCCTTATTAACAGCTGCCTTATGTCTTGTTACTATCTGCACATCATTCCAACCAGCAACTGTGTTCAATAACTCATGACAGTGTAAAAGCAAAATATTGCGATACATATGAGATTCACATCGAAGTTTTGCAAAATTGTGCAATACAATATTCTAAGCAATACACAGCTCTACTGGACCATCCCAGACTTATTTGAAGAAACATTTCTATGAGGCATTAATGTCTACATCATTTGTCACAGGTAAACAGATTTTGGGCCTAGTATTGATACTTAAACATAGTATTATGTGTGGTTTGTACACTTTAAACCACTATTTTGGCAACTGTCACGTTTAAACTGATTTCAAAAAGAGAACTAATATATGGTGAACAAATGGCAATCTAGTGTTCAGAACAGAACAGTCAATTGTCCTGTGATATTCCTTCAACCAAATCACGTCTTGAAGTCATGTGTGCAGAAGTCATGTTGTCCAGCCTAGTAGGAGTAACATCAGAAAATTGTTGTTATCCGTGAAATTTGTTTTGTTTGTTTGTTGTTTAACGCAGCACACAGCAATATTCCAACTACATGGCGGCAGTCTGTAAATAATCAAGTCTTGATCAGACAATCCAGAGATCAACAACATGAGCATCGATCTACGCAATTGGGATACAATGTCAACCAAGTCAGCGAGTCTGACCACCCGATCCCAATAGTCACCTTTTAAGATAAGCATGAGTTGCTTAAGACCAATCCTGACCCAGATCTTCACTGATTTTTATGTATAAGAGTACATTTTACTGATTCCCTACTATCTTTTTTGCACTACGACAGTTGGTGGCAAATTGTACTCACTGGCACAGGTTTAATCTATGTGGTTCTCCCAGTGTGGTTGGATACATTAATTAAGAAATACAGTTCGTGCTACCACCATGTATAGTGTAATAAAACACACTTTCTCCCTGAACTATTATAGCTAAAGTACGAGGACGCTTGCTTCCGAGTGTTTTAACGTTATAATAGTTCAGGGCGAAAGTGTGCTTTATTACACTATACATGGTGGTAGAGTGAACTGTATTTCTTTTCTAAGATGCCAAATTTAATATTTTCTAAGGAT